TAAATTTCAATTGGCAAAAGTACTGGCTGTTCGGTCAACGAATACCAAAGATTATCTTATAAGGAACCGATTGATATTATTATTAGTATTATAAATGATTTTCCTAGGATTGGTAGACTTATGAATGTGCAAAGTTTTGCTGAAAAGATAAGTATTTAGACGCTGACCTAGTTTCCTTTCCGTTACTTCATTTACCACACATTCTAAGCCATTTATAAATGATTCTGGCATTCCACACTACTTCATATAAAAGGTTAGGAAGGAAACTACCATCAACAGTAGAAAAATACTGGAAAAAGCAATAACAGCTACTGAACTGAAGAAAACTTAATTTCCTTGGAAAATTGTTTTACTGAAAGATTCTATACATTTCAACTGGCAAAAGTACTGGCTGTTTAGTCAATGAATACCCAATGTTTCCTTATAAGGAAATGACTACTATTACCATGCATCCAAACAAAAATATGTTATTCTAGCAAGATAATGTACTGTATCATTTATTGCCCTAGTTGCCCACAACTGAATTGAACTTCATTCTAGAGAGAAAAAGTTAAAGAATTTCCTATTAATACTGGAAAGAGTGATAACAATAACTGGACTTGAGAAAAAAAACCTATTTTCCTGAGAAAATTTTAATTGATGGTAACACCAACTGCTTGGTCAATGAATATTGAACATTTCCTTACAACATCATCATCATCATTCCCTTGACTTTTGTAATTGTAGTGGGGGGATCTGAATGCAGAAGCCACACTAAATCTCCTCCCCAATGGTCTATCAATGACAGCCATCAGCAATTCTCGTATAGTCATACCTACATCTCCTACATCCACCTTCAAAAGTGCCTTGCATGATGGTCTTGTACAGGCTGTCGTGCTCTATAATGTGTCCAGACCCCACCATTTTTCTCTGTTTGACAGTGGAAAGAAGAGGTTCCTGATGGCCCACAAAACTTTCAACCCTTTTCTGCACAAACTCATTTGTTTTATGTTCCCAACAGAAGATGCCAAGGAGTTTTCTTATGCATTTATTCTCAAACGCTTGGATCCTTCTCTCTGTTTCTGCCAACAGTGTCCACCTTTCACACTTATATAGGAGAACAGAGACTACCAGCAATTTATACAGTCTGTACTTTATTTCCTTATAAGGAAATGGCTAATATTATCATTACCAACAGCATAATTCAGAAATGCATTGGAAAATAATGTAATCCTAGATGTTTCTGAAACTACAGGTAGGATTGTTTTTTTGTTTTTTTTTCTAAAAATTTCATTTATATTCATGATTGCATATATAGTGACAAATCATATTCTAAGAGTCGGAAATTAATAAAACAATTATCACAGTTGAATTTCAGTACTGGTAAGCTTTCAGGATTTTGGCACATTAACTTTATAGGAATTTCCAGAGAGACTTACTTGTGTATTGGTTATCGCTTGCTTTAGTTTGTCCTCGGAAACACTGTAGTGTTTTGCAGATCCATATTGCTCAATCAAGTAGCTGGGATACTTCAGGCCACAGTGTTTTAGTCGGAACTATAAATGAGATAAAAGAAATAGGTCAAAAAAGCAGAACAAAAATCCAAGATTGAATCTAATCTTTCAATAAAGTGACATACATGATGGTAACTGAAAAGTTCTCAACGCAACCAAGATAGGATTTCAGAAAAAAAAGTTGGTTGGGGACGTAGAGGCAGTCAGAAAGAAGCCAGCCATTAGCAGGCGATGAGCCGTTTGTTTGGGACATAGAGACAGTCCGAAAGAAGCCAGCCATTAGCAGGCGAGCCGTTGGTTGGGAATGTAGAGGCAGTCAGAAAGAGAGACAGTTTTTTCAAAGATGGGTAGCAAGGTGGTCAAATTCCTGACTGGTCAAAGTCTGGTCTATTAGTTTGTCATGAGAGAAGTAACAGCAAAGATATCCCAAGTGTCATATACCTACCCACCACAAGTCCATACCAGGTGAATCAGTGAATAAATAACTTAATATAATGAAAACAGGATTTGTGTTGTGTTTCCTTTTTTTGCTGTGATGTTATTTCACTTTCTAATGTACACGGAGCCCTTCCCAGTATAAATAAGTTCTTTGTTACAATTTTCTGAACAATCGCTTGAATATCCTCCAGTAAAACTGTTAGGGGAAACTAATTTCTTTCCCCTATAAAGAACAATGACTCAAAATACAATTGAGTTACTTCTCTTGTCTGGAAGTTGAGCGCAGCACTTCTGAATTAAACATGGTGACAAGCTCTCACACACACACACACATTGAAGTCATGGTTTCAATCCAAACAAATCCTTGCTGTTCTCAGACAGTAAATGAATAAAAGTTGTTGTTATTGTGTGTTAAAATACACTTATCTTTTTATTTTCATTCGTTTTTGTTCATCTGAACAGCCTGGGATATAAAAAAAAAAAATGCAGGGAGAAAAAGCTTACCACATATTTCTCAATGAAAATATATTGCTCTCTATATGTATTTTAAGGTTAATTAAATATGTCACCGCAAACATTTATACTCTGGATTAATCTGGATTCTGGAAGTAATGTATTATTAACAGATCGCGACATCTATCAGAGAGATGAAATTTTTATTATTGCATTATTTCAAAGTTTTAACACATCAACAGATAGCTATTAACGTCAACAACTGAGCACAAGAAAAAAAAAAACACAATTAGTAATTGACAAACAAGCCATGGCAAGCACTCAGCCTCCCATGTCTGACCGTAACCCCACACATGCAGGTAATTTCACTTATTTTTCCACAATATAGCTATTTTTGCTGTTATAATGCTTATTACCTAAACAATAATAATACTGAATATTTTTTTAAAACATTAAGGTATATTTAATCACATCTTCCTAATAGCTGTCATGAATTGTGAGCAAGGGTAAAATTTTTCAATGATCGATTTGTTTGTTTAATGGTATATAAACTCATAGGTCATTTAATACCAAAATTTAATTTTCATGAGAGTTGAAAGAAGTAATTTGGTAATTTTACTATAAATATGCTGGTATTTTTACTATTTTGTTAAGTTGTTTCTTTTGGTGATTTTACTTATCTTGGGGGGAAAAAAATCAATAAGATGGCATGTTAAGAACTTGCTATTTTATTTTCCTTTGCTTTTCTCAAAATGTCTTACCTTTTGTTCCCGGAATCTTCCATCTGTGATACTCTTGGAAAGATCATCCATACGTTTACGCTCCACAATATAATTCAAGACAAGTTCACGTGGATTGGAAGGACCTGTAGATTGTAGGGGAAAAAAAAATATATATATATATATATATATATATATATATGTGTGTGTGTGTGTCACCTAACAGCAGACAGGTAAATACTAGAAATGCAAAAGAATTTATCAGTAAATATTCTTTGCTTGCCTTCTCAGGAAGTTAGGTGCAGGGAATGATTTTCGTTGAGCTCAGATTCAGGCTTGCCAGATTATGCGAGGTTAAAAATATATATTAATATATTATACTAGCCATTATTGTTGCTTTCATGGTTCAAGGGGAGTAACTAGTTTTCCTTTTGTATCTAAAATGGCAGTGCACATTTTATTATAAACTAGCTTAAAAGCCACCCTATCAGGTGGCAGTTAAGCTAGCTCTTATAGAGGAGTCTTGGTTTAGCCATCATCACAGTAGCTTGGGAGGAGTAGATGCAATAGGCATCAATAACTACAGAAGAACTCAAAATTGATCGCTGCATTTAAGTAATGAATTAATGTTTAAGCTTACCTTTACATCAAAAGTTCAATGATAATTCTTCTGCTGACATTTAATTTAAAAACCATTTGATGTACGTAGGTCCTTATTTTCCATACAAACAATTATTTTTATTTAATGGATGACAGAACAGGGGACAATTTGTAAGATAAAATTAATATAGTACAAAAATGGGAAAATAGAAATTAGAATTAGTTATACATTCAACATTTGAAGAGTTAGAGAAACATAATAGCTAATTAAGTAAAACCTATATTATGGAATCTGAGTTTGTCTATATTTCTGAGATGAGGTATTATGTACAGTATTTACATTAGTCGGACTATTGTCCTCATCTTTGTCGCCATATTTGTCACAACGTTTATCTACTACTGTTGATATCGGTCCGGCCTTCTTCAGGTGGTTGGAATTTCAATTTCTATCGCTTTCATTAGACTGTTCTAATTCCGTGCCATGTTTGATGGATGTCAAAAATCAGTTATCTCCTGCTAATTTTCCTCTAAAGTTCTCCACTGCCTTAACCAGGAATTGAACTCACCTTCTTTGGGTCTGTCCTCTTCATCTAACCAAACAAGCCTTTATCCACTTTGCCATGTGTCCTGAGGACATCTGGGTATGAACTTCTGAGTATTATAAACCTAATGTTTTCAGCATCATTTTTACCAGTGCTCATATTGCAACTTTGTTATCATTGCTTTTCTCTGGCACTCCTTATTACTGGTTCCATATTGTATTTATTTCTATGCTTGGTCTTTCAGGAGATTTTGTGGCCTAGCATATGTGCTGATTCCTTTAAGTTTATCATGAATTACGAGTTTGGAATTTTAACAGTCTACCCCAGCCCGATCGTTTTAAAGGGTTCAGTTGAAATTCAACCACCTGAAGAAGATGATGCATAAAAGCTCAAACGTTGTATCAAATATGGCACAAAGATGAGGACAATAGTCCGACTAATGTAAATATTATGGAATCTATATGAATAATTCTAAAATTGGATTGAATTCCGAGGTTAAAAAGCCACAACTCTATAGTAATTTATACAGTGTTTACTCATTCCCCCACGAGGACGAGATGTGACACAAAGTCTTTTTAATGTGAGGACCTAAGCACGTACAGCCGGGCAGGACAAAATCCCCGCAACCATCGGTTGGGCTGGTTTTGGTGTGAGCACCGATCCCTCCCTCTAGTGCAATGGGAGGGCGCGGCCTTGAGCAGATGTTCCCCTGGTTTGGGCACCTCTCAGTATAACAGAGAAGCCCCTGAGCGCACTCAGCTGAAAGATAGAAACGCAACTGAGAGATGATAAATAAAGAAGTTGGTGGGGGAAGGATGAGAGGCCAAAAAGAAGCCGGGGGGGGAGAGACCAAGGAGTTCGGGGGAGGGATGAGAGACCAAGGAGTTCAGTGGGGAGGATGAGAGACCAAGGAGTTCGTGGGGAGGATGAGAGACCAAAGGAGTTCGGTGGGGAGGGATGAGAGACCCGAAGGAGTTTGGTGGGAGGGATGAGAGACCAAGGAGTTCGGTGGGGAGGGATGAGACCATAGGAGTTCGTGGGAGGGGGATGAGAGACCAGGAGTTCGGTGGGGGAGGGGATGATGAGGTGAAGGAGTTCGGTGGGGAGGGATGAGAGACCGAAGGAGTTAAATGGGGAGGGATGAGAGACCGAAGGAGTTCGGTGGGGAGGGATGAGAGACCGAAGGAGTTCGGTGGGGAGGGATGAGAGACCGAAGGAGTTCGGTGGGGAGGGATGAGAGACCGAAGGAGTTCGTGAGGATGAGAGACCAAGGAGTTCGGTGGGGAGGATGAGACCGAAGGAGTTCTTCGGGAGGGGATGAGAGACCGAAGGAGTTCGTGGGGACAAATGAGAGACCGAAGGAGTTCGGGGGGAGGGATGAGATATTTAAGGAGTTCATACATTGAGGATGAGAGACCCGCAGGAGTTCGGTAAAGGATGAAGAGAAAAGTTATAGTTTAGGGGATGAGAGACCGAAGGAGTTCGGTGGGAGGGATGAGAAACTTCCATAGTTGATTGGGGCAGGATGAGAGACCGAAGGAGTTCGGGTCTTATTAGAGAGACAATAAGGAGTTCGGAGATCCAGGGATGAGAGACCGAAATAGTCAGGTGACACCAGCCCGAGGAAAGTAGTCGGGTGACACCCAGCCTGAGGAGGGGGAGAATTTGGGGACAAGCGTTTTTGTTTGGTATACAAACCGTAAGTTTTTATATTTACAAGGCTGAGGAAGTTGAGGAGAAGGTACAAGACCGAGGAAGTTGGGGGGGACAAGGCCAAGGAAGTCTGGTTATGGATAAGAGGCCAAGAAAGTTGGGGTGGGGGAAATAAGAGGCCGGAGAAGTCAAAGGAATAAGAGAAAAAAATGAAAAAATAAGAGGGTCTGGAAAGAGATAAAAATAGAAGAAAGACAAAGAGAAGAGAAAACAAGAGGACAGGAAAACAGGTGGAGGGAAATAAGAGGCCAAGACAGTAGAAAGTTGGGGGAGGAAGAGGCCAAAAGTAAGGGGGGAATAAGAGGCTGAAGATCCCAGGGGAGGGAATTATAAGAGGCCAAGGAAGTGGAGAGTCCAACAGAAATAGGAAGTAAGGTGGGGGAATAAGAGCATGAGGAAGCAAGGTGAAGAGGTTATAAAAGGACAATGAAACTGAGGGATACGAAATGAGGGAGAATAAGACGGTGAGGAAGTGGAATAAGGCGGCAACGAAGAAGTGGAGGGGGAATAAAAAGCAAATTCTTACCATGGGTGCTGTACACTCGTTCCTGTGCAATCCATAAAAAGTCTCCAACATGTAATTTTCGTAAATTACACTTCACACCATTTTTAATTAATTCTGGAAGTAGGTTTTTGTCATTAGAAGAGCTGATAGAAAAACCAAAGTAAATTACTTAATAATTTGAAGGCTAAATATTTTTAGCATGAAAACAAGTTAATATTCTAAAAATGAATACAAATTGTGCCCTCTTGGTCAATTTGTCATTTGGCCTTTGCCAAAAAGCTGGAAAACAGAAACCGACACCTAAAGGAGCTCTCTATACAAATATGTGCCTGATTCATAGTAGTATGCCTGATTCATTATTAAATTACTAGCATAATACATACAACAAAATTATTGACATGTGCATCACCACATATGCCAAGATCAGTGCGTACTCTCTATGCACACTATGAAAAATTGCACACACACACTGCATGGTGACTGGTTGTTTCATGCCTCAAGCAATCATCAGAAATTTTTGGAATGTGACAGGGCAAAAATGTTTTGATATTTTGAAATGCCATGTTTGGTTTCATTGGTCAGGTAGATATCACATGTTCAGTTTTTTGTGGCATTAGTATGCACGTAAAATTTATACCTAAAATAAAAAGATAAAATGCTATTTTATATATATATATATATATATATATGCAGCATATCTTTAGTCAAGCATGTTTGGTTGAATAATCTAGACACATCATGTCTATTTATTTTAATCCAGGTAGTGGGGAAAATAAAAGAAATATCCAGAACTACGTCTTTCGTACTCAGTTTTGTAATAGCACTAAGAAATTGATCCGTGAATTTGAGAGGATATATATATATATATATATATATATATATATATAGAGAGAGAGAGAGAGACATACAGTTCAAAAATTTGAAGCCACCCCCAGAGTTAGCACAGGATGATCTTGACAGAAGAGTGAAAAAAAAAAAAAAATGTGGGCTCTAACAATCATTGAAAAATGAATGGACCCAATTATTAAACTTATACTTTGAGAAACTTTTGCAATGAATGCCAAAAATTTTATGCTGCAGTAATCAAAGCTAAAGGAGGATATTTTGACAAGAGCAAAATTTAATCATAAAATGCTTTTTTTTTTTTTTTTTATTTGTCATAATAAAATTTCTAAAAAAAATCACGTCTCACTTTTTTTTTTTAACCATGTATAATAATTTTATTTTAAAGTACAAAACAACTACTTTTTGAGCCAAATAAAAAAATTACCAGGGGCTCCCTCAAATTTTTGAACTGAAGTGTAAATATATATATATATATATATATATATATATATATATATATATATATATATATGTGTGTGTGTGTGATGACTGTGTGCAATAATGTATACCAAACTGGCAGTCTTGACTGCTCAGGTGAACACCTGATTTCAATATATATATATATATATATATATATATATATGCAACACAGGAGGTATTACCCAAATGTTCAGGTAATTTTAACAGGTTGATGAACTTCTCAATTTACCCTGCATTTTTCACACATAGTGGCCATTTCAATCATTTCGTGAAATCACCAAGAAATAAAGAGCCTCATTTTCAATAAAGTTTCCTGAATCTTCAGGCAGCAATATGGATATTATTTACTTTTATTATTTATTATTTCATTCACTACAATTGAAACATTTCTTTGATACCATCAAGGCAAGATTCCATGAAAATCTGGATAGCATTTTGAAATTTTTTAACCAACAAGAATTAAATAAGCTTTTTGTTTGACAAAAATACAAGCAACTTTTACTCACCTTCCATAGAATTCACAATTATCCACACACAGAATGATATCGAATGTTCCAGGTTGGAGTGTGAACTCAATTGAAGTTGATTGATCTATAGGAAAAGCATCATCAGTGACAGGGTTTTTATTTATTGCCAAATTGGTGGAAACTTCTTTCTGGTTATTCTGTCGTTGCAATGGAACGCTGAGGGGGGAAAAAATCAGCAAAACATTATTGATTGTCTAGCTTTCTTTTTAGTGATGAAATATACAAGAGAGTGCTGAATATTTTAAGCTTAATTAATTTCCTAAAATCTGAATATTATTATATCACTGCAGCTAGAAAGACTGTTCTTTTATATTGCAAAGTGCCAATTTGCTGGATCTTCATTTACTGAATCCAATCAAAAGAAAGTGTGGAATTTTCAAGTGTTGACATTTTGGCCATCATGAAGCTCCTGCAAAAGAAATCCATGATTGCTTGATGAAAACATTAGCTGATATACTCACCTGTGAAGAAGTGGTGCACCAATTGTACCAATTTTTTGCTTTGAGGTTTTAAGACCCAGGATGCAACACCAACAACTAGGGGGGGGGGTCTTCTAACAGTGTCAACTGAAATTGCTGATCATGTTCATAATCTAATCTTGGCCAATTACGAAATCTTTAAAAAAAAAAAAAAAAAAAAGAAAAATACTGAAGCATAAGAGATATCCAAGAATGTATTAGGTCTATAATTCATGAGCAGTTGATTATGTAGAAACTAACAGCCAAGTGGATACCAAAAGGTCTAAAATGCCAAACAGAGATGGCATAAAGTAGATTTTGCAGTATTTTCAGCTATCTAGTAATAATTCTTTGGAACGAATTGTTACTGTTGATGAGACAGTGTTGCATCACTATGATTCAGAGACAAAACAAGTCGATTTAGTGGCATCACTATGATTCAAAGACAAAACAAGTCGATTTAGAGGCATCACTATGATTCAGAGACAAAACAAGTCGATTTAGAGGCATCACTATGATTCAGAGACAAAACAAGTCGATTTAGAGGCATCACTATGATTCAGAGACAAAACAAGTCGATTTAGAGGCATCACTATGATTCAGAGACAAAACAAGTCGATTTAGAGGCATCACTATGATTCAGAGACAAAACAAGTCGATTTAGAGGCATCACTATGATTCAGAGACAAAACAAGTCGATTTAGTGGCATCACTATGATTCAGAGACAAAACAAGTCGATTTAGTGGCATCACTATGATTCAGAGACAAAACAAGTCGATTTAGTGGCATCACTCAGATTCTTAATGGATAAAGAAATTAAAAATGCAAAAGTCATCAGGAAAGGTCACAGGACTGGTAAGATAATAGCCATTTTGAAGAATTTGGGATGTAAGTGCAAAGACCATCCACTCCACTACATTTGAATTTGTTTGTATTTCATTTATTTTTTTGCTAACCACAAAATAGGAGCTGACAAATATAGTGTTTGTGTGTAGAGAGAGAGGAGGAAGATGGCATAAATACAAAAAGAATTTGAGAATTCACATATGAGTTAAAGATTAAATGTAGATCAAATATTGATCGAAATCCAACAGGGTGATAAAATAAAAGAACAAATAGGAAACATATCAATTTAACATGTTTCACTTTTATTAAAGTTTCATCAGAGATTGAGAGAAAACAGACAAAAAGACAGAAAACACTGGTATTTTCAATTATGTTTGGGTCAGACATGTGCCACATGTATTAAAACCATGGATAATTCTACATGTATGTAGGTTTGTGATGATTCTTGTATGTCTAAGTGGGCAACAGATTGTAATGCATATTTGTAATTGTATACGTGTGTGTCTCGTTGAGGTTTTTATCTTCACCTTTGTATAGTCAACCCTCACAGTGGGGAGTCGCAGGATTCTAGCTTATGGCTTGTCTCTTTAAGAATGTATTCTTTATATATAATTTTTTGTGTATTACATTTTTCACCAACCACACAGATATTACACTCTAATCCTAGATAGAAGTGCCAGTCTCTATGTAAATAATTTTTTTTTTAATCATTTCATTCCAAGCAAGGCAATAAAGCCTCCAGGACACAAGGGGGTAATGATTGGTTTGGTTTACAGAATATCAACCTCAATGGATTATTTAATGCCGACGAAATTTTTATTGCTGGTAATGTTTTTCTTCAAAAATTTATTTCTGGGAATATTTTTCCTTGAAGAAATCTATAGTTGGTCATATCTTTTCCAAAGAATCTGTTTGTATTGCTGGTATTTTTTTTTTAAAGTATTGCTGATAATTTTTCCTTCAAAAATTATTGCTGTTAATAATTTTTTTTATTACAAAGTACTTCTGGTATTAAAACCTATTTTTACACAAGTTTGGGTGTTAACTATTTGCCCATAGCTGGGACCCTAACAGGTGCTACCACCCCAGATCAGTGTGAACCTGGGAACACCAGCAATTCCACACTCCTCAAAACCTCCTGATCAGAAGCCTTGCTGCTGGATGTAGTTTATCATCTTACCCAGGACACGGATGTAATTTATCATATACAAGACAGCAAGGGGTTACTGAGTGTGAGAGAATATGAAGGGAAGAAAAAAAAAACGCTATTAAGGAGTGAAGACAATAAACAAACAGGAACTAGGAAGACAGAAGATAATGATAGACATTGCATTTAAATTTTTGAAGATCAATGTTTAGTGGGAAACAAGAAGTCAAAAAAAGTGTTCCACAAGCAAGAATTGCCAGAGAAGAAACTGCTAGCATAGAACTTATGGTTGCACCTAGATATTTCAACTGTAAGATGATGAGATGTAGCCACAAAACTAGCACTGTGCTTAAATTCATAAAGTCTAGGTACCATAGAGGAAGGTTCATCAGAACAATTACCATGAAAATATTTATAGAAAAGGTGCAGAGAAGCTATATTATAGTGATGGGAAAGTGACTGAAGTCGAGATGTCAGGTCAGGACAAATAATACTGCAGATTCTTCTTTGGATTTTATCAAGACTCTCCAAATGTATAGCAGAAGCACCAGACCAGATGTGGGAGCAATATTCAAAGCACTGACAAATGGTACACATATAAATATGTAAGATTTATTCAGGAGAGAAAAAAATTGTCTTGGATGACACAGTAAACCCACTTTCCTAGCAGTAGACTCAATATAATCTTTCTACCTCAGGTTAGTGGAAAATGTTAGTCCAAGAAGGTGCAACAAGTCACTCTCTTGGAGGTTAGCATTAGCCATGCTGATGGAAGGCAGAAAGGATTCTCAGAGACAATTATAAAGAGAGAGCAGTTTCGTTTTAAATAATCTCATCATTTTTTATGGGTATTATGTTAGTATTGAATAAAACAGTTTGACTGATACAGGCAGAACTAAATTTCAATACTTAATCTAAAGGAAAGCAAAAAAGAAAACTACCTCCTTTCTAACCATTTTCCTTTCACTCTTAAAAGTCTCAGACTACAACTGTCTTCTTTTGCGACAACAAAGCCAGTATATCTTTGCTTCCAAAATATTAACTCAAAAACACACACAATTTCTAACAGTGCTTTTCTTCCTTTTCAGCTACACCCTTGTGCAAATTGAAACAATCACTTTAGTTTTCTTTCTTTCACCATACAGTAAGTTTTAGACCCACTGGAGATTTAAATCAAATCGAGAATCTGTAGTCAATCTGCAAGGAACGACTTTGTGGAATGGACATACAAAGTATTAACATGTGCACTGGGTCATGTTTCATTGGAAAAATACAAAAAAAAAAAGTAAATAGTAATGGAATTATTTGTTTTGTTTCAATTAATTTGCATAAGGATGTATATGTGCACACACTAGCATATTTTCTCTATTTTGTGAATCATATTGTTATATAAAAATACATAAAAATTCCTCCATATATTGAAATTTATTCCTTCTGAAAAGTTGAATTCCTTCTCTTCAAAAGTTCTCTATACAAACAGGTAGACATGCATTCCTTCTACATACTAAATGATATATCTATGATATTTTAAAGGGGATGTCTGATAACCCCATTGTATCGACACTTTGACAATGCTCCACGGTATTAACGGAGGGTTATGATAAAGTATTTATACAATCGAGCTTATTAAAATGTTAATAATAAGTAATAAAATAATGATGGTAACCTTAATAATTCAGTTTCAGTTCCTATCCGAGTGTACAAGTCTGACTGGAATGGAAGATGATTTGAAGATGCGAGGTCATTTGCTGTGTCAGTTGATTTGGACTGAATGTTTTGTCTCCTTCCACAAGATCTTGTAGATTTAGTAGAGTTAATGTTTTCCTTTGGAGGTTCCAGGTTTTTTATCTTTTGAGCCAATTCCCGACCGGCATCAGTCAGAGAGTATCTGAAATGGTGTTGGGGAAAAAAAAATAAATAAATAAAACCAGAAAAGTTGAAATCCAAAAACTTCAGTTATTAAATGATTTCAAAACACTTTAATTTATCAAATATCATTAAAAATTAAACAATTTCCATTAGAGTTCAATCATCACATTTTGCCTTGAAGGCAAATCAATGATTTGTCATCTTCAGTATTGCTGTGCATTTCCAAGCATTTTTTTTAAACAAAGATGTTGACCCTTTACAAGGCCCGAGAGTCACTAGTGGTAGAGAGTTACAGAGAGTAAGAGGCATGTATTATGGTGAGCAGTAATATGAATCTAGGATAGGAGGGGGAAGATAACGATTAACCCCCTAAACTTGAACAAACAATGATTGTAGCAACCCCAGGGAAACATCCTCTTAGGATTTGGTTCCACAATGCAGTGTTTTGTGGGAAGAAGCTACTCAAGTAGAACTTACATTTCACCAATGAAATACAAAGAGAATTGAGGTGATTCACTATGATGTGTGTCGCATGATAGTCTTTAGCTGTGAAGGTTAGAATTGATGGAACTAAGGAATGTAGTTTGTCTGAACACTTTCCCTGGACAATAGCAATAGAGCAGCAAAAGGCTTGCAGCATTTCGTCTATCAGAAAAGTTGGAAAATAATACAAAGAAAATAATAGCGAATCGCTACAATGTGTGTGGCATAGTGAAGACTGTGCAGCTCCTGCCCACATATAACAGCGGTACTCCATTTTTGGCCTGATATGGCTCTTGTAAAGGCAGAAAATACCAGGAGTTAGGTACTTACTGGAGTGATACAGGAAACTGACCATTTTCCCAGCATCTTTAGCAATTTAACATATGTACGAGTTCCACTTGAGGTTCTGGGTTCAGTTTATGTCCCAATAGGCCCCCAAGGCACAGGGCCTCCCTGAGGGAATATCTAGTCATCAAGACTGGTGAAAGTTCTGGGTCTAATCAGTGATGATAGAATGTCATTAGTTCGGTTTTCTTCAACACCCACAGAACCTACCTGTAGTTCATGCTGCAACTATGCTGAGCAGACCTTACTTACACTTCAAGTGTGTGACCCACAAAGGCTACCTACATAGGGTTTTGAATTCAGAATTGTCTTCCTCTTCCTCAGAGTGGTTGCCAACCATGACTTCTGTGTTCAGTCTGCCCAGTTATTTAACCTGTAGATAAGGGGAGGAGATAAGATGCATTCATAAATTTCCCAGTACAATTTAACAAATGTAACAATTTTGGCTGGAATCTGAACTCACCTCACCAATTTCTCATTCTATGCCTCTATGACACCCATGTGCACATCCAGAGTTCAATATCATACATAATAATACTTCTTAGGCATTTCCTTCAATGCTTTAGCCAATCAATATTTACCTTAATTTGATGCAAGGCTACAAATTTGTGGCACCCATTGAGGAAATAAATTCACAGTTGATGGTTTTTCTAACAAGACAATCAGCAACATCAATCCCACAACCGGGTGTGATCATACGGTTACTGCACAGCTGAGTACCTGACAAGTTCCCACACATATCTGGGTTGAAAACTGAAGAGGTATTTATTGACGACTAGCCTGTCTGGAGCAAGTAGATTTGGCAGAGCTCATCTCTCTCCAGGTCAAACCACAACTTGGCCATTGATTGTATCAGAGTAACTCTCTGCCCTGGCCCTTGACCTCAGTTTAGGAAGCCCTTCACCCAGTGATGATGTGTAATCACCCCACTAGCTGCATGCATAACTATGGAGCTCAGGCTAACCATTGTACTAGATGGCTATTGATGGTACAAGGTTAATCCACACTTTAACAGATTTTTTTTTCTTTAATCCTAGTAGCCCTCATATCAAGACTCAAGTTAAAATATAAATACCATTTCCACAATTTTAGATTGTATTCTTGTTCGAATTTTGAGATTAAATATTACCGTGCTCAATTTTTTTTTCTATGGTTGAATTGGTTAAAGCATTGTCCATGTAAAAGAAACTCCTGGAATTTGGATATGAAAACTGACCCTGAAAAGAAAAACTGACCCACCAAAATATATATATACATTGGGTGTAACAGCATAATTGGCCATGCCACAAAATATATCTAAAAAAAAAAACACTAAACTAATTCAGTTTCTTTTTTCCCAGGTTTTCAGATAAGATGTTTAGCCATCTTGATACCATTTGACATAAGAATCACTGAAAAACCCTTTGAGTTATTCAGCTAGAAAGAGAACAGGTTAAAATCATTTTGTGTCAGACTCACTGTCTTCTCAAATGAGCAATGGTGAGAGGAAAAAAATCATTCAGGCCTTCAGTAACAGTACCAACATTCATACTCTGGCTTCCATCTTCAAAGTTCAGTCAAGAACTATCAAGAGAATGGTGAATAAGTTTATAAAAGAGGGAACAGTAAAGAGGAAAACTGGATCAGGACGTCATCATTTCAACTTAGAGCTTAAGAGATCAATTAGAAAAGATCCAACTCAATTCATAAGACATTTGGCATGTGAGAGAGAAATTTCAGTTATGACAGTCCAAAGAGCAATGAAAAAAAAAAAAAAAAAAAAAGGCTTGAAAATGAAATCATACAGGAAACATGTGAGGTACCTTGTTACTCCAGGACAGAAAGTTAGAGAGGGCAAAGATCATCTCAAATGAGTGTGAAAATGATCCTGGAATAGTGTGTGTGTGTGTGTGTGTGTATATATATATATATATATATAGGAACTTTATTTCAATCCATCATGAGACTCCAATCGTTAGTCATGATTAATTAATGGGGAACATGTCATTTTCGTTTATAATCAATTTCATCACAATTTTTCTGTTAAGCTTGGAGAGTAATTATACATTCCTATTGCTCAAAATAGAGTCCAATAGATTTATAAGAAACAACGGTTCAAGGTTTAATCTAACAAATTGGACAATTTTACTGTTACACCCGGTGTTTGCGTGTATATATATATATATATATATATATAAGAAGGCAAAAATGGAAGGGGGTGTTTCTAGGAAACTATTAAGAGTTTTTAAAGATCCATTACCAAAATGAAAACTGTGCATTTTGTCTTTATTAAATACATTTTTTTTATCAGAAGTTACTTCATTTCAATATCTCAATGCTTTGCTTTAACAGTCAGTTCACCTAGAACATTGTGATAAAAGACAACATTAACCCTTTAGCATTCAATACAGCCAAACTCACCTTGTAAATATCAATTCTGAAAGTTTCACAGTTTATAGTCAAAGTCTCACTGTTTGCAGGACTTCCTGCATTATTTCATCATGTATTATGGCAGAGTATACATGGGGCGGGGGTTACAGCAGGTTTAACATTGAGAGCCAATATTTATGAGGTGGTTTGAATACTAAAGAGTTAAAATGAAGTAAGCTAGTCAGAAATTATTAATGCCTGAAAGTTATTAGTAAAAATAATCTGATTTATGTAAAGACAGAAAAACACTTACTTTGCTGGGCTACTTTCCTTTAAAACAAGACCCTTCTTAATAAGAATTCCCATTGATGACCAGGCTGTATAATGAGATGCGGGTGGAGGCTAAAAGAATGAATACAGCAAGAGCAAACTAATATGCAATTAAACTGTTACTGATTTTACTATAAAAATGCATTGCAGATTATTGTAATTTGAGTTATGTGTGTGCAATATGACAAGCAGAATTTATTAAACAAATATATCAAAGCATTCATTCACTCTAATGATGGCATAGAAAAAATAATTCTGATTCTATTTTAGAAGATGTGTAGGTGGTGTAATAGTTGGGAGACTCAGGACAATAAAGTGGCAAGCCAAGTTCAAATTCCAGTCAAGATTGCTACATTGACTTTTGCACAAATACCCTTAGGAAAGGTATGCATATCAATTTTCCCTCCAGCCTTTTGTTAAAAAGTAGGGTAGACTGAACTTGATAACCATATAATACAAGAGAACAACTCTACATTCAAAATCATGTTTATCCCTTCATCTACTCTCTTAAAAGGACTGAGGAAGGTGGAAAGCAATTTGAAAACCTATATGAAATTTTCTTTGGAACAATGAAAACCTTGCCTTCATAGAAATTGACCAGTGAGCTGAGGCGGAGGAGGAAAGGAGTTCACAATCCTATGTCAAATTGTTTTTGAACCAATGAAAACCTTGCCTTCACAGAAATTAGCCGATCAGCTGAGAAGAAGAAAAGAAAGTAACAAGTCTACACAAAATTCTTTTTGATATAAAATAAGGAGAAAAATTAAAGAGTGTCTAAAGTCATAAGAAAGGTTTCATTTTAGTTCTTCATAACCAGCATTGAAGTTCTCACCAGTGTAAAATTACTCGCCAATTATATTATCTGGTTTTATCATGGAGCACTTCAAAGAATTTTCTCTCACCAATCCAAGAAAGTTATTTCAAACTCTCTTTGTCTACTTTTGAATGTATGCAAACCATATATCCCTTCAATGAGCAACAAACTATCTTACCTTTGTTTTAAACATTTTTTTTTAAATATTGTGTCAAATTATTTAATCTGTTGTATAAACATTTCCTCTTCATGATAATATGTTAAAACTATGGACTTTAAGGATTCTGATTTATTTTCCTGAAACAAGCTACTAACACTACTTCAAGCATGTAAATTCATGAATAAGTTCCTTATCTTGTTTTGTGAATATTATCCATGTTTCCTAGTCATTATTATCCTTCATTAATCTTCTTGGCATGGGTCAATCAACTGTTCATTTTAACCCCAAGCCCCACGACTCTATAGAGGTACATACTTGAATTATAACTATGATCTGCTCAGCATAGTTGCAATATAAACCACAGGTTGGTTCCGTGGGTGCTGATGAAACACAAATGTGACATTCCAATGATGACAACTCACACTAATTTACAGTGCTTATTTTTATTTTAAACATTTCACCTTAAGCAAGGCGGAAGTGCCACTAGCACGCAAGAGGTTACAGAGAGTGGGAGCAAGAGTAAAGAGGCATGATAGAGGAAAGGATGAAGAGAAGGATGGGGAATAGATCAAAGCATATGGAGATATTGATTGACATTGCATTTGAATATTTGGAGATTATGGCTATCAGGGAAGCAAGTAAGAGGAAGGGAGTTCCACAGAAGTAGAAGAGATGGCTACATTTAACCATTTTGGCAGTGAAAGGGTGGGACTGAGATGCCAACCTAGTAGCACATTTAAATTCATACAGTTTGGGAACCAGTGAAAATAGCTTGTCAGAGCAGTTACCGTGAAAGTATTTATAGAAAAGACAGAGGGAAGTGACAGCACGTTGTGTGCCTTTAAGACAAAACAGCTCCAATCTATTTTAGTGTCAACCTGATCTGAACCTGGTATCTGTTTTAATGTCACTTATTGAAACCCACTGACTTTACCTCTACACCACCATTTCCCTCCCTGCACACTTAGCTTCAGTTATTTTCTGCACAGACTAAATATTTCTGGTAGTAGGGAAAAAAAATTCTGAATTAAGCAACAAATTTTGCAAATTGTAATCTAATGTAACAGATTTAAGTACTTGATCTATATTTTATGTATTGAAAATGAAAAAGAAATAGATTGTCAAAAGCTCAGAAATTAATGTAAGCATTACTGTCAGAACAGGACTATGAAATATATTGTCGGAGTTAGCTCCTCCTTAATTTCCTAATTGTTCACTAGGAGTCGCTCTCCCTACACTATAAATACTGGGCGACTTCTTGCCTCATTCTCTTCTCTACTTTGCATTTCAGCGGACACATTTAAAAATGTAATCTCTGAGAGATCAACATTTTTGCCAACTTATGGGAAAACGCCATGAAACACACATACACGTACATATGTATGAACATTCACCAATATACAAACTCTTTACGTCCACACACCAACACAAATGTTAATGTCTTTATCACGAGTAAATTTGTTGTTTAATACATATGTTTGTTGACATATATGTTTGTTTTCTTTACATCTTCGGTTGGACTTAACTTGAGTTCAGCATTGTTCGTGTAGTTGAACCTTCTAGCAGGAATAAACAGCACGTATCCCAAATTCAACAACACTCAAACAGGTCCTCTACAATATAATGTAATTTTATTATAGAAATTGTTGTATAGTAAGATAGACTCATCTATTTCTGGTGTTTTATAAGCAGTGAGTTTTGTTAGATCTAACCTTACTGCTTCCAGAAATTTACATATGTAAATGAAAGCTTGAAATGCAAATATTCAGCTGTGGGGTCTTCAACTAAAATAGTTTCATAGAAAAATTACAAAATTATAACAGAAGTGCAATGAAAATCAGGAAAGAAAGGGATTGTCAACACTCAGTAATGAATGCAAGCCTTACAAGAAAATAGGTCTATCATGTGTATACAGTAGTCCACTGCTATTAGGCAAACCAGCTTACCACGGTACCAGTAATAGTAAAAAGCTTTAGCAAGCAGGATTCAGTCACATGTAGATGTGCCTACAAATCATTTTAGATTATATATGTATATATATATATATATATATATAAAAATAAATAAATTCCCAAGAGGAGAGAATCCAGGTAGAACTCAATGTCCAGGACAGATTAAGAATATAATATAAAAAGTCTACAAATTCAAAAAGAAATAATTTTCCGATTTCTTTTTGAATTTGTAGGTCTGATGAATTGGATCGCAATAATGATTCCAATGTAATAAATTATAACCCTGGAATATTAGTGTTTGAGCCTTTATATATATATATATATATATATATATATATATATATATATATATATATATATATATATATATACACACACACACACACACTTGAGTATAGTGAAAGTTTTTTTGTTTTTTTTTAAATAGCAATTGCACTATACACAAGGGATTTCTTTGAAGAGGTTAAAAATCATGTATTTTTGATGACCGGTTGTACTATATACAGGTAAATTTTTTTTTCTGTAGAGGTTAAAATTCATGCAAGAAAAATTTATGGGTTTCACTATACACAAAGTCAACTTATGCATGAGTATATATGATAATTTAATTTGGGGAAAAGTAGAAAACTACTTACAGTTTTAAATGAAGTATCACATAAATCCTGAGCTTCTTTAATTAAATCTGTTTTTGTCATGTGACTCTGCAAGAAAATGAAAATTGTATTTAATAATGACAAAGTGGTTTTCAAGTTTTCATTTTAGAAAATTATCTTTCAACTCTTAATAGTTCTCAGGAAAACAGACCACTTCATTTTTACATCCATCTTGAATTTTTTTTTTTTTTTTTTTTGTTACTTTAAATATTACTTTTCATGGACACTCATATTTCAGTAGAATGCCTCATTCTTTTTAAACATTGTTTATTTTGTCTACCAGCCTTCAAATTTGAGAGAACTTAAGAAAACGCGCTGACAGGATTTGAATTTGTATCCCCATTTATAGGAGAAATCACCAACATGATCCAGCATGCTTTAGATCACTCGGCCACAGAGAGCCTCACAGCCAATGAAGGGTTCTGTTTGCCTTAAATCCGCATTCAGATTTTTCTCAAAAGCTCTATCTGCTCAGTTTCATATCTGAAATATAAACAAAGCAATTTTTAAAGAATTAATGGATTTTATTTTTTAATCTAACACATTTTTATTAATTCAGATGTTATTTACTAAAAATAATGAGTGAAGTAAAAATGTTTAATTAAAACATAAAATCCATTAAATCTTTAGAAATTGATTCATCCTGTATATAAATCATTTTTTTTTTTCTTTTGGGAGGGAAACTTGTGATTTTCTTTGCAAACCTGTTGAAAGGTAAAACAAAAATAAATATTGATTAAGAACAAAAATTGCAAATTTATTAAAAAAAAAAAAAAAAAATATATATATATATATATATATATATATAGATAGCCAGTAAAAAATATTTTAACAGAAATGTGGTTCTACAGAAGGATGCTGGGAATATCATAAACTGTACATGTGAAGAACAACAAAGTTCTAGAGAAAATGGAAACAAAAACGATACTTATAACATCAGGAAAGTTAAAATTTCTGCTGCACTTAATGAGAAAGGAAGGCTGGGAAAAATTTGTTACTCCAAGATCAGCTAGCGAGCTTGGGTAAATGGATGGCAGAACAGGGTTTAGGATATAGCAAAAAGACAAAATTTATTAAGAACTACAAAAGAGAGGAAATTGTGGAGACACATGATCATCAACTTTCTGAAGGAACATGTACACAGAAGAAAAAGACCCCTGCCTGTCTAAAATCACTGACAGGAAAAAAGAAAAGCCAACAGATTTTATGTACATGCTATTTTCAGGTAATATTTCCAGGTAATATTCATCAGACTACTTTCTTTCCTGGGGGTCCTTACATGCAGGATGGACCAGCTATTTGAGAACATACCTTTAGGACAGTCTGAAGCAATGGTTTAACCCGATGCCCCCTCCCCCATAAGTCAGGATATCATCCCCCTCCTTTCCAAGATTATCAAACTCAAAAGGTGCATTCCAAATAATATGCATATATTATTGAAAATCTTCATTATTTTCCTTATTATTATGCATACATTTACATGGATTATTTTTGTTGTGGCAAAAAACATGAGCTAGCAGAAAGAAAACCCAGCGTGACCCCCTCAGTTGCATGGACCGATGCACATTGCAGGTTGTATTGCTTTGGTGAGTTCGAAAGTTAACATTTTGAAACCCCCCCCCCCCCCACCTGAAACCCTAAAATCGGGGGTGGGTGTGAATTCCCCACTGGTTGAGAACCCCTAGTCTAAAGTAATGTGATGTAGCAAACACCAAATGTTCAAATTCTCATTTCTTTTCTAAATGAAGTACATTAAGCCTCCTGGCATCAGCTTAAACTGGTATTTCTCAACCAGTGTGGGGTACACAAAAGGCTGCTAGGGGTTCCACAAGAAATGGTAATAAATAGGCTAAAACATTTTTGAGTAAATTTCATTTAATTTTATATTCATAATTTTACTATACACGTACAGCATATTATTGGAAAATCTTTGGTTATTATAATAATGCTTCAACCCATTATATTATTTAAAATTATAATAATCATAGGGAATGTAAGTAGTGATGTTTATATGGTGTCATTGTGAAACCACCTTCGCTGATTAGTGAACAGGACCTGTACAGAAGTTTATATGCTGTTTTTTAAGGCAAACAGACAAACCCTCCCCATTCAAACTATTGCTATATATTGAATGGTATATCGCATTCAAACTATTGCTACATATTGAATGCTATATCGCATTCAAACTATTGCTACATATTGAATGCTATATCGCATTCAAACTATTGCTACATATTGAATGCTATATCGCATTCAAACTATTGCTACATATTGAATGCTATATCGCATTCAAACTATTGCTACATATTGAATGCTATATCGCATTCAAACTATTTTGCTATAATACAATCCTATTATACTATGTTCCCACCACTATTTGGCCTCATGGTTATCTCCAATCTAAGCTTAATAAGTATCAATAATTCAAATGATTTTGATTCTTTGAAAATCTGACAGGGTTCATAACTATTCCACAAGTTATTCAGATTAATATTCTTATCCATTTTGGTCTTGGCCAATGCATTCTTCAGCCTTCCTCAATACATCAGTCGAAACATAGAAATAAAACAAACAAAGATGGGATTATTCTGAACAACTCATAGAATAATGATGTTACACAACAGGCCCTGACCATGATTAGAACACACATGAAGTCAATGGGGCCCTAAATGATTTCATCTGAGCTGAGATGATGGCATAAATCTGCTGAGTGGAAAAGAAATAAAGAAAATAAAAACTTTCAGGACCAAGTACTACTTGGTCAGAAGTTAAGAAGGCTTATATAAGCAGAATCACAGAATGGGTAGAATAATTTCAAACAATCTGGCGGTGAGTTGTGAGTCATGATGTAGAAATGGGCTGAGGAGTGGTAGGAGAGAGTTGGAGTTCTCAATGGCTAAAGGGAAAATCTGATCTATTAAGACAGAAGTAGCAAGCAAAGTGTTACATACCTATCACCAAAGACTATCCCACATGAATCTGAGAATAAATAACCAAAGATATTGGAAATAGGATTCATATTTTCACCTTTCATTCTCTTATGTACACCAACACAAATTAGAATCAAAAAACAATATGAGGCAATTTATCTTGTCAGAAGAGAAGGATTCAGTTTATGTTTACAATGACTGTAAGAATTTCAGATGATGGTACATTTTTACTCTTTAATCAAGTATAGTTCAAGTTTTTATGATCATTTTTTTTTACATTAAAGATAGAGGGTTGCACTATACACAGGTAGTTTTTTTTGTTTTTTTTTGAAGAGTTAAAAAATCATGCATTTTAAGTGACTGGTTGCATTATACATAGGTAAGTTTTCCTGGAGCGGTTAAAATTCATGCATTTTCAGTGATTATAACCTACCTGGAAGGCCTATATTCTCACAGTACCAATGATACCAGTAATCCTGACAAAAAGGTTGTCAGTGAAAAGGTTCAGTGATGCAAACACTTGAGAAACAAAGATGAATGCAAATTTAGGACAGAAAAAAAAATCTATTAATTCTTCATTTATATAAAAAGGAATTTGTTGATTTTAATTGGCATACATAGTGGATGATGTTTTGCTCTTCATGTAACGATAAAAAGGAAGAAACTTAGGAGGCAAACCTGGGATAAAGAAGTTACCATAGCCAGGCACGAATGAAAACAAAAGTACAGAATCTAAATCATTTTATCAAATATTTTACGATAAGTGCTTTTTTTCCTCATTATTTTGGGGTAACTTTGTACAAAAAAGAATGAAGATCATTTATTTGCTATAAAATATGTCCAGGATGATGCTCAGTACTGCAATATTTGATTACGGCAGGCCTACTTGTATTGTTCAGAAGTTGGGGTTGCATTATACACCAACTATATGAAAAAATCAGATATATTTACCTGGCCTACCTACCAAGGCTAGATGTGGCACCAGGTCATTTTAACGTGGGAAATGCTATACACATACGTATGTGTTGAAACTTGACTAATGCATGGAATAATAATGCAACACAAAATGTACTTAGAACAAAATGTATTGAAACAAGAAAGTGTACACAATATTTACATATAGTCTTTTGTATATTCCTGGTAAGACCGTTCCTGGAGAATGTGTTGACTGAGTCGCAGTCAGGCAGAGTCTCTGGTTGAATCTCTTGATTCCTCTCCCTATCTTCCCGGTACCAACCATATTTATATGGTCGGTACTCCACTATGCAAATTAGGTGGATCCTACCACAACAGTATGCATATGGACCAAGGACAAAAATTGTTGTTTTGCCCAGCCCCTGCGACCACTATCATGATTTGCATTGATATTACACCAACCACCACCTCCTTTACTGTAATGAGGAAGGTGCTGCCACAGGGCTGGAATTCCTGGGGTTGAGCAACTTAAACTAAAATGAAGAGAAACAGAGCTAAGTTTCTCCACATTTTAGATGCTTTAAGTTGCTTACAACATGGTGAGGGCTAACCACACCTCAGTAAGCCCTCATTGGCCAATGGTTAACGCTTGAGACAGGTTTTTTCACAAAATAAATTCAGGGAGTCATTCGATACATGAAGTTGACATATGGGAAATGTATGAATCCACCTCTTCACCCTCCAGCTATGGGTTAATTAGTAGGACATATCAGAAAATCATTATAAACTCCAAAAAATTCTTACAATCTCAATATATTTTCTGGCTTTAACTAACCTGCAAAGGGTTGATAAGCCATAAAAGAAACAAATCACTCAATCAAGTGGAGTGTGTGTATCAACTCTCCTTCATGACTACAGTAAAACATAAATGTTTGTCAATATCTATACCTGTTTACTGTTAAGCAAAGTCAGTAAGATGGAATAAGCTCCAGATCTGTAATTTGGAATATATTCTTTCCGACGACCACCTCGGCTTTCCTGCAAAAAAAAAAAAAAAAAAAAAAAAAAAATAATAATCTAAGTGATGAATAAATAAGTTACACAGGTTTAAAACCAATTTTTATTCTGTTTAGTGAGAAAAAGTTAATACATTTTATAACCTTTGCTATACCACATGTATACCCCAGGTCAAAAATTATACTCTGCTTAACTGTTATAGGTTAAGTATTTGCTACGCCTGTAAGATATATGTTATAAAGGCTTTCAATACACACCTCACATCTATAATGGCAGCACTTTGTAATATAAGGACAATACTAATATCTATCCAAGTGTTACAAGATGCTAGATGGAAAGATAATTTCTTTTGTTTTTTTTTAATTAATTCACCCCAAGCAAGGTGATAATGCCAATAAGATGCAAGGGCCTACTAGGAGTGAAAGAGACTTTAGAATGAAGCAGATAACCCTATATCTGAAGGAACGGTACTAGAGGCTGACATTGCAGGAATGGATGCTGATGTGGATGCTATATCTAAAGGAACGGTACTAAAGGCTGACATTGCAGGAATGTATGCTGATGTGGATGCTATATCTAAAGGAACGGTACTAAAGGCTGACATTGCAGGAATGGATGCTATATCTAAAGGAACGGTACTAGAGGCTGACATTGCAGGAATGGATGCTGATGTGGATGCTATATCTAAAGGAACGGTACTAAAGGCTGACATTGCAGGAATGTATGCTGATGTGGATGCTATATCTAAAGGAACGGTACTAAAGGCTGACATTGCAGGAATGGATGCTATATCTAAAGGAACGGTACTAGAGGCTGACATTGCAGGAATGGATGCTGATGTGGATGCTATATCTGAAAGAATGGAATAAGTGGCTGTTGTTGCACCTGTGTTTGAGCCAGGATGTTAATTTTGGAAGTTTTCCTGTTTTCTCCATCTCCTGTGTTCCACTCAAAACATTACCTTTTATTTCTGCTGAAAAGGTTATTCACATGGTAATATATATCGTAAATATTTAGTATTTAGTCCAACACATTGTGCTTGCAACAATGCCTAAATATTTAAGCATTCTGCTTCCATAATGATAATGTACTTCTTTTAATTGTACAAACAGTATTTATTTTTAATACAAACTCCCTACAGTGTGCTGATTCACAAAACAGCTGGACAAAACTTAGATATAGCTTAATGGCATAACTAGGGTGTCACCTCATCTATGTACAGGTCTACTAGACTACATTCAACACTTTTCTCAACTGGCACAATTAAAAAGCTTATCCATTCATTATTTCACAAATTATCAATACCTGGCAATTATTACTGCATCATAAATTCATAATCCTAAATAACCACTACATGCTTAACATGTTGTGAGTGAATCTTAGGTTTAATCACTAATAATCTATGCATAGCCCTATACTTCAAAAAGTCAAAAGGAGAGATTCACCCACATCCTTTTTTATTAGAGAACTCAAATGAAATGGATCTTTCTATTATGACATATTTTCACCAATTGCAATCATAGTAATTTCTATTTTTAGTATTTCCTAAAAAGAGGCTTCTGTAACACAAATCACTTAACATACACAGATTAGCATGGGATCCCTATGCTCCAGGCATGTGCCCATCAGGCCCATGTATTAAGAAAGGTCTAGTGAGCCTTTTTTATCACCCTGCAATGTTTGTCTGTGGGAAAGAGATTGTAGGATGGAAAATAATTCATCACCCACAAGGCTGTGGAGACACTTTTGAACTCTACCAAAACTGGAAAGTGAAGACTGGGTAGTTACTGCTTGCAAATTTGAGAAACAGATTTTCGCAAACTAGTGTGAAATTATTTTCTAACCCAGGAAAACCTTGTATTCAAAAAGTTCACACCTCCATGTGAAATTAGATTTTGAATCCCCTTGCGGATATAAAAATAGAAGCCTATTGCTTCTCGGGGCTCACAATTTCAGAGGCCATTTGATCAAAATGTACACGCACACACAATGAAAGAGAGACAACCATCAACCACTGACTAAGGCCTTGTCCACACACACAATAGAAGGGATTAGCCAGCAACTGCCAACTAAGCCTTTGTCTATGAACTCCCAAACACATTAGGCTGACCATCATAAAGAAAGTCTGTTCGCACATCATTAAGAAAATTTAATTAGTTTATAAAACAAAGTTCATTGCAAGGGAAATTGAACATTTATATTGCTATTGAATATTTCTGAAAAGAATATATAAATGTTATTTCAGCTGATGTTCTGCTTCTACTTTCCCTTCAGAAAATAACCTTTTTTATATTTCATTTAAGAGATATGTTGTTGTTAATGTTTGGAATCCAGACACTCAACAACAAAAACCTGGGTAGACAGATCCCAAAAATGTTTAACCTGGGTAGACAGATCCCAAAAATGTTTAACCTGGGTAGATGGATCACAACACTCTTTAACCTACTGACAGTTTTCTTCACTACACATTTCCCTAACAAAAGTCTGCTTTGAACTTTGTTCTAAGCTGTCTTATAAATATACATGACCCTCACGTAGTTTTGCACCAAGCAGCAAATGATTACCCTATGCTACATCTCTCTTCTCATTCATGCCAGTGTGCACAGAAAGTTGGGTAAGGACTGCAAGGTAACAGGGATTAAAACAAATGCCTCAGTGAAAAATGATGACTCAGACATGGTTTGTAATTGTAGGTGTTTTTATTCAGGGCTTTGCTTTGCTCAGTCTGGGTAGTTATGTAGGTGACACCTAGAGATATCTTCTACTATATCACTATTTGTGACATCGTCAAAATTTCAAAAATGTTGCAGAAAACATCTTCCAGATCTTATATGCTGCAAAGTTGTGTTATCTAACTAATATTTACCCTGATGCTGCAGAAAACTACTAATCGTGCCTCACCTAAGTCTATAATATTATTTGATGTAATGCAATAACCTGTCACCCCTATGAGTGACTACACTATAGATAGTAACTACCTATAAGTATCTGTAAGTCAACAGACTACAGAGACTAGCTGGGATCTGTTGAGTACAACTCAGACTTACACAAGAACTACCGACCTTCCAGTAGTAGCACTCACTACTAGATTTACTTGTGCATAACTATTACCTTTATTCTTATTGTACTGTTTTTTGGGTTTTTTTTTACAATAAACATTTATTTATTTTATCCCCTTGTTTTTCAAGTATATATTTCTATTAGCACAGAATATAACATTATTTAATCAAATATTATTCGTTTTATTCACACTTTGACATGTAGCATTTCAAAAAGATGTCAGGATATAGACAAAATATTTTCTATTATAGTGACAACACTGTATTCTTGAAAATCAACTTAAACAAAAATGAAATAAAAATAAACTTTGGACAGTTTATCCACAATTTGGATTTAGATATAAAACAACTTATTTGAACTCATCTTTGCTGTTGTTATCAGTGTTTCGGTCATTGTACTCTCTGGCCTTCATCAGGTGAATGTCAATCTCACTAACCTACACAGAATTCCAAAACTGAACTCTTTATTTAATCAATGGGGGGTAGGCTGTTCTCGTTCCACTGCCCATATGTAGCAATATCTCATCTAGTTTCTGAGGGCACAATGGCTGAAATGTTGTGATAGCAACAACAACAAAGATGAGGACAACAGTCCAAATATAAATAATATGTCAATAGCTCTTCATCCCAGAAATTCAAACAGAAACTTATCTGAAAATGAGAAAAATAAAATAAAAATTTAGACATTGTCAGTTGAATTTAACACATTGACTGCCAGAAGTCAATTATGAAATCTGACTTCAAATGCCAACATCATAGTAGCTAACAACAGCACAAAAAATTTTTATAAGTTGATTTATAGCTTCGACTGAAGACTTAACATTGTTTTCACACTAAAAGTACTGCTATTTAGTTGTCAGTATAATTTTTCATTCATACTTTGGATGCCAGGTAACAGTTATTTGCATTAAAATTACCAAAAAAAAAAAAAAAAAAAAAAAAAAAAAACTTGTGGTTGTAGCCTTGATAGCAAAATCCACAAAAAGAAGATAATTCATGATCAGCATCATAAAAAAAATGCTAACCACAAGTTATCTAATTGTTGGCAGTCAATGTGTGAATAAAATGAGTTTAAATTTATATATACACATAAATTTATGTACATTTAGGCAGCATATCTTCATTCAAGCATGTTTGGTTGAATAATTCAGACATACTATATCTATTTTTGTTATTTTAATCCTCTCAAATTCACGGATCAATTTCTTAGTGCTGTTACAAAACCAAGTAAGAAAGACACTGTAGTTTTGGTTATTTCTTTTATATATATTCCTTTCACCTGGTTTTCTTACCTCATAATTTTTCTTCATACCTTCTTCCCCTACCCATCTCCCTCAACACCCCCCAATTCCAGCTCAGAAGGGACAAAGATTGGGTAGATAGTATATTCTCACCCTTGGGAGAAAAACCTGACAGTCATAGAAAAAATCCTCCTCAAACTTGCAGTATTCATAACACTGATGTTAAAAAAAAAAAAAAAAAAAATTTCTTTTTCTTTTTAAAAACACATTACTTCTAAAGTTTTGTGTGTGTGTGTGTGTGTTTGTATAACAATTGAGGGGCAGTGTGAAAAATTTTGACATGAGACACACAGAAGTCAAGATCCCCATTTCAAGTCCACATGCAAAAAGCTACTGCGCTGATAAACTACAAAGACAACCCCTTCTTTCCTTCTCTCTGCAAACTACGAGCCATCTTCACACGAGTTGGTGAGGGAGGGAGCAGTGAACTACACTGACAAACTACCAAGAGAACTGCTCCCTACACCAACACAGTTCACAGTAAAAAATAAATTGTACACACTGAATTTTGACATTTAACAAAAGTAAAAGGATGGACAGCTTTATGTTGCTCTTAGTAAGACGAAAAATAAGCAGACTCTGAAATTACAGATTGAATCTACAGACTGTCAAGGATTAATCAGTCCTTCCAAAGTTTACACAAAAAATATTGTGCTTTGAGAACTTTTGCAGTAAAAAAAACATTTTAGCTTGTAAGTATGATAATAAAATACAGATATCTTTCCTTTGGTGTTTATAAATTGTACACTGCACAATTATTAATGTTAACAACAAACTATTTTAAATTATAAAATAGTACTTGGATTAAACAAAAATTACTTACAATACATATTACTTATAATACATTCCTTCTTGCTGTCAATTTTGATGGCATAGATACACTAGTTAAAGAAATAATTAGTACTCAGTTTGGAAAATTCTGACAAAAGATAATTTTGAAATTTCTCAACTTTTTAAATTACATATCTCCATTCAGAAACGGTGGAAAAAAAAAACTTGAATTAGTACAAACCTTTTCCTTGGGTGAATTTGAAACATCTGCACAAGATTTCAAAGGTTCTGTAATCTCATCAATGACACAATCACTATCATCAGAACTGCTGAGGGTGTGAATTCTCTTATGGAAATGCTTCTGTATTTGATTGACATTTCCAGGCAAAGATTTCACTTTTGAAGAGCTACTCTGAGAAATGGTTCTTTCAGGATTTATTTCAATCTGGGTGTTATCTGAAAGAAAACTAATACTTTAAATACTAAACAAAAATAAATAAAATTCAGCAGACATTAATGATCTCAATGCAAGAATCCCTAATACTTTTGTTGTGGCACAATTAATTCCCATTTCCTTTACTATCATGTGATATACTTAGTCAAAATAGGATTGCCTGGGTTTGCTCTCTGGCGATCTATGTTCAAACTACAGTATTGACAGCGAGAATTAATTCCTATATAACACACACAGAGGAATTTAGTTGTGCTTCTTGATAGGAATCAAAGGCCAATGGAAAAAGGGAATACAGGCTCAATTCCTGTCAAGCAGACTTCTCGATCTAGGCCAGCTGATATTTATTTCAACAATATTACTACTAATACTATTAGAGTATGTAAATAAAAAAAAAATATGGTAGTATATCAGGTGTAATAAATAAGAAAATATAGGTATACTGTTAGATGTGAATAGCAACCAGTAGTCTTGGTAACCTAATTAGTAAGGTAGGCTGTTACATTAATGAGTTTTTTTTCAGGAAAATCATCCTTTTTGATTACAGGCAAATTAAGCATCGGGATGAAACCTTCTGTAGAATAATTGGCCACATTTAAATGTAATTTGGCAGAAATGCCCAACAAACAGAATTGACAAAATTTGTAATAAACAATAACAAGAGAATGAAAAGAACAGGACAAAAATAATACAAAGCAGACAATATATGCGAAACAAAAGAAGGCAAAGCAATAGTAATACGGCAAAAAAGGTTCACAAACTAAGAATAGTGTTTAGACACAAAACGGATACAGACAAACGATCACAGTGCTCTGACTTCAAGACAAGAAAGAACAGAACTAAGTTAGAGGAGACCAAGAAGTGGTCAATCTTATTGGCTAGGAAGAAATCCTAGCATGCATCTGTATGTTTTGTCTATAAATTTGGGGAGGGGATTTTTTTTTTTTTGCAGTCCTTCCCATGAACTTGAAGCAACACTTTCAGTAGAGAGCTAATATAAAAATTTAACTTCAAATAAAAATTTACAAAATGAAATTTTAAAAAAAGTTACTGTTTTCTGATCTGTAACTTGTGAGCTTCTCATCCAGCATATTACAGAGTTTTTTACCTGAAATTAAAAAAAAAAAATTTAAGGAAATTGTCTAATAATGTCACCAAACTTAACAGATTAAGAATAAAGGCTGCAATAACAAAATACTAATTTATTCAAGTAAAAAAAAAAAAAAAATTTTAAATTAAAATGTCCTATAAAAATCAATGTGACTAAATATTTATCTGTCACACATCCTTATCTCCTATATTTGAGATGAGATATTTCATTGTTATAGTAACAGGAGGATTTACTCAACACCATATGGTTCAGTGCCTCTGCTATTTACCTGGAGCTCCTTGATAAAACCCAAAGAAAAATCAGCAATATTATTGGTCCTGGTCTAGCCACTCAGCTTCAGTGACTTTCCCACCACTGTAAAGTTGCCTCTCTCTGTCTTTTCTATAAATACTTTCATGGTATTTTTTCAGATGAGCTTGATTTTTTGAATTTAAGTGCAGTACTAGACTGATGTCAAGATCTCATCAATTTTACAGTGGAGCTGGTTAGACATAGCTGCAAATTCTATGCTAACAGTTTCTTTTCTTATACTTCTTGCTATTGGAACTCCCTTCTGACTCCATGCCCTCCAACCAACTTTAATCTGCAAAAATTTAAATACAATGTCAATTGCTATCTACTGTCCTCATGATTACTCTTTCCGCTCATTATTAATGTTTCTGTTCCTAATTTTTCCACTCTGTAACCCCTTGTATCTTATTAACAACATTTATCCCAAGTAGGGTTGAAGATGTTAAAACAAACAAAACAAAAAAAAATAACCAGTAATTTATAATTTAATATAGTTTGATTTATTTTCATTATATTCTGCTTTTTTTCTAATAATTTTTCTGCAATTTTAAGATAGCATCTATTCTTCTCCACCATTCCAAACTGCAAACCCAGTGATTCCAAGAAAATATTTGATTCTTTATTACAAATACTTACCAAAATTTTCTAAGATAAGGCAATCTTGGCCAGTTTCCAGGACAAGAGGATACTTTTTCAAAGACTGCAAAGCCTGAAAACACATAAAATTTATTTTGATTAACACAGATTCTCAGACTATTTCTTGTTACTGATGAAAATAATAATAATAATAATGATGATGATGAATTCTCAAAAATGTGCCACATGAAGACATCAATAAATTCAGTTCTGGTTGGAGCTCTTGGTTTGATTGGAAAAGGTTCTGATAGACTCATTAAAGGAATCCCTGGTAGCCCATGCTTTAAAGAAATACAGAAAATTGTTCTCACAAGTACAGCTTACACCTTACGAAGGGTTTTATCAATGTAAAATGCGTGTGGGTTCAAAAATGTTCAGTGAAAATATGATGCCATTTCTGATCTCAGGTCTCTGGTTGGGGCCCAGAAAGAAATGAGTAGACAATAGAAATCAAAGGGAATAATAATAATAATCATAATAATAAAAAAAATGAGCTTTTTAATCCGAGATTTCAAAAAATGTATTGAAAATTGTATTGTTATTAATGATATACAAGAAAATATGTGGCTACATAAAATGCTAAAAAATAAATGCAGAACAAAATTGATGGAGGCAGAATGAAAAGTTCTCAGATTTATCTACTTATCTGACCAATTCTTTTTTTTTTTTTTGGGGGAGGTGGGGGATGGGCCTTTTCAGCATTTCCTTGAATATAGTACCAAAAATAAAAACTACTTGACTTAAGCATATACAAAATTTGGTGAAATGCTATTGTTTACAATTCTGAAAAGAGTCATTAGCATTCAAAGAGTTATTTATCCCCCCCCAAGAAGTAGATTGGAAACAGAAAATGGTGGCTAATCTATAATCTGACTTGATTCATTCCCAGCAACAAAAGTCATACAAATGAAACCATTTTCAACAAGCTGTACAACAAAAATGAATCCTTGTGAGTTAGTAGGTGTCAGCATTATTCACAACATATTAGAAAATTCACAGCAATTCCCTGGAATAGTAACTGTAGTCAGTTCCAACAATTCAGTAAACTTTGGCCTGCTAACAAAGTAGATCTCAAAAATCGGGTCTTCAACTCTTCCATTCAATTACCAATTTGCAAAGTTTCTTAGGCTGGAGAAAATTCCTTTAGTTACTGAATTCTTCTTGAGCAGTATCTTTCAAGAAATGGTAAAGAGAAGTGGCAATGTTGACTTGCAGTGTCTTCCCTGGCAATCAAACCATAATTGTTTCTTCCAACTTCTATCCCAAGCACCAAACTACCATATAGGGTCAGAATCAGTATTGAGGGACCCAAGTATGGATGTTCTGGGGTTAGTTTGATTCATTATCAAAAACACCTAATTTAACATTTTCCAAATTTCTCTAAATTTGGTTTATTTTAAAACCATTGATCAGATTCTCATATGTGCATTGGTTGAAAAACTTCTTAACATCATTCTTGGGGTGAATTCATATCACTTACTCAATTCCCTCAACCAATTAACATTACCTGGTCAAATTATAATTTTCCCAGTATTCAATTTTCCAAATCCCCATACATTTTTTTAAACATCAGATATTTCTTTATTTTATTAAGAATTATCTGCCCATCCTGCAGATTGGGAAAATTTGATGATTGACAATGATTCATCATTTTCTCAACCAAATCTAGTCCCAAATGAATTCTACCTCCTGGTCTTTTTATTTCTCTAATAGTCATTTATAAGTTTTAACCATGTCCTCAAGATAATTGTTTTATTTATGCTGACATTTTTTTTCCAAGTTTCACTCGCCATGAATGACATCCAAATATTTGCCTCATTTTTTACCAGCATCTTGTGAAACATCAACTTATGTTCAAATCTCACTTTATTCAGGTTTCTTAGTTCAAAATTGCATAATGAATTTCTGACTCACTTACCTGAAGCAAAATGAGCATGATGCTTTGCATGGTGGCAGCCATTTGCAATACGAAAAGAGTGCACACACAAGTGGAATTATACTATTCACATGTTCAGCAGATATTTAAGGATTCACTGGAAGTGGCATCTGTTAGAAAATCTGATCTATAAGGGACCATATATTCAAAGACTAAGTCTTCCCCCACCCTGTTCAAATTAGTTCTCCCCTCTTGAGGTGATCTTGTTTTGAAGTTTGCCCTTATGTCTATACCACAGAACTGGCTCACTTACAAGAACAAATGGTAAATCCCACTTAAGTAGAGAAGAAATATCTGAAGGTAATTTTGACATGTTGTTAAAATTCATGTTACCAAGCTTGTCTATGTTGGCTTTTCAATTCAATTCTAATCAGCCAACAGGTATACATTCACTTATTTGTCTATATTTCTGAGATGAGGTATCATTTACATTATTCGGACTATTGTCCTCAACTTTGTCACCATATTTATTACGTTTTGGCCGTTGTACACTCCGGCCTTCTTCAACCACCTGAAGATGGCCAGCCAAAATGTTGTAATAAATATGGTGACAAAGATGAGGACAATAGTCTGAATAATGTAAATAATATACATTCACATAGTTGTAAAATCCACACCAGTAACTGTTACACTTCTAACATTGGAGTAAATAAGCAATATTTGACAAATTATGTGTTTTTTTAGAAGAAAATTAAACAAGCAATTGAAGCACGAATAATGATTTGCAGAGTTAATGGAGAAGGTTTTGTAAATGATTGAAGGGATAAAAAGTGGTTTGTAAAGTTTTGTATTGGAGATTTTTTTTTTTTTTTTTTACTGAACAACTGTCAAGCAGACCAAATCAACTTACAAATAACCAATATGAAATAGGAGATAGTCAACATGCTCAACATTTTAAACAGAAAATTATTTGATTTTTTTTTTTTAATGCTTACAATTTATTAACAATCAATTTCTTTTGTAATATGATAAAATTTAATGGAAATGGATGTCAATCGCCACGAAAACACCTTTTGCTTTACAATGAGAATTATTTACCTTATTATAAGTATACTGGAGACTGATTCCTTTCTCTGCGGCTTCATGTTTCCATTGTGTGAGCCACTTGACAAACAAAGGATTTGGGTTTTTCGGTATCTTTTTCTTCCTTTTCCCTAATAATTGTGTGTCTGCAGCCATTTGGAAGAACTGCTGAAAGAAAACAAGCAAAAAAAAAAAACATAATCGACACAAATTCCCATACGTCATTTAGCTGTAAAAATATACTTATTTGTACTAGAATTCACAGAATACAAGGCTCGGGAGTCACTCAAGGGAGAAGGTTACTGTTAAAAACTTAAAATGATAATAATGGGTAAGGTGTGCAATATGAATGAAAGCGGAAATAGTAGGAACTGAAGATTATGAAAATAAGAAGGATAGATAATAATTAACCCTTGACTTAAAGAGGTTCGTTAAGATTTGTAGTGTTCAGGTAAGCACCAATGCATGATTCTGTTCCAAAAAGTGGCAATTCTTAGAAAAAAAGCTGTCCAAGTGTAACTTTTTTTTCCTTTTGTTTTTTAACGTTACCCACACTTACTTAATTTTATGAAATTTCAAGAAATTAAAATTGCAAGATCTTCATATTAGTTAAAAAAAAAAAAAAGCAATTTGTTTTTGCCAAACAGAAACACCATTTACTGAAAATCTGCTCTGAATCATAAAATAAAAAATGATGACATTGTTTAGAAAAAGGTTTTTTAGTTTTTTGCAAGTACGAGCGACCATACGCGACATTATCAGAAAATATGAGCGATGACTATATAGTAAATTTAAAATCAAAATTTAATAAGACATTAGAATATTTTCTTAAATTTTTAAGATTACTGAATACTTAAAAATTAAATAAAATGTTCTCACGTCATTTTCCTCAGTTACAAAGTCCTGTCATCACTTTTCGTCAAACACGCCAATACAGCGAATGTCGGTTAAAGAATTCATTTCTGAGATATTTTAAACTTAAGTCTTAAATAGATATTTGTTTAAAATTTGATTACTTTAATAAATCCTGTAACATTTCACAAATAATGTTTCAGAAAAGTATATTTTATTTTTGGAAGATTTTTTTTTTTAATAAAAGAGAATTACATTGCGGTGAAAGACGACTAAAAAAAAGGGGGGGCAATAATCATTATTTTACAAAAATAATTTTTTGCCCGGAAATTTAAATTAGTTTTTGTTTTTGAAATACAGCAAAGTATTTTGCTTATTGGAAATATTAAATTTAGCTTGAAATTAAAACTAAAATAAATGCATTAAGAAAGATTTTTTCATTTTTATAAATTTGTTTTTAAACCAAATATATCGCATTTTTGTGGCGGTCTTTAATTTATAAAAAAAAATAAAAAAAAAATATGCTCTGACGCAAACTATAGGAGTTTTTCGGTCGGGTTCAGTCTTTTCTTCTTTTCATTTGAGGGTTGCCTTCTCGTTAGTAGAGAAAGAGAAGGGGTTTTTTAAGAAAATTAATTGCCTTTTTTATTTTAACTTGAATTCTTTTTATTTTTGTTTATTTTTACCGGGACTTACTACACTACAGAACAGACAGTATTTGTTTGTACCTTATTCAAAACCCGGGATAAGATATGTCATGTGTTCTATCTCTTCCTCATTCTATCCCTACAAGGTAAATTTTTATATTTTTTTTTATAAAAACGGTTTTTGTATAAGAAAACATTTAAATTTTTATATATAAAGTGATTGTTATCAAACGTGTCAATTCCGTTGGCAGTACCGGGAGATTATTATCGGTTGTCAGCTCTTGATTCCGACTCGTAACTGGTGTTCTCCCGGTTCGGGTTAACCGTTGGTTTTCCGCCAAGTCTGCTAGTTTTTACAAGATTCTTCCTTATGCATTGTTAAACATTAAAAGAGCTGCCATTTAAAAATGCCTTCCTTTCAGTCAGCATCTGTTCTAAAAACTGCTTTTTTTTTTTTGACTATGATTCGATTTCCAAATTATTGCGAATATAACAACTTTCGTACCGTGCCGGGGTTTGTTTTGTTTACAAGTGAAACAGTGACCTGATATGCGTTGATATTGGTTAAATAAAAAAAATCACATCTCTGTGGGAAAAATAACTGCTGTGGGTTTGAAGAATTCAATTTTATTTGAATTGACATTTTGGGACTGTTTTTTAAATCTTGTTTATCCCGGTTTTCGATAAAAAAAAATGTTTTTCTGAAGTTTTAAAGATACTAAAATTGTCTAAGTTTTAAGATTTTTAGGTTAAAAAGACTGGTTTTGAAATCAGTGCAAGCATTTGACATCAGGTAACTATTATAAACGAAACCGGGTAAATTTCAAAACTCATTAATAAAAAAAAATCTAAATAAGCTTAAGAAGGAATAAAGTCGGAACTTACTCAATTTGAAAACTTTCAAAATTCGACTGCATTAATTCATCATTCTTGCAATTACAGTATTTTTATGCTTAGAGATAATAAATATGATATTTGTTCCAGGTACGATGTAAATTCATTTTTATGATAACTGAGTATTCTAGTTTTACAAGCATTTAAAAAAAAAATGAATGACAGTTTAAGCGCTTCACGTCGCTTTAATTTCCCTTTACACCGTTTTGTTGCGTCTCGTCAAGGGAGATAACTCTAATGGCTTATTTCCGCGAGTACGGTCAAAACAATGTTTCTAAGACTAAAAATGACGAAAATAAGCTTTTTTTTTTAAACAGAATTTTTTTAGAAGTATTTGAGATAAATATATGAATTCAAGTAAAAAAAAATTTGAATATTTTTAACTTTGTTTTGATTTTGTGAAGAATTACAAATTTTAACTTTTCAAAGTAAAAAAAGTTACAAGCTGAAAAATTTAAAAAGTAAAAAAAAAAAAGGTAAAAAAAGATCATTTTAACAACGAGATTCTGAAAACTAAGAAGTCAATTCATTCAATATTTATGGGAAATTTGCTATTAATTTAATTAATAATTGTAATTCAGAAGTTTATTAGAAAAAAATACATTTTTGCTGTGACCATTTTTTACTCTTCACTTTTTTATATCGGTAATCTCTCTTCTTTCTCAAATACAAATTGAAATACGTAAACCAGTCTATCAAAAATTATAGCTTAATTTTAAGACAAATGTGATTATATTTATTATTGAAGATTTTTTCAAATTTTTGAAAAAATGGAAAATAAAGTTGATGTTTATGTTTTTTCTTCAACACCGTCTTAAAATTTAAATATACGTACTACAAAATTGCTTAGATGATGTCTACCTGTAGCCTTACTCGACGGTTTTTGTTTCATTATGCCAATGAACATTTGGATTTTAGATTACCTGTAGGTTTTTGTAATGTTTTTTTTTTTTTATACATACATACACACACACACACACACACACATATATATTTAACCCCGGGTTGTATTATTTTGATTGAATTGGTAAGCGATATTAATTAATTGTGTAGTGCATGGTGTGTAAACCCATCTTTCCGCTACAATTGTGATATGTGATATTATTGTGAATTGAATTACTTGTTTATATTGAGTATTGACACAAAGAAAATAATTTCTCTTTTCTATAGGTTTGAATTTTCTATCTTTTTAAACAGAACAAATGTAACGTAATTAATTACTAATTTGTTGTATGAAAACAAATAATTGGTGTCACGTGGATTAACTTTTTTTTTTTTTACTTAACTATAACTTAATCTTTTTCACATAATAATATACTTTAACTTAAAATGGAAGATACAAAAAAATAAAAATAGTGTAAATGACTTTTTTCTTTTTTATAAAAAATATAATTTATTTGTGCATCACACAGAATGGCACATGTTTTGAAGTTGAAGGCTCTTTGGTTCTGCTATGAAATTCTGAATGACAACATTTTTTTTTTATTTGATTTTATTTACTGCTGACCGAACTAAAACATTTTGCTTAGTAAAAAAAAAAAAAACTTAAAACGATAGCCTTTGAGGTTGAGCTTTAATTTATTTACTACCATTTTTACACAGCATAATCCCTCCTTAATTTTTTTTTATGTTTGAAGTTTGACTTTTCAAAAAATGACGAAATCTTTCTTTCTCGTTGCTTTAATTTTTAAAACACTTCTCAACTCGGTTTATTTGATTAGGTACCATCACGGATTTTTTTTTTTTTTTTTTTTTTTTTTAAACTGGAATTTCTAAAAGTATAATAATGTAATGAAAATAACATTTTATTTACGCATGCGGTCAAAGGATACAGTGTACTGTAGAATTACAGCGATTCTACCCCTATCCGAAAAAGCGCGGATCAAAGTAAAAATATAAAATTTTTTAAAGAAGTACGGAAGACCGCAGTACGATAATCAAGAATTTATTATTTATGTTTGAAACTAAATTTTCTTTAACCTTATATAACAAATAATTTAAGATAATTTTTTATTCTATATGCTTTTATTAAACTTAGTATAAATGAATATTTTTTTTTTTAATACTGACTGAACAGGAGATATGAAATTAGACTCCTCCTATATTAAAATAGTAGTCAGTCAATGTGAGATATCAGAATTATTTCTTTTTGCACGTTCATACCTAAAATAATGAAAGTAAAAAAATAAAATAAAAAATTCTTTTAAAAAATTTTCATGCTTGAAAATGAAATTATACTTTATTGTTTTAAATAAAACTAAAGTTTTTCATGTTTATTTAATAAAATAAACTCTTGTAACAAACAACAACAGAATTGCTCGGAAAAATTACAAGTAATTTAAAAAAAATATTAATTTTAGATTTTTTTTTTTTTCTGTTGAATCTGAATGAAAATAATTATGCAAACACCAATTTTCACAAAAAAATTTGTGTTTTATTGAATTGTTTTTGGCAAGATGCAGGCCAATTTCTGTATGTTCACACTTGATGTTGCATAAATATTTTTAATAAAATATCTTCGGGGATTTCTTTTTATATAACTAAAGAATTTGGATGAACACCCCCACCACGATCAAATGAAAAAGTATGTATGCAATACTGGAGCGGGGAGGATTTTTTTTTTTTTTTTTTTACATTTTTTAATGGATACTCATATTTGAGTAGATGGTCTGTTTTTATTTATGATGCAAATGGAACAACCAGTCACCTCCATGAATGGTTACATTAGGTAGTAAGTGCCTAGAAAGTCTAACTATCTACGAGAGCCTTGGACAGAGAGAGAGGAGGTGAAAATGAGACGACGCAAACACATCCAATCTTCCAGTTAGTGGCACTCTCCACTAGATTGACCTGTGTGTATAACCGTATTTCATATTGTACTTGTTGCATATAATAAATCTTTCTTCTAGTATCCACCTGGAGTTATGTGTTTATTCCCTTAGCATGGAATATAACAATTTATGAGAATTGATTTAAAAAAAATAAATAAATAAGTAAATAACATTTAAACAAATAAATTAGAAATATGTCAGATTAATAAATGAGAATTGGGAAAGATCTGTGTTCAAAATTACTATTTGGACTTTGTTTCATCAGGAGGTTCTTTATGGCCAAGAGGTCAAAGCACATTTTTTATATATATATATATAGGCAAATAAATGTTTTCAGGTATTTGTTTTATAAATTCCACCCGATTTACAAAAAACAGTTCATAATGCCAGAAAAATTTTTTTTTTTTTTTTTTTTTAAACTGACCGATTTTTGTGTCTTTCTTTCAACAGGAGCTGAAGTCTGTTGTTGAACTGCTTGGTACCAAAATCAGCATAAAAAATGAAACAAATGAACAAAAGGTAAAGAATCCAAGTAAATAAATAAACACACAATATCAGGTTTTATTATACACGTCAATATTTTCTCAATAAAATTAGTATTAAGTAATCAATATTGGTAAATTTTCAAGATACATTTTTATTTGTCATTTTTTTCCTAAGCAAACACGGACACCAAGACCACGAGCAGAAATAGGGTTGACCTCAATTTGTTCAAAGAGCTCCAAACCTTAATAAGCAACCAGTAAAATGAAAAAGGACTCTTAATGAGCATAATGTAGTCAATTGCAACAAATCCTTTTGTGGTGACCTTTGGGGATTGGTGTCCTAGTCTGAATGAAATGGGGTCTCATAAGGTGACAAATTACCTTTGATAAGACTTAGTAGAAAAGAGTGAAAATAGCACTCTAGTTAGTGATGGAAAAGAATACAGAGTAAAATACTTGATGTAATATTAATAAAAACAAGAATCCAACCAGGATGAGCTTCAGGAGAGGAACTGTAAAGAAATGGATAAAGACCAAGTTACACGAAAAAAGGGTCTCATAAGGTAGAAAATCAGTCAGTAGCGAAAAAGAATGTAATATTAATAGAAACATGAATCCAATCAGGATGAGCTTCCAGGGTGGAAAAAAATAAGAACTGCAAATGAAGAGGGTGAAGACTAAGTAACAAGTGATCAAAGAATCAAGGATATTTGCCAATCGCCCCACACGGTCAGATTTGGCATAAGGCCGAATTTAACGTTGGGTATCCAAAAATTCCCCATAGACCCCGTAAAAAATGGGGTCGGGTAGCTGTCTACCACCCCAGATGAGACTGCCATTCAGCATAGCCTCATCTGGGTTCCTCTCCGCCTGAAGACAGAGAGTTCGACCAGATCAGCTGGAGACGAATCTCCAACTAATTGCTGAAGCAAGCAGTGATCAAACAATCAAGACTAGAAGGGAACAAGCTTTTTATAACAAATTACAATTAGGCCTCAATAGCATCAAGAGTCTATAAATTTATTCCCCACCACCACCATTCCAGCCTGATTTATATGTTGAGTGAATGGGGCACTTCAATGTGATGTAATGGTTAGCAAGCTTATCTTGCTAGACTAATTATGACTAGAAAGTCCAATCCTCATTGAGTGCTCCTTACTCTCGGCCTTGTGTCTCACCTAAGCTACATCTAAGAGAAGGAAACTTTGATTTTTAAACTTCCACTGCCTTGTGGTCATAATCACTCATAGAAAAGGCTTTACGAGTAAACCATGAGGGCAAATCCAGAGCTAAGACAGTCTGATGTTATGTTCAACTTCGTTCCGGCAACTCCTGTGACAACACTGGTGCAAAACGGTACTGGATTCTACCTTTCCCTCAAACAGCACTGGTGGCATGGACACTCCAGCATCTGAGGCATAACTCTTCAGGCTCAGATCAAAGGTTTCTTGAGACTGACACATGCCACATACACACGCTATAGTTTATTATATTTTGCACTATATTTCCATAATAAAATTATTTGTAATATATATATATATATATATATATATATAGAGACACATTTCACCAAGAGCATCTGCTCCCGCTGGGTTTGCTAACCTGAAGAAGCCAAAGGGACCGGATGCTCTCAGAAAAACATTGTTTATAGCTTTTCAACTTCATGTTTGTTTCAGATGCTATTATACATCCTACAAACACATGTATATATTTTTTATTTCTGTAATAAAATTATTTGTAAAATCTCATATATATATATATATATATATATATATATATATAACTCCTGAACATGCACATGTACACAACTGATTAAAAAAAAATGTGAAAAAAATTGGAAATAAATTTATTCAAATAACAGACCCCTTCAAAACTGGATATTTCCAAGAAACTTCGAAGCCAGGGAAATAACAAGTAGAAATTGATATGAACAATTACTGTTAATTTTTCTGTATATATAAAAATAATATTATATATATAGATATAATTTTTTACTATATTTTTGTAATAATATTATTAGTAAAATTATTTCTATTGTAAAAAGATTATTAGTACCTTTTTATTTTTTTCAGAACCCATTTTTAGTTGTTGAACTCCCTTCAGAGGAGACGGTCAAACAAATACTCAATCGAACAATGTTAATTCGGTATGGATGTTTTTCTTTATATTTACCAAAACTGATAACTTTATTATTCTGTTTTTAAAGTATGCTGTATGCAACCATATACATTTGTTTAAAATTCTTTCATTTCTCAGTTTCTCCATGAAGTTACTTTTACATTCCATTTTTGTACACTACTTTTATTTACTGTTAGAATATTTGCTACTATTTTTCAGTTTTGTTACAATTTGTACTTGTCATAGTTATCCTTTCTTTATTCTGCTGTGTATACTCTGTTCAATTGTTATCAGTTTTCAGATCTTAATCTAACATGTTTCACTTTATTAAAGCTCCATCAGAGATAAAGATCAAGATAAAAAGATCTGTATATATATATATATATATATATATATTTTTTTTTTTTCTTAAATTTTATTTTCTTTCAAAATTTTTCCTGGTGTTAAAGGTATTGGATTTTATAAATATTTCAAATGTTGTTGAAATTTTATACTTATGAATTTTTATTTTAATGCCATGTCCCTTTTGAGTGTAGGCAGTCATGATTCTCTACAAATTACTTTTCTTTATTATCTGTGAATTGCTATGCATTCTTGGGAAAAATAGTGGAGTAGTTTCTCCATTGACTTCAGTGAGGTTTGGAATTCAATTTTTTACTCTCCTCTTAGACTGGATGTCACCTAAGGCTAGATTGCTCAGTCTACCTTGCTATTTAAATCATAGCTGGGAGGGAGAAGAGACAGAGTCATGCCTTTTCCGATGGCATCAGTGTGAAAGTGAATGTAGTAGACTAAGCTAGAATTTGAACTTGGCTTGCTGATTCCACTTTCTGTACTGATATCTGTTACACTATCCACACATCTTGAGAAACTTTCCATCCCAAGGTGTCATGCGTGACTTTCCTTCCCGAAGTGTCATGCGTGACTTTCCTTCCCGATGTGTCATGCATGACTTTCCTTCCTAAGGTGTGATGCTCACTTTGGTGATCATGTCAATTCATGACTGACTTGGCAAAAGAATTAATGCAGTAGGCCACCACCATTACATGACGATGGTAGACTGGTTCCCAATTAAGGCTATAGGACCCAATCTGTTCTACTATTTACTCCATTGATGGGAAAAGAAGAGATTAATTCATATCTTTCCCAAAGGTATTTGCACATAAGTGAATATAACAAACAAGACTTTTGGACCACCCTGTACGATTAAGGAGAGAAGACAATAAAAGAAATGGAATTAAGAAGATAATGATTGGCATTACACTTAAATTTTTGAAGATCAAAGTTAACTTGAAAGCAAGAAGCTGGAAGAGAGTTCCATAAGTGAGAAATGCAATAGAACAAACTGTTAGCATAGAACTTATGGTTATATCGAACCATTTCAACTGTATTATATCAAGCCATTTCAACTGTAAAAATATGATGAGACCTTGCTGCCTATCTAGTACTGCACTTAAATTCATAAAGTCTAGGTACCATAGAGGAAAGTTCATCAGAACAATTAACATGAAAATTTTTACAGAAAAGACACAAGGAAGCAAAATTACCACAATGGAAATGTGACTGAAGCCAAGATGTCAGGTCAGGACCAATAGCATTGCAGATTCTTTTTTAGATTTTATCAAGAATTTCTAAATATATATTAGGAGCCCCAGAGCAGACGGGGTAGCAATATTCAAAGCAAGGATGAATGGTAGATTATAAATATGTAAGATAGATTCTGTCAAGAAAAATTATCTACCTCGACACAGTGAAGCAACTCTCCTAGCTGCAGACTTAGCAGTGGATTCAATATACTCTTTCCACTTCATGTCACTGGAGAATGTTAGTTCAAGAAGGCACAGTGAGTTACTCTCCAGACGGTTAGCATCAGTCATGGTGTTGGGAGTTAAAGAGGGTTCTCTCAAACAATTAAAAGAGAGCTGTTTTGTTTTGGAAGCATTAAAATTAACAAGCCACTCCTTGCCCTATTTAACGACAGGAGCTCATTTTTGAGATCAGCTGCCAATTTGAGCTTATCAAACCGATCAGACTTGCTATTAGTACAGAAGTAAATAGTTGTGTCATCAGTATAGATACCCAGCTGAGAACTGATAACATGAAGAAGGTTATTTATGAAAATTAAGAACAATGTAGGTCCAAGGATAAAGTCCTAGGGGACACCTGCATTAATGCAAAAAGATCTAGAAGAGTGGTCATTCAAGATAACCTTCATTTTATGATTTGATAAATGATGGAGAGTGATTGCCCAGCAAGAAAAGCAATGAAGTGCTTGTTTGAAAATAGAATAATCAGAAAATATGAAGGAAGAAAAAGAACATCAATAATGACCATAATCAGCAGAAATACCAAATCAACAAATGACAAATTTGCAACATTCCCTATGAACAAGTTAGACAGAAATCAGCTTACAGAACAGTCCCATTGCCAAGCCCAAAAACAAGAACGTTATGGAAGAACATAAAAGACAAATGGCTAATAATGCTCATTTCAGCAAATCATTTTCAAATCAACCTAGATTTATATTGATTTGAAGGAGAAGGATTGAAGAATAATTTTTTAAATTCTTGTTTCTTTTCAAATTTTGTTTTATTAAAAATAAAACTGGTTCTTTATTAAAAAAAAAATATTTCATAATTCTTGCAATAGCTTTAAACTTGTAAATTTTTTCTAAAAGATTTCCTGCAAAATCTGAACATACATTTTATATTTACACAGTAAGACATAAAAATAAAAAAAAATTTTTGTTCTTAATTTAAATATATTTTTTAAATTGGATGTTGTTTTTGCAGGTCAGCTTATGAATTGTGGGCAGAATCCACAACTTTTGATGAACTTCATAAAAATCTTGCCAATCTGCCCAAAAAACTCACTGTAAGTTTTTTTTTTATTCTTTTATTCTTTATCTTTTTTGTACAGATACAAAGAAAACTATTCATTTCAGCAAAGTTTATTTCTAGTTTTCTTCCATCTTACTGTGCAGACAAAAAAAAAAGCTTGAATATCTTAATATTGACCTGTATCCTCCTGGCATTAGTTTAAACTGATGTCATCTTTTCCCATATATTGTGATCATTTTCAGCTTAAAGTTAATATTTTCTTGTTTTTGTATGAAAACTTGGAAAAGGGATCAGTTTAAACTGATGCCAGGAGTATACCAGATAACTGCTTATTAAACTTTTAGTTAATAGCAAGCAGAAGATAAAAAGTGTTGAGAAAGTTTTATTAATGTGCAATAGAGGCAGTTTTGACAGCCAACAAATATTTGCTTTAATTTTAGCCATCAACATCTATCTCCCTAGTCAGTGAATCATTATTCATATTTCAAAATATCTTCAGTGTACAATTTCTAATGACATATTATATTATATGTTGTGATAACATAATATTTTTTCCACATTACTCATATTATGTATTTATTACAGGATCCTTATACATCAGAAAATTCCACATTTAAGATAGTAGTGGAAGCATTTAATAAAAAAATTCCCCCAAAGCAGAAGATAAAAAGAATTGAGGTATGTATATAATCAGAGTGCATTATGTGTACGTATCTCTCTCTCTCTCTCTCTCTCTCTTTTATATATATTCCCCTTACACACAGAGTTATATATGAGTTGGGATCAAATATGGACCGGAATCCAAGAGAATAAGATAAGGAACAAATAGGAAAAATGTTTAAACTTAAAGCTTCATCAGAGAATGAGATATGGAGAAAAAGAAGAAAGACATTCTCGTATCTTTACTTTTGTGTCGTTTGATTTTCATTGGTCAATCATGTTTTACATGCATTCAACTTGTTAAACATTAATATAATTTGTGATGTTTTGAATTCAAGGAGAGACAACACATTCATTCAAAGTTCCAAGAATGAACAGATTCCAAGCCTAATTGAAAAACCGTAAATATTGCTTTATGTATGTGAGTGTATAACAATTCTAGTTTGCCTATGTGGGATTCAGATGATAATATCGGATTCAAATGATAATGTTTATTCATAGGTGTGTCTAGTATATATTATATTTAGTGATCTTTCACATGTTGATTTGAGAACGTTTTTGCATACATACTGTTTGTTTTAGATAAACATAAGTTTGATTCTTTAAGAATGGGCTCAATAAATGTTGGTGATGTAATATAATGTTTTTGATATGTGTTTATATTTGGTAATGTTGTTATTATTAGTAGGCTCTCTATTATATATATATATATATATATATATATATATATATATATGAACATATAAATATGTAATTAATTAAATAAAATAAATGCAAATAACGCATTCCTAATATTATGACTAGAGGTGAAGGAAAAGTCAAAAAACGACAATAATAATAGTTATATACTAAAAATGGGAATGATAAGATAATGGAAATAATGGATGAGCAAAAAAGTGTTAAATGCGTTACAGTCTAATAATAATCATAGCTGTATAGTAAAGGTAGCAAAAGGTAAAAAGTAAAAATATTTAAAATAATATCAATACTAGTATATGTGGATGCCGAGTCCAGTTAGACTATATTAATCTGGGTCAACATGTTTAAGTAGAAATTTGGTTCTATGTTGGCAGGTACTCAAACTCACTTCCTTTGTTTAAGAGATTAGGATTTTTTATATTTTTCAGGATTATTAATTTTTCAGAAAGACATAAGTTACATTTGTTGCCTTTCCCACTAAAGGGCTTAGCTTTTGCTACTAGTACCCAGGTAATAATTGGGTTTTTATTCTTGCTTTTTAATTTCCAGAAAAAATTAGAGGGGGCAGTGTTACTATATATAATATTGCCTAATGTCATTTGGTAGTATTGGACACCCTGCACTCTAATTCTTCATTTTGCTAGTTTAATGCATGAAATCATTGCTTAAATATCTCATTCAAAAATAAATTTTAATGAAGTAGTGAGTTTTTAATTTGAAGTCATAATTTTCTGTTTGTCAGGATCTTCCTTGGGTGGAAATGGGTTTAAAAGGCAAAATCAAGTTAAAGGATCCTGACCATAGTTTTCATCTTTTTGAATATTACCAATATGAAGAAGGAATGCATTCTGCTGAAGAACTTGAGTGTCTCTACTTTGGACGTTTGGTAAGTTTGCTTCTTCACCGTTGATTTCTTCTTGTGCTAACCAAATTCTGGAAAACATTAACAGACAATCCATATAAACAGTTGCTCTTATCTCCTACCATAATGTTCCCAAACTACACACTCTGGAACACTGAATAAAGAGAAGTGCAGTAAATATCTGAGCATATATGTCTGTTTTTTTCTATTGTTTTTCTTTTTATCATTTCACCCCAAGTAAGGCAATGAAGCCACTAAGACGCAAGGGGTTACTGAGAGAGAAATAAACTACAGTGGAATCTCTGTTTACAAATTTAATTCATTCCTAAAGCCTGTTTGTAACCTGAAATGTTCATAAACTGAAACTATTTTTCCAATAGGAATCAATGTAAAATGGATTAATCCGTTCCTGGTCCCAAGATGATTGCTTACTTAAACTTTTACAACAGTACTTTGTGCACAAGTTTATACACAAAACTAATGAAAATTATTAAATCTAAGAAAAAAATAAACCCAATACTAAACAGATAAAATATAGACGAACATTTTAATTTTACCGTACCTGCATGTAGGAGAGTTGATTCTGGAAGGGGAAGGAAAGAGATGTTATTGTTTGGAAAAGGGAAGTAAAGACATGATCGTCTCTTTATTTATAAGAATAGATCGTTGATTTTGCCATATGAAACTGAGTAGGAAGAGACAATATCATCAATAATTGTTTTTCTCTTAACTTTTCTTTTTCCTTTACCAGTATTACTGCTAGTTTTCTTTGGAGACTTGACTAAGGACTAATAAAGAGAAAAAAAATGGTACAGTACAATAAAATTGGAAAAGGAAAGCACAACACACGAATGGCCAACTAAGAAATGATTCCATTAACTCAATTTGGCAATGTTGTTCAAGAACCAAAATTTTGTTTGATAACCGAGGCATTTTCATCTCGAATATTCTGTCTGAAAACCGAATTGTTCAACATGTGAGACATTCAAGAACCAAGGTTGCACTTTAACCTACAAATGGTATGAAAAAGTGATGGATTTATGTCTTTCCAAGACTGAAAGTGAACATAACAGATATAATCAGAATTTAGACTGCTTCCACTTTCATAAATCTATTCATTATCTTTCATGTCTTGTGAGTACAGGATGCGATGGATCAATTGTCATCTAAATTACACAAAAATGAAAATAAGTGACATCTCACTTTAACAGATATATTTACCAAAATTACACAAAACATCTTGAAATCCTAAAGAGTAAATTTATTCAATAAAATCACCATTGGCTTCAACCACAGTCTCCAGACAACTCCAGAATCTCCTGCATCTCTTCTAGGCAGTCTCCTTTCTTAAGTTGATAGGGAATTAGGTAGCCAGATGTAAGGGGTGATGTGGTCACAGAAATTGTCTAACAACTATGACAGGGTTCTCCTGCTTGTGTGGCATGGTGCAGAGTCCTGTTGCCAGACATAGGGTCTTCTAGCAGCCACTCTCATGACCCAGGGCAGCACTAACTCCTCAAGGCACTTGATGTAGGCCTCCATGTTGTGTCTGAGGCCCACACCAACAAATTTAGAACAATCTTTCCAAGCTGCCATACATTTGTAATCACTATTAGACTCATCCAACTCTTTCCAAATCCTCTGCACTGTCTTCAGATTGACACCCAAACACTCTGAAATATTTGTATTGGCACTTCTGGCACAAATGCCAAGCAGTACAGCATACCATTTCCAAATTTCTGGCAGAATGAATTGCATCATGGTGCTTTTTTCTCACAGATGGTGCTCAGCTGACCCTACTATACTGTGTGGTTGACAAAATCAACGACAAACAACACGCATGTGTGAAATTAAAAATATAAAATGGTGACAATTTACCCATCACACCCTGTATACTGAGATTAGTTTATTTGGTGATCTAATCTGTACATGTAGCTGGATATTTTTCAGTCTCTGATGAAAAAAATGAATACTGCCTGCAGATATCTGGGATATTCAAATCTAGAACTATAGATAGTATGAACTTCCTACTATTGAATAAATATACACCTCAGGACGGCCAGAAAATGCATTAGCCTAAATATAATAATAACAATGTCAACAAAGATTTGGATAATAATTCAAGCAACCTAATGAACAGCATTTTTGACAGAATTAGGGATAAAACTGACAGTAATGATAACAAGTTTAAACAACATGTAGGATAATGATGATAACTCAACTCAGAATTTCAGACAATAGGGAAGGTCGGTGAATACATTGGCTGAAATGAAGTGATAAAAATAACAAGGATAAGGATAGTAGTCCTAAAAAATTGTTAAATATCCTGTCAATTTCTGTTCTATAAATGATGTGTATGAGGAATAAAAATGTGGGTAACCTTCAATGACATTTCTAACATTTGCATTATAATGATTTGAATTTATGTACTTTTTGACCTCTCTTGAACTCTTTGACCTCTCTTGTATTGTAAGAAATTATGTAATAAAGATTTTTATTCCATAATTATTTAGACTAATATTGTTTTTGTTGTTCTCTAAACAAATATGAACTGCAGTCTTTCATTTATAACTAACTTTTTTTTTTTAATATTTCAGATTGCTGACGGCCAAAGAGATCAAATTCGACATTACCGATTACAAAACAGATGTTTCATTGGTAAAACCTATTTTCATTTTCTTAAAATACATATACCGTATTTTCTGGCTTACAAGACGCAATTATTTCCTAAAAAATACCCTGAAAAATACGTGTGCATCTTCCAAGACAAATGTAAGGCAACGCCCAGGCTCAAATAAGCTTGGACGGTCACCTAATTGGCTTGACTGATAGGAACATGGATTTGTATGTTGAGTCATTACACTATAATGTTAACTATCTATCTAATTCAGCCTTTTATAGGATGTTAACACAGTACTTAGATGCACCATGACTATAAACCTTCCTGGAACTGAGCCACAAGCTTAAACATGTTCTGTTTACAAGCAGTGGCAGGAGCCTTTCTGTTCTTGACTAATATGTCATTGCATACAAACAAAATCAGACAAGCGATTAATGTAAACAATATGTATGTGAGGGACACATGGTGAATGACTTTTTAAATGAGTCCAGTGTGAAACCAGTCAGAACCGAATTTAGTACCATATTTTCCAGCTTACAAGACTCACTTTTTTCCTAAAAAATACGTGGTGCGTCTTCTAAGATGAATGTAAGACAACGCCCAGGCTCAAGTAAGCTTGGGTAGTCACCTAATTGCCTTGACTGATAGGGACATGGATTTGTATGCTGAGTCATTACACTATAATTTTAGCTATCTATGTAATTTAGCCTTTTATATGATGTAACCTCAGTACTTAGCTGTTTACTTAGTATTTCCAGAACTATAAACCTTCCTGGAGCTGAGCCACAAGCTTAAACATGCTCAGTTTACTAGCAGCAGCAGGAGCCTTTCTGCTTTTGACTAATATGTCATTGCCATACAAACAAAATCAGATGAGTGATTAATGTAAACAACACATGACGCCAATATGAGGGACACATGGTGAATGTGTTGTTGTATGAGAATAACTTTTTCTTTTCTTAGAAATTTCTTTCCAATATTAGGGTGTGTCTTCCAAGCTGGAAAATACAGTAAGTCTTTGGCATTTGGCCACATTATAATTATTTATCAAATTTAGGAACAAACATGCTAACTAAAAAAACAAAAAAAATATGTCAACGCAAACTAACTCATGAAGACTCTATACTCAATAAAAACCAGCATGTCAGGTGAAGGCACAATATTTAAAAAACAAAAATGAATCTGACATAACACTAAAAAAAAACAAAATGCATATATATAGTCACCCATGTGACTTATCTACACCCTACGGAGATAATCACCTTCTGTATCCTTGACTACCCAGCTAAACAAGTTTGGGAACCTCCCATGAGGAGTCACTTTTATTTTGCTTTTTGTTGATATGATAAAAATATGGGAACATACTCTATAGAAACTGCAATATAAAAAAGAATATGTATGCAATGCGTATTAAAAATTACCAAATAGTTGAAACAGCGTCCATTCAATAGCACAAAAAGTTCTTCCTGTAATAGAATAATGTAAAAGTTCACGTGAAAAAAATATGTGCTGAAAAAGTGAAAATAAATTAAGATATAAAAATGCCTGCACAGTCGATTAACGCCCAGATCTGGTTAGTTTGATTTTGTAAATCTGGTGCTAGCTACTGCAGTTGGTATAGTGACTGGTGTATCTCCATTTAGTCATGTAGCATCCAGAAAGGCTGGTTTCAGTTTGTCCAAACTAATATTTTGTTTTGCATTGTTAACACATATATTAAAATTTGAATGTCTCTTCAGGATCTTTAATGGTCCTCCATATATAGCTGCAATGCATTTCACTTGGCTAAGTTGAGTACTATTTTTGACTCAGTGTTCAGCACATGGATATTTGAAAATTTCAAGATGTTAAGTAGTCCTGAAAAAAACTTCTGAACCTGTTAGTTCTTTTCTTTGTCCAGAAATGCCTGGTAGTATGGGTCATTCAGTTCGCCCGTTGTTTGCGATGGCTGAAATGGATTAAAGTGCTTGCTTTCGTCCAGTCCTCAGCTCTACCAACTGAGCTGCCGCTATTGACCTCTTATTCTCTCAGTCTCGTTCGTATGCTGTCACGCCAACAATGCGCTCTGCCGTCTTCCCCCCAGACTCACTATTTATGCCTGCGTCAGTGGCAACTAAAATTTGCATACAAGACTTACTTCTCATTCGCCAAAGACTTCCAATTTTATAAATTCAAGCTGGTTTGAATTCTTAGTATTTTTTATTTTTTTCCCTTTGTATGTCTGCCTGCGAGATAGGAATTTCGAAATAATTAATTTCTCTTTTAATGCCGGTCACAATCTTTCAACAGGACCTAACACGCCAAGCAAATTCGCTTTGTGGGAGGTAAGTCTTCTCGTTCCTCACAGGTAGACCGTGCATGTGTCTTTAACAGGAAAGCATCAATGCCACGGATGTGTTTGAAACAATATGATACAGTTCAACTGCATAGGACAATACTAATTTAATTTTGTAAAATGGTGTCATAGTAGAATTCTCCACACACATGGTAGTTTAATTAAATTTCTTGCAATGCAGGAAAATATCTCTGGAAAAATAGTATGAGTGACAATAAAATACTTGGGAAAGGCCAGGTAAATACACGTGAAAAAAATATTTGAATTAAATATCACCAAATTTATGGCTACAACTGCTATGTAGTTAAGTAAGTAATGACCCCAATTTAGTTAAAGATTCGAGGCTTACAACCATGTGTTATATGTCAATGGTGGAAGAAGTAGGTGAAGCACATCAAAATCAAACTCCACTTGCAGGTGAGGAAGAATGCAGCCATGTTGAAAATATTTGCATTAGTACAAAAATCTGAAAAAATTTTCCATCCTGAAATATATGTATAACAGCATACATACTATTAATATCCGGTGCTCAAGTAACTACAAAAATGCCTATAGCTGAAATTTGTCACTCCCATGCCAAAGAGTAGCATATAAAAAGGTGTGTCTGATACACTTGACCTATTTAATAATAGAATATGTGTGCGTGAAAACAAATATTCCCATGTACTCCCTAAAATATGGGAAATGTGAGAAAAAGTTATGCTATTAAAATTAGCAAAAAACATGTAAAATCCATTATTCAAATCAGCAAAGTTGTATTTAACTTTGCTATAGTCATGTAAAAGTAGAGGCAAGAAGAAGTCAGAGGTGGATGAAGTTGTTTTATATTCAACCTCTGAATGAATATATTGATTGCAAAAAATCAATTCAATTCACAAGTAAAAGACACAAGCAAGACAGATGTATTTAATGCAAACATTGTGAAGTCCCTAGTTAAAACATCAAGAAATGATTATTTAACATGTTAGGTAAATAAGGTTTTTATTTTTTGTTTCTAAACCTTTCTGTGACAATGAATTTTCCCTTCTGCTCCAACAATTACCATGATGAAAAATACCTGTGGAAACTGTGGCATTGTCCTGAGCAAGAAATAAACATTTCATATTTAATTACATATTCCTATCACAATGAGCTCAACAGTTAATGGATGATAATATCACATGTCTGGTAAATAAGATAGCATCGTGGTCACCTCTTTAAGGGGAGGGAGCTTGGAAGAAAGATTTATTCTCCCATTTGAATTTCCCCCATTATGGGCATTATCATATCTGTGATATAATAACACCGTGGTTCACATAGGAGACAGGACAAAATGGCTGAAAGGAAAAAGGATGACAAACATGCTTTGTCCTCAGAGAGACTTTTATACTACTAAGACATACACAAAACTATATATGCAGGTATCCTATGCAGAGAATAATATATCAGATATATCTACGCAACAAAACAAAGTGTAAGGAGAAACAAAAAGGAAAGGTTTTAAAATAATATGGAAATACTCCAGTATCTTGAAAAGCTATGTTTAGAACTCCAGATTCAAATGGCCCTGATTCATCTATGTGCCAGGCAAGGATATATTACATGAACAGGAAATAGTGAGTCTTGGATTTTCACAAATTGAGAAACTGGAGTTTCTTTTTATACCTGGGAAAGATATATTCCCAAAGAGAAATGACATCATGGGCTTGTAAGATGCTGGGGAGGCAGATTAGGCCAGGGGTGGAGTGTCTGGGCTAAAGAAAACAACCTTTCGGTTTGCTGCTGTAAAACAAACATAATTTGGTTGCTACTCTCATCACTGTATGGAGTGACATCACTCCAAGTGGCTGTCATGTGACCCATATGAATTCTCTCCACCAAAGGGAGATAAGCATCTTCTGTATCCTGACACTACAATCACTTGACTATCCATTTTTTGCATGTGAACACTATTCTTACTTGTGAACTTTTTGTCTTAATACTTTGCCTAATTTTGACTTGCCCATATATTGTTTGCTTAGTATTATTTTGCAGTGTTCTTTTTCTTACTTTTCTTATTGTTTATTGGAGACTTTATCAGTTGCGTTTGTCGAGCATTTTGCCAATTATGCTTAACCATGGCCAATTATTCCACACGACAATAAGAAAACACTCCACTCTCTTTCTTATGAAGTTATGGTAATTCATAGAAAATAAAAGGACTTTGTGGAGAGCCATGATCACATGATTCCTTAATGGATATGGCATTTAAATACCATTATTGAATTGATAACAAAAATGTATCTATCCAAAGAAGCTATCAGTGTTTTTAAAGATAACATGGAAATATTCTTCTGGGGTTTAATGATTATGTTCTTCCAGTGATGACTTATAAAACTGAGACATGAGTGCTCAATGCCATCGCTGCAAAAGACTCTTACAGCAGCCCAACGTAAAATGGAGTGAATCATGCTCAGCATCATCGTGTGTGATAAGAAGAGTTACACCTGGAGTGAAGACTATCAAGAAGGGTAAACATAGATGGGCTGGCCACATCTCTCATCTCAGAGACAACAGGTGGACTATTAGAAGGACAGAGTGGACACCAAGGCTGGGGAAAAAGAACTAGAAGGTTGGCCAAAGACAAAATGGTAGGGTGACCTGACAGGATACCTTGGCCTCACATGGCCCAGTATGGCCAGAGATAGGAAGTGGTGGAGGTTAATCTGGGGGTGGGGGGTGTCCTGTAATAGGAATGAGTAGGCCCTGGATTTGAATTTGGAAAATATTCATTAAATCAGATTTATTGCTGTAATTACATTTTATATTTTTTCTTACAGGTAATACAAGTATGGATGCTGGTCTTTCATTTATCATGGCTAACATGGGCCATACAAGCAAAAATAAGGTCGTGTTTGATCCTTTTGTTGGGACAGGTTAGTACTTCAAGTCGGTTGTTCAAAATTATATCTTCATGTTTGTTATTGTGATTACATTTTGACTTTGTATAATCTGACGTATTATAATTCTCTTTGTTCCTCTGTTAGTGATCATATGTGTTATGCACTCACATTTCCACAGATAAATAATAGACCAAACCATAGCAGACAATCTCACTTCAATACTTCAGAAGCCAAATTAGTAACCTTTCATCATCTCCAAGCTGACCCTTAATTCTCACCAATCACAAGGAATGGTGATTTTTCTAAGCGTAGCTTAGATGTAGCACAAGGCCAAAAGTATAGAGCATTCATTGAGTATCAAACTCACTACTCAGTATAAACTGTTCTAGCAAGATAAACTTGCTAACCATTACACAATGTTGAGGTGCCATTTCCTGTGCATAGCTTAGACGTGGCACATGGCTGAATATGTGGAGCACCCAGTGAGGATCAAACTCACTACTCGGTCATAATTGTCCTAGCGAGACAAGCTTGCTAACCATTACACCATGTCGAGGTGCCCTTTCCTATGTGTAGTTTAGATGTGGCACAAGGCCAAAGTATGGAGCACTTAGTGAGGATCAAACTCACTATGTCGTAATTGTTCTAATGAGACAAGCTTGCTAACCATTACACCACATCTAGGTGCCCTTGATTTTCCAAGTGTAGCTCAGATATAGCACAAGCCCAGAGGTATAGGGCACCCAGTGAAGATCAAACTCACTACTCAGTCATAATTTATCTAGCAAGACAAGCTTGCTAACCATTACACCATATCAAAGAGTCCCCATTCACAAGGAATGGTTGGTTATACTCTCAATAAAGCTCCCAACTTTGAACGTCATTTGGGACTCAACTTCACCCCAGACCTCAAATGAAACTCATATATACTATTCATCACTATAGACAATTAAATATGGAAGAATGGTCAGCTCCTTATGGTCAGTCATTTAAGTGCCATACATGATACACACTTGGACGATCATGTCTCTTTTGATTCATGACTGACAAGTCAGAAGATTTTTCCTGCAGTAGGTTGCCATTTCTTTCTACAGTAGACTAGTTGCAAACCAAGGCTATAGAACCTAATCTGTCCTGCTATTCAACCCATAGCTGGGGGAGCCAAAGAGATGGATCCATACCTTTCCCAAGCATATTTGTATGTAAGTGAATTTAATGAACCTGACTAGAATTCATACTCAGCTCTCCAATTTCTCATTCTGAGCTGATATCTGTCAATGCTATAACACACATCCGCAGTTCCTTATGCCACTCCAGAATGTACCTGACTCTATGTCGATACAACAACCTCATTTAGTAACCCTTTACTTTAAAATTTCTAATCTGGAATACTTAATATAAATGGATGAAGAAGAAATCCAAATAAACATACATAGCCATGTTTATTTTTATTGAGGTAAGATTAGGATTAATCTCATTCAAATCAAGATGGGTCCTGCCTGATATTGTAACAATTTGATTTCTCACACATCATTAGAAGATAAGGTAAATTTCTTCCTTTTAAGTTCACTCAGAAATTGGAGTTTTGTAGGAATTTTGTCTCTAGTCCATCTTGAGTGAACTTAGGGGTTAGTTTTTTAGGATTCATGCCTTCAGTTTGCCTTTGAATTGTGAAACATTAGAATTTTATCAATGATTTTAGATAGTCATAAAAGTAGACTTTTGAAGATTTGACCACCCATGTGGCTTTGGGGTGGTCTCAACACTTCAGGATTGGGGGATTGGACACCAGTATTTTAGATAGTCATAAAAGTAGTCTTTTGAAAATTTGACCACCCATTTGGTTTTGGGATGGTTTCAAAACTTCTAGATGGTGGGGGGGAGTACCCCTGGATTTTCCATATAATCAGAGAGAGGCAAGAAGTCAAGAAAGAAAGTGGGTCCAGCCGTGAGAGAAGTAAGCAAGTGACCAGAGGAGTGAGAGCTGCCCAGCAGCCAATGACAGAAGGACCAGTAGTGGGAAATCAGGAGTCACTGAGCCCAGAGGCCAATGAAGTTAGGGAGATAACAGTTCAGTTGAAGGAAAAGATAGCTCGCTAAATGAGAAATCCTATTGTTGTGAACTTCTAACCAGTGTCTTTAAAAACATTTGTTGTCACTAGTATTATTTGTTGAAAGCGATCATGGCCAAGAAGACAAACCTGTGCACATAGCGCATTGGGTGTATATTCAAATACACTCAACCTTAGATTTCATCACAGGTGCAGTGAACGACGAACAATTGGAGAATGTTATCACAATTCCGCCATGAAAGGTGTCACAATATATTCAGATTATGACTTTTTTGTAACCCAATGTTCCCATGTCATAAATCGATGAAATAAAAATAATTGTTTTTACAGAAAGTAAGAACCTACGTACATCAAATTGTCTTTAAATTAAGAGGCAGCAGAAGAATTATTGTTGAACTTTTAAAAGGTAAGCTTAAATATTCATGGAATATTTAAACCCAGTGATCAATTTTCAGTTTTTCTGTAGTTTATTGTTGCCTATCACATATGGCACTTGGGAACACTGGCTACTGTAAGAAACCTCCTACACTCTGAAATATTTTATCCACTGGCCTCTTGGGGTTGAAGTAATCCAGTGACTTGACTCAAACAGTTGTGAGTCAAATATCACCTGGCTACAGCAGAGGTGAACAGAGTTGAGTTACTAAAGGGAAATAACTGAAACTGAGATATCCAGAAAAGGCATGGCACGTGGAACTAGAACAGTCTATTCCAGTGGATGAAATAAAGGGTTCAGTTTGAAATTCCAACTTATATCACCTGAAGAAGACTGGAGTGTACAATGGCTGAAACATTGTGAATATGACAATAAAGATGAGGACAACAGATTGAACGATGTAAATAGTGCAAATAGCTAGAATACCTCACCTCAGAAATATAGACAGATCCTGAGGAAGGCTGGAGTGTACAATGGCCGAAACATTATGAATATGTCAATAAAGATGAGGGCAACAGTTTGAACAATGTAAATAGTGCAATTAGAAATATTAGGATACTCAAACTGTATTCTTTTTCCTTTCTAACTGCAGTTTGAATTAATTGTTCTATTTTTGGGGGGGTCTCATCCTTTTTCTTTTTTTTTTTTTGACAGGCAGTTTGCTGGTTGCTTGCGCCCATTTTGATGCCTATGTGATGGGAGCAGATCTTGATTATCTTCTTCTCCATGGTAAAGGTAAGTCGTATTCTTTTCATCAAAATCATTTTTGCCTTCACTTTGGAGAAGTTTTAAATCTTTATCATAAGCATAATACCATTTGAACCGATATCGTTTATTCTTGGGAAGTCTTTCAAACCCTGCCTTACTGATTAGGCTAAAATTGTAGGATATAAAAATGGTTTGAGAGTTGTAATAAAAAAAAGCAGCAAAAAATAATTTGAAAGAAAAACTAGCGAAAAATTAATGACAGTAATTCATTTAATAACACTAGTGTAAGAAAACAAGGGTTTCTGTCTGAATCTCTGGGATGAGGAGTTATTTATATTATTTACAGTTGGATTAACCCCTGTGGATTGAAGTAAAAAAATTAGTAATCAGAAAACAACACTGGAAAATCAGTAGACTGAAGATATCAGCATCTGCTAGACTATGACACCTTCAGCAGTAGGCCTAGCATAGAAATAAATACCATGTGGGAGTCATTAATAAATGAAAAGAAATGATGTCAAAGAGAGTCAAACTTATCAGAAAAGGCTTCAGCAGCAGAAGAAGTGGTAGGCAAAGGAGGTTAAGTGTGACATCAAGGAAGAAGCAAGACAATAAGAACTTTAAATTTAAGGTTCCACATTTAGATTCAGGGGGATTAGAACTTTTTTCATGAATTTATTTGGATAGAAATTATGAGTTCAATACCTGGGCTGGGTAGTACAGGCACAGACCCATTAGAAATAGGGCAAGCAATAAAAAAAGAAAAAAGAAGAAAAGAAAACCCTAGACATGGAATAAGAATAATGGTTACTTGGATCCTGAAGAAGTCCAGAAGGCACAATGGCTATAATGTTGCAATAATAGCAACAGAAATGAGGGTATCTCTCACTGTAAAGAATTTACATAATTCAAAGAGGTGTATGGCACACCTGAACTCTTTCTTTCTTCTCTTTTTTAAAATTATTTATGCTGTACATGATACTTTAGTGGAGAAGGTAATGGTTTCTCTGGTTGTCAACTGTTAAAAGTTGCTAACTTCTAATTTAAAATTTTGTAAATGTTGTAAAGGTTTTTACAATCGGGACATTTAATATTAAAGGATTTGCGAAAAAAGAAAGGCAGGAATTATTTGCTCTGGACATTGATGTATGTTGTCTCCAAGAACCCCAAATCAAAGAAGAACTTGATATTAATATCAGATTAAGGTAGACTAATAGATTTGGAAACAGAAAATATTATGGAAATGGTTTTCTCATCAATACTAAATACAATAATAATATTCATAGGTATTGGATGAAAAAACCATCGTAATTACATTGAACAATAGTATTTAAAGATCAATCAATAAAATTCTATCATTCCCACTAAAAATGTTGAAGAGATTTGAAAACCTGCAACACTTTCATGAGTTAGCACAAGACAGGAAGGTTTGGAGATGACTGAAAAGATTTCTTTATAAAGTTGCTGAAGATAAGAAGTGACACTGATTTTCAGTTGAAACAGCTTTGATGATTTTAAGAAATATACTATTTTTGTAAATAAATTTGTCTTTTTATCTAACCCCCTGATAACTGGATGCAATATATCCATGAAGCTTCAAGTCAGGAAAGGTAACGTGAACATTTGATATAATTTGCTGATATATATATATAGAGAGAGATAATACATTCAACATTATGGATGAAAAATAGTGAATTTTATAGTGTTTTTTTTTTTTTTTTTTTTTTTGAGACTTAGCATGAGCAAAACAAATTCACTTATTTGGACAAAAACAAAACAAGAAACCCAGGATGACGTCAAAATTTGTAGCGTATATGAATGTAGGTAGAAAAAGTAAATGTTAATAAGGTAATGAGGGTTCCTGGGGCACTCAGTCAGGCTTGACGCATATAAACATACATATATATATATAAAGAGAGAGAGATGGAAGAATTGATCTGCAGAGAAGAAATGTATAGCAGCTTGGAATGAGAAATCAGAGAGCCAAGTTTGAATTCCAGTTGAGTTCGTTACATTCACTTACACGCAAATACACTTGAGAAAGGCATGAATCCATCTATCCCTCCCCCAGCTATGAAATATATATGTTGTTAAAATGTTGGCGAATTCTTAATCAAAACTTTGTAACTATTTTTACCAATGGAACATTTAATATAAAAGGATTTGTGAAAAAAGAAAGGCACAAATTATTTGCTCTAGGTTTTGATAGTTATAGCATTGATGTATGTTGTCTCCAAAAACCCCAATTCAAAGAAATATTTGATATTAATATCAGATCCTCTCTTTCTGTAATTCGATGACAGTAAGTAGGAAATAAATATACTAATATTGTTGCTAGTATTTGCAGAAAAGGTGGTCAAAGTAAAAAGATGAAAGTAAATACTAATTAAAATTAATAATAGTTAACAGTTGTTGTGGGAATGGAATGTATTGTCATTTTATGCCACCTGATACATTTGTCCCACAAACAATATTTGGCAGACTCATGTGACGACACAAAACATAGCAATCAATCAAACAATAATTAATAAATGCATTAAGAAGACATGTTACAGAAAGATAAAGAAACAAAGTTGAAGTTATGAACAGTTCAATACAATCTTCAGTTTGTGTCTCTGAAAGACTTACATATCTATTGGAGCAAAAGAAAACATGTCTTGCCACTCTGAAGTCAAAGGGAAAAGAGGAGGAGTCTTTGAAATATCACACCATCAATGATTATCATCATGGGATGGTAATCCAACACAGTATTTCATCTAATGAGAAATTAAAATGAAAGTAAATGCTAGTCAAAAATTAATAATGGTTGCCAATGATTCATCTAATAAAACAATTATGGTAGAAGTAAATACTAATGAGAATTAATAATTGTTGAGAATACTTCTTTTAATGAAAAATTAAAATGAAAGTAAATACGAGTCAAAACTAATGACAATTGACAGTGCTTCATCAAATAAATTAAGATAAAAATAAATTCCAGTCAAAATTGATAATAGTTGACAATGTCTCCTTTAATAAAAATTAAAATTAAAGTAAATATTATTCAAAATTCATAATAATTGTTAACAATGTTTCATCTTATGAAAAATTAAGACAAAAAGTAAATTCTAGTCAAAATTTATGATAGTTGACCAATGCTGCATCAAATAGATTAAGATAAAATTAAATAGTAGTCAAAATTAGTAATAACTAACCTAGAAGCTGCCCTTTGGGTGGGCATTAGGCTAGTTCCTGCAGGAGGGCTTTTGGGCCTTCAGCCTTTTACTTTCAGCATCCTATGCATGTAAAAGTTATAAGAATTTAGAAAGAATAAAATTATTTTATCTTTATTCGACACCTTAATTCGTCATAATCTTTCTTCATATATGCAACCGATTTCTGTAGTTTGTTTAAATTTCTTTTGCAGGCAATTTTGTTTTTTTAAATCACCATTCTTTATGATCCCTTCACATAAATTCACTCTTAAAAGATATTAGGGAACCCAAACTATGTAATATTTTGAATGTCACAGCACATGTGCTAGAAAAAGTAAAACAACATGAGCAACATACCATGCCCTGCTTAAGATTTAATTTTGGTTTAATTAGACAATGTCAGTTGCAATTGTGATGAAAAGTGGAATTAAAGTTAAATCTTTAATAAAAGATTGGTTTTTAAACCTCTCACTTGGTTCGATATTTGAATTTAACTTTAAATGAGTTAATTATATAATTTTAATCGCATGTAACTACAGAAGCTATTAACCTGTTACTTCAGGTTGTTTATGATTTGCTGAGATTGAAAAACAGATGGACAGACACACATACACTGCACTTTATTTATATAGATAGCTGAAAATTTTTCATCAAATAAAAAAAATTAAATAGAAATAATTTTTCATGTTTCAAGAAATTAGTTTATTGAATTTTTCTGTTTTTAATTTGTTGACATTGATTTCCTGATTTCTGATTTAATCCTTTTTTTTTTTTTTCCCTGTTAGCTCGTCCGTCTCGTCATAATCAGAAAGAGAGAGAGTCAAATGAAAGCATCCATTCTAATTTAATTCAATATGGTCTTGGTCATCTTTATCTAGATGCTCTGGTTGCAGATTCTTCAAAACATGGAATGTGGCAGAGGAAAGAAATTTTTGATGCTATCATCACTGACCGTAAATTTTTATTATTTTTCTATTTTTATCACTTTAAACATTAATTTTAGTGGATATCCATATTTGAGTAGAGCCTTTGTTTATTTTTTTAAACAGTATTTATTTTTGTCTACCAGTCTGAATATTCAAATTACATTATAAACAGTATAAGCAGTTATAAACTTTCAAGAATCTAAGCGAAAAGGATGTGTATAAAGGAAGTATACAACCTTGCTGAATCGTTGTCGCTCTTCATGACCGAGGCGGTTAAAAACATGTCAGATCTAACAACAGTTTCTCTTGCAAAGGGTGATGCAAGTTCAAGTCCTGCTGGGGGACGCATTTTAATTTGATAAGATTTTTCACATGTAGAAAATCAATCCATAGATTGTTGAGTGAGATAGACTCAAGAGAAATATTCCATGAATTATCGTATTATAGTAGTTGAAGGTAATCTCTGTTGTTGCTTTTATCACTGACCAAAGGCATTGCTGTTGGTGAAAGAACCTTGGTATCACTGCTGATGGCTTGGTTAAGCTTGTTTGTCATGGGGGCACACCGCTAAGCCAGGTTTGTCTCTGTGGGTTAAATCAACGCTGGTTTTATAGTGAGTCTGTGACTCAGAAATAGCTACTGCAAAACACCACGTGGGCTTTTTCCTGAATATTCAGAAAAGATTATTTATTGACACAAGTATTTTTGGGGACAATAATCCGGAAGTGGGTGTGCGAGACTGAACAAAATTATGGTCTGTTTTTGTCATATGACCTGTGGATGTGAAAGGGAGCACTTCTGTTTGGGTTAAAGAATTGGAGTTCTGACAGAGTACGACAGACTCTAAATAGCACATTTACAAATATTAATTGTAGGAGTTATATAATACTTTTTAAATAAACATTCTATATAACTCTTTGTTAGTACTGTGGGGCATTGCAATAATATTAGTACAGTGAGATTTTTAAACATTAATTTAAAATATTATAGGCGTATCATTCACTTTTTAATTTTTTGCCTATTTCTGACTATAAAGAACCTTTTCCTGTGTTAATTTGAATTTTCTTTAATAAGATTTCTCAAATTGAGAAAATTGGCCCATACATAGTTGAGTGAGATAGACTCAGGTAGAGAATGAACATGTATACGTAGTTGAGTGAGATAGACTTGGGAAGGGAATAAACATGTATATATAGTCGAGTGAGATAGACTCGGGAAGGTTTGGTTTGGTTTGTTTTACAGCATATCAACCACAATGTGTTATTTAATATGACAAGATTTTTATTGCTGGTAATATTTTTTTCCAAAACTTTATTGCTGATAATAATTTTTTTAAAAATGTATTTCTAGCATTAAAACCTATTTTTCCACTTTCATAGTGTTTTGACCCCAGACTGTGGTTAACTATTTGCTCATAGTTGGGAGCCTAAAGGTGCTACCACCTCGGGTCAGGGTGGACCTGGGAACACCAGCAATTAAGAGGTGGTACTCAAGAAGGGAATGAATGTGTACATCTAGCCAGGTGAGACAAACTTGGGAAGAGAATGAACGTGTACATGTAGCTGGGTGAGACAGACTCGGGAAGATAATGAACATGTACATGTAATCGGGGGAGGCAGATTCATGGGAGAAATATTTCACAGATTATCACACTGTAGTAGTTGAAGGTAATCTCTGCTGCTGGTTTTATCACTAATCATAAACATCACTGTTGATGAAAGTGTCATTAGGGGACATCAGTAATACCAGTCGAATGAGATCTACCTCTGTGGGTTAGATCAATGCTGACTTTATAGTGTGTCCATGACTCAGAAATGTCTGCTGCAAAATACCTCATGGGCTTTTTTTTCTGATTGCTCAGAAGAAATGTTTTATGACCTTGGTGTTTTGAGGTGTCATTCCAGAAGTGAATATGCAGAGCTGGGCAAAATTAAGGTCTGATTTTGTCATGTCAGCTGTGGATGTTGATTTAAGCACTTCTGTTTGGGTTAAAGAATCCGGAGTACTGACAGGGTACAGCATTATTATATGGATAATATTTCGATTTGATCAAATAAAAAGATTTAAAAAGCTCCTTTCAAACTTTGAGCTTCTTGTCATCAATTATTTTCTATGTTTTAACATTTGATTCTTTAATATCTTTTACAGCACCTTATGGAATACGAGAACCTGCAAAAAAGATTGCAGCTCATAACAAGAAATCTAACTCACCGGAAAGGTTTGTTTATTTTCTGCAGTGAAATTTGATGAAACATTGACTTATTCTAATAGTCTATTGGGTGCACGTCAAGAAAGATAACTCTACTTGCTTATTAAATTCAAATCTAGTTATCTCCCTGAAATCTATAGGTTTAATAGCTTGCATGGGATGCGTGTAACAAACTTCACAAGATTTGGCACTCGAATCTTCCATAAAAGTTCAAACCTTTTGAACATTAATTGAACCAGTCCTACTGTATAGATAAGAAACTTGGACATTATCTGTTTGTTTTGAAAGATGGAACATATACAAATCTACTGAGAAAAATCCAGAACATCAGTTGGAGATCCCATTTAACATTTAACACAATTTACAGAGAACTGAGATCAATCTCTTTTTAGCTCAAACAAAAACAGTTACAGTTTGCCAACCATTGTCACTGAGCGGACAGGGAAATTGTCTTATCCTTACTCCTATGGCATCCTTCTGGAAGTGTCTTCTCATGAAAATTGACTTTCCCAGACACCATAGCTCAGGACTCAGGGTTAGACATTGAGGATTTGGGGACAGCAATACAGGACCGAACAATGTGGAAAGAGAATGTCAATGGAGTTCTGACCAACCATAGGGATGTCAAAGGATGATGATGATGATTAGTAAATAGAGTGAGCATTTTTAAGGGTTAAATGCTGTGGTTTTTTGTTATAGTTATTACAGGTGATTCTTAAATCTATAGTAGATTGATTATATTTTCTGATGAATTAAGGACACCATGATTAAAACTGATATTTCCTCTATTATTGCTATCCTTGATTGTTTCCAGTGGCCCAACCTTAGGTCTGATTTGAGCTGCATTGGCCAAAGTTCTAAGTCTATTCTTTGAAATGAAAGAAGTGTTGTTTCCAGCTTGAATAACGGAATTTATACTTTCTGGTGGTTCTGTAGAACCACATCTCTGTTACCTCATGTCCTCTCCTCATCTGTGAAGAAATTGTCAGACATTCACTGCTATATAAGAGGATACATATATATCAGTTCAGTGCTCTTTTCTTTGTTTCTAGTGAACTGGGTGGTTATTTCATGACAAAATCATTGAATTAGTCTTCATAATAAGCACTCTATTTCAGAGATGTTACATCAGTTACAACTTCTTTAATAATAATAATAATGGCCTGTTACTTGTTTCCAAGCACACCCTTTCCTAGGGCGGCAAGCTAATCTCTGTTGCAGACACACTCAGGTACATTAGTGTTTGTTCAACACCTACAGAACCCAGCTATGTTTTATACTACAACTATGCTGAGCAAACCATTGTTACAGTTTCTGAAAGAGCTTGTAAAATCCAGCTCCATGAAGATTTTGAACAAAAATATTTATCTAAAAATATTTTCTCATTTTAAATAACCAGCAATGGGTTGATAAGCCATAGAAAATCAATCAATCAATCAAATAATATTTATTAGGAAATCACTCATTAAACCAAAATGTTTGTGATTTAACAAAAGCAAAAATATTTCTATTTTAATCAAAACCCATTATTTTAATCTTTATTGACTTTTGGAAATAATTATTTTCATTTTTTTTTTATTTTTTTATTATCAGAGTGTTTCATATTGCTGAAAAAACCCAGTACCGATTAACTGATATCTTTAAAGATCTTCTGAATTTTGCTGCTAAATATCTCACCATGAATGGACGTCTTGTCTATTGGTTCCCGGTGTGTCGATCTGAGTGAGTAACTGAGCATTTTTTTTATGTCTGGTAAAAGACTTTTTCCCTGAACTAGATTTTTTCATATTTCAATTGTTAATTATCCAACTAAGAGAAAACACAGTATGGAATCGAGTAAAAAAATCAGACAATAAATTTGAAGGAGGATGTTGCCTGCTGGTTAGTTTTCAGTTAATCAGTAAGACATTGTCTTGGTCAAACAGGTTCCCAAACAAAGGTGTGAGCTCAAACCTTGCCAAAGCTTATTCTTTAGTTCTGATACATGTTGCTTATGTTATAGCTGTAGAATTTAAAAACAACCTGAGCATTAAGTGATAATCAACTAGAATAAATCGCTGGCCACATGCTGAAGCAGCCATACTTTAATAAAAGTTGGTCCTAATACAAGTTAAGATTTCTTTCATGATTAACAGGTTCCTCATAAATTTCGTAATTATCTCCCTTGATAAATTAATGTCTAGTCAAACTAGGAGTCCCATAAACCATTAGAATCATACCTTCACTACATTGCAGCATACCAGCAGCAGTGTGTCTAGGGCAATATAGCCTGCCAGAACCCATCCCTCTTCAAGCTGATTTTGAACTCAGTTTTCCTTTTCATTGGTTACTAACTTAACTCGAAAGAGTTCACATGTTTTTTAGATTTATTTACATTCTCTGGAATATAAATTTATAGAATCTACTGTGGCCACAAAGTGAGGGATCGGTTTATATATCGATTTTAATATAGTATTGATTTTCCACTTTATATCCACATTATTATTTCTTGTTTGTTTATCAAATTCTGATTAGGTATGAATACACCTCTTCTCCCCACAGCTATGGGTTAATTAGTGTTGTGACCAAGTTAAAGAAATAACAAAACAAGTGTTTCAGATATGTTATATATTAAACAGTAAGTACAAGAGAAAAGTATTATATGACTAGTGAGTGTGTGTCAGTTGACCCAGCATTCAATCTATTGGACTGTTCCCCCAAAGCCTTCTCTCCTACTAATCTTATAGTAGGCAGAAGAGTCCAACATAGACTCTTTAGAGGAAGGACACCACAACAATTAGAAAGACTTGTATCATTGTTACCTCCAAAAATAAAAACAAATCTTAAAATCTAAAAATATTTTCTAGCTTTAAATAACTTGCAATGGGTTGATAAGTTATTTAAAATGAATTAATTCAAAAAAAAAAAAAACACCTAAAAAAATGTACTGTGGATGAAAACATTGTGTATCATGGTTGTACTTATTCTTTATTCCTAGCTTAAAATAGTAATACAATGTATGTAGAAAAATATCTTAACTTTTATTTTTATTCTTTGTATCAACTGAGAAACCCTTATTTCAAAATAGAAACTATTTCTGAAGCTAGAGAACATAATTCTAGGTAGAAAAAGGTTTTTCATGTGTTGGAGTATGATTACCATAATATTGTTTTGAAGCATTTGTGTGGAATAAAGCTCGCCCCTAAGTATGTATTTCTATTTCTGGGAGCTTTGTTTCTATATATATATATATATATATATATATATACACATTCTTATTATAGATACAAGTATTTAAGTAAATGCTCTATTTATAATAAACAGTATTAACAACATTTACCAGCCTCAATGTCCGAGAAATTCTCATAGAAAATATACATCCTCTGACAGGAATTGAACCTGTATCCTATACGGAACCGTTATATAGCCTGACGTGCTTTAGTTTCGGTTAGCAAGGTCAATTTTACTGTTTTTAAACTACAATTCTCCATGATTTTCTCCCGTACATTCATATCTGCTTGATGTGTATCCAAATGTAAACAAATGACGTCACACATTATGAAATGGACAAAGTCCGACAATTATTTTAAGACATTTTTATGTTTATATGTTCTTTTTATAGATAGATATATATAAAAATATATAAACATAAAAAATGTCTTAAAATAATCATCGGACTTTGTCCATTTTGTCCATATATATATATATATATATATATATATATATATATATATATATATGCACAACTTTTTTGCCTGTTGTCTGTTGGTGTCAATTAACATCTAAAATATACCAAACAGACGCAGTTCAGTCTTATCTTTGTTGAGTAATTAGCCACAGTTAAATGTAATTGGTAGAAATGCCCAACAAACAGAATTGACAAAGTTTGCAATAAACTATAACAAGAGAAAAAAACAAAAGAACAAGGTAAAAATAATACGAAGCAGACAATATATGCAAGACAGAAGTAAGCAAAGCAATAGTAATAAGGCAAGAAGCAACAGTACTACTTCTTCCTTCCTTACAAAAATGTCACTTGTAGAGTTATTGGTTATGGTTAAATGTAATTGCCAGAAATGTAATTGCCAGAAATGTCAAACAGAATTGACAAAGTTTCCAATAAATAATAACAAAAGAAAGAAAAAAATAGGACAAAAATAATACAAAGCAAACAATAAATACAAGACAGAAGTAGACAAAGCAATAGTAATAAGGCAAAAAGCAACACTAATAAGGCAAAAAGTTCAAAAACTAAGAATAGTGTTAACATGAAAAAGGGATACTGATAAGTGACTGCTGCATTCTGACTTCAAGAATGGAACTAAGTTGGATGAGACCGAGAAGTGGCCTATTTTATTGGCTTGGAAAAATCCCAGAATGCATCTGTATGTTTTGTCTATAAATTTGAGAAGGGGGATGTTTTTGCATTCATTCCTATCCAGAATTAAAACCAACAATCTTATATGTAAGAATTCAAAATAATAGCAAATAAAGATTCTTTCATTTTTAATCTGCATTATAAATTGTTTATTTTGTAAAATACATCGGTTGGATTCTTTGGTACACATCATCAGTGATGTTTCTAGCCAAGGTTCATTAGCGGAGTGTCAGGTGTTTCAACATCATACTCCCCTCTTCACAGTATTTAGTATTACATTGCTTCTAGTGGAGAAATATGAAATGGCAGTTTTCAGGATTTGAAATATGAAGGACATACAGAAAGGAAACTAAAGTGGTTGTTTCAATTAATTTGCACAAGGATATATATAAAAGTGTGACACACAAAATTAAATATATGTGGATACACATTGTATTTTATAAACATTTGTTCATGCATTGAATATTGCTGTCAAATTTAGTTCTGCCCAGATTAGTCATGCTGTCTTAATCAATACTAACATAATACCCATAAAAAATGGTGAGATTATTTAAAACGAAACTGCTCTCTCTTTTTAATCACCCAAGGGAACCCTTTCTGCCTTCCATCAGCATCACTGATGCTACCCTCCGGGAGAGTGATTTGTTGCACCTCCTTGGACTAACATTGAGTATTGACTTGTGTACCATCTGCAATTTTCTCCATTTTCCCAACTGTAACTTTTCTGGGCAGTTTATAGTCCAATCACAGATGACTTCTGGTTCACCAGCAATGTGCGCTCTTCCATAAAAAAGGAAGCAAACGCAGTAACAGTTTTGATCTGGTAAGGAACTTGGCAACGCGCTCAGCTTGAAATGGTAAGTAACAATTTTGTTTCCTCCTCACTGAGATATACACATGCAAACGCACACATGAATCATATAGTATATAATAAAAACTCATACAATTTTTTTTCCTTACAGTTACAAAGAGGAGAATATTCCTGTTCATCCATGTCTGAAATTAATTGCTAATTCTGAACAACCATTATCAACACGTGTCAGTCGAAGGCTGATAACCATGGAGAAAGTAAAATCTTATAAAGTAAGTTCTTCCATTCTAGTGTGATTTTTACTTGTAAGATTTGTACTACCACCAGACAGAATATTGTCATCGTCAGTCCTCTGATCAGGTGTGATCATAGTCATTGCACGACTGAACACCTGACCAGTTCTTTCCACATAGATATGAAAGCTGAAGAGGTATTCATTTATAGGTAGGCAAGTAGACCTGGTGGAACTCATTCCTCTCCAGGTCAAACCACAGCCAACTTGAAGGCTCACCTTGGTCACAGACATGTGGCCATTTATTCCATCCTCCACCCTGGCTGTTGACTTCAGTCTAGGAAGCCCTACACCTACTGATGCATGTCTTGTTTTTTATCCTGCTGGATGTCTAGTTGCCCTCCTCACTAGAAAAGGACGGTGGGGGAAATGGTTTAGTTGCCAATAACTAATCATGCACCAGATTGTATTGGGTTACATCATACTAGTATCTCTTATAGAGTGACCTAACCATAAAGGAAGAATATATGTCTGACACAAAAATGTTTTATATCACGCATGTCAATTTTGTAGTCTTTTCTTTCTGCATCTAAGTTATTGAAATTAAGATTTCTGTTTTTTTTTATTATTTTTATCACTGGTATCTGTTTTGTACAAGAATTACAAAAATGTCCAAGTTGTTTTTATTTTTTAACTAGTTAACCAGGTCCATCAAAACATATCAATAATAGTTAAGTTTGTGATATTTTACAAATACAATATAACTACAAAAGTACTATCAATTTATCTGCAATCTAAAAATCATTTTAATAAATCAAGGCGTTTTATTTGTTAAGTATTAAAAAATGGACAATTAACCAACGAAGTGAACTCTTCTGTTTTTGAGTATTTTTTAAAATCATTTCACTCCAAGCAAATTAATAAAGCCTCTTAGCTGCAAGGGGGTTACTGACAGTGAAAGAATCTGAGAAACACATTATTGAACAGAGGGAACAATAACTGAGCAGGATTCAAGGAGACAGTAGGTGACTAGTGACAGTTCACTTCAGTTTTTGGAGATCATAGTTGACAGCAAAATATATTAAAATATATATATAAATATACACACACACACACACACACACACCCTTGTGCAAATTAATTGAAACAAAACAATTCTGTGATTTACTTTTTTCGTATTTTTCCAATGAAACATGACCCAGTGTTAGTACTTCACATGTTGATTCCACAAAGTTGTTCCTAGCAGATTGACTACAGATTCTCGATTGAATTTAAATCAGGAGAGTTTCCACACCAGTCTATAGTACTTTAATTTGCTCAGTGGTAAAGCATGCCAATACACTCGTGCAGTGTTACAATTTTTGTATGCTTCCTTGGAGTAACATCCATTGCAGACAATGGCCGTAGGACAACTAATCGACAATCGAGACAATAGTGTCTGAGTGTGATGAAAATCTGATGCAATCACAGATGACACAATATTTTTCAAAGCCAAACAAATTTCATCATACACTCCAAAAATAGATTCATATTACTGCACACCACTGCAAATGACCTAATCTGAGGAAAACAATAGAAATCAATTACACCCTGTAACTCCGGTGGGTCTAAAACTGACCGTATGGTGAAAGAAAGGAAACTAAAGCTGTTGTTTCAATTAATTTACACAAGGATGTATATAAAAGTGTGACACACAAAATTAAATACATGTGGATACACATTGTATTTTATAAACATTTGCTCATGCATTGAATATTGCTGTCAAATTTAGTTCTGCCTGTATCAGTCATACTGTCTTAATCAATACTAACATAATACCCATAAAAAATGATGAGATTATTTAAAACGAAACTGCTCTCTCTTTTTAATCACCTGAGGGAAACCTTTCTGCCTTCCATCAGCATCACTGATGCTAACCTCCAGGAGAGTGACTTGTTGCACCTTCTTGAACTAAAATTTTCCACCTGAAGTGGAAAGATTATATTGAATCAATTGCTAGATCTGCTGCTAGGAAAGTGGGTTCACTGTGTTGTCTTTCATCTATCTTTCATATTTATAGGTCTACCATTCATCCATGCATTAAATATTGCTGTTACATCTGGTCTTGTGCTCCTGCTATATATTTAAAGATTCTTGATAAAATCCAAAGAAGAATCTGCAATCTTATTGGTTCTGACCTGGCATCTCAGCTTCAGTCTCTTTCCCATCACCATAACATTGCTCTCTGCACATTTTCTATAAAAATTTTCATGGTAATTGTTCTGATGAACTTTCCTCTTTAATATCTTTACTTTATGAATTTAAGTTTAGTACTAGATTGACAGCAAGGTTTCATTATTTTACACTTGAAATAACTAGATATAAGCGTAAGTTCTATGCTTTTGTGTGTTTACATACCAATCAATCATTTTTTTATTTTTTTTAAACAACAAAAAAAATTCGCCAGTGCAAGGGGAATAACTCTAGTTACCAATTCTATTCTCGTGTTTATTTGCTATGGTTATTTGAGCTGCAAATTTTAGTTGTTTTAACTTCTTTATCGGAACTAATGAAAAACACGTTATCAGTATATGGAAATTATTTAATCACAACACTATGAAGAGTATCCCAAAATAATTTTTTTTTTTTTTTTTTTTTGCAGGGAACACGAAATCAATGTACTATCATTATTTTTCGAGTGATTTCCCATCAAAAAAAAATCTTTTCGGGGAAGCAACTTTAATAAGAGTTGCTTCCAATTTTCCTTCAAGTCTCATGTCCTTTCAAGACGTTGGCAATCATTATTATCCATAATTTCTTATCTTTTTTGGTCAAACTAACTTTTGACCCATTACCATATTTCTTTATTTCGAACTCACTCGTAAATTTTATAATTATCTCCCTTGATAAAGTAATTCACTTGCAGTGGATCTGGCTGATTTTGTTATAAAATCAAAGTGAGGTCCAGTAATAGAACTTCACTCTGTAACCTCCTTATGGAGTTAGTCCTTCATGAGTGAAACGTCTGACAAAAGATTGTATATACAATGTTCCATTCAAACAAGTACATAAAATTGTTATGACTCACTCCTAACAGTTTTAGGCCAATCACTGTAACATCATTAAAATTCTCTCTGACTGACTCCAACGGACTTCTACTGACTCACTTGGAGTTCTTTATTTAAGGCATCTTGCCTCGTTCGTTTGTGTTACCGGGGCTGTCTTATTTACTCGACAACAAAAAGGGAAACAAACCATAATTTGTAATGTACTATTTAAGATATGTAAGAAAACTATAGTCAAAGGAACGGTGGAAAAAATCTGATATGGCAGACAATATCTGGATGGAGAAAGCTACACATTACCCCCAACTAGGATGAAGTCTAAATAACTGATAGTGTATTATTGAAGAGTCAGAAAATTAAAGCATATATTGGCTGGTCTGTCAGATACACTAGTTGTATTTATACAGATTTCAACGCCATGAGGTTTTCATTGCTTTAGAAACATGTCAGAGAATTTTACAAAGAAAAGATCTGAGAATATTTCCATGTCATATATTGGACAAAAAAGTGAAAAACAGAACAACTAATATTATTAGTGTTATTGTTTAGATAATTTTAAAAAAATTCTCTTTTAACTATTTTTCAAGTTTGGCTTCACATTACTGAAGAAAGAGATTTTCTTTTTCCTTAGGGACAATTTTGCTGAGGAAGGCCTGAAAATGGATCAGCAGAAGTGTTGTTTTCAGAACTCCCTTGTAAGACTGTTAACAGTATTCGGTCTTTCTTTCACAGAGTTCAAATTAGTCCACTTGCATATTACAGTGTAGTAGCTATACTGAATTTTTCAGCACCCACTTTGTCCGGCTGAGAACATTTCATCACCCTCTCAAAAAACTGCATTAAAAGTATTTGTTGTTGTTTTTTTTTCATGATCTTATTATTTATTACAGTGTATTAGTTGTACCAAGTTTTGTTTTCGGCACCCCATCAGTTAGGCTGATAGCTTTTCAGCACTCCCTTGCAAGTTAAAATTTGTCTTATTACTCATTAAAGTATAGCAGCTGTGATGGCGTGGAGACATGGTGGAGTAATGGATAGCGGCTTTGACTGAGTAATTGGAGAGCTGAGTTCAAATTCCACTTGGATCCATTACATTCACTTACATGCTAATACCCTTGGGAAAGGTATGAATCCTCTTCTTCTCCCCCCCAGCTATGGGTAAATAGCAGGACAGATCAGGTTCTGCATTGGATGGCAACTGGTCTATCGCAGAAAGAAATGGCAACTTATGCTGGAAAAAATCTGCCTCGTCAGTCATGTATCGAAAGATACATGCTCACCTAAGTGTGTATCACACATGGCACATAACTGACTGAGTTGTAATGGGTTCACTGAAATATATATAAATATTGATATGCGAAGAGTCATGCTTTGTGTAATTACTCAAGATAAGCTGTTCATTTGTTTCATCTATAGCAAAGAAAACGGCAACTTACCTTGTCAAACCAAGCGACAGTGTGTTGCATGTATCCTATGGTGGAAAATGGTGAAAAAGAAAATTACTTACCAAAAAAAAAGAGCACATATTCTGATGACATACTGAAGACAGAATATGTCAATTAAAAACAAGTCAGTCACAGGAGTCGCTATAAAAGTATTTTGATATGCTAAAATTGGGCATCCTCCCCCAGTTGTTGACGAATGTAAAAAAAAAATGCTCAGCCGATAAAAGTAGTTGGTGTTCTCAAAACAAGAGGGAGGAATAAACTTTGTGTATTTTGGCTACCACCTTTGTCGGAGAGTGAGTTATTTTTCTGATTGGTTATGTGAATTGTGAGATAGTACCTGCAAATTGAGATTTCGACATTTATTTCTCCCCCTGATGTTTGAGTCTGAACTTACAGTGATTTGTTTTCTGCGTTGTAGAAGTAATCTGCGACAAATATTTCCTTTGTTTTCAGAATGCTTACGATGTTTAACACAATATTTTGATTGATCCATTCTTAAGTTCTTACACTTACATTATGTGAAAATAAAAATATACAAAAATCTTTATTTATTTCCACTCAATCATTATCAAAATTATGCTTCACCCATATCCTCCTGATTTCTGTTTAAAATGGCACCTTCTTTTTTTTATACTGTGAACATTTTGCTTAAAGTTAAGGTTTTCTTTATTTCAGATATAACTTGGAAATTTTCCTACGTATCTCAGTGAAATTTTCACTTTCCAAAATTATGGTTTTTAATCATAGTTTAGATATATGGAATAAATGGATATGAAAGGAGATAGATTTATGCTGATTTGATTTTACAAATGCAACCCTAATTAAAAAAAAAAAAGATAATTCTTTACATCGAAAGTATTTTTAGAGATTACTAATAACTATATTACCAGCTATAAACACATAAATATTATATTACACCTTGAAGAATCTAACGTATATTTATCTAAAACAAATTGTATGTACATAAAAATGTTCCCAAATCAACATGTGACAAACCAACACAATGTCTACTAGACATACATACACACACACTCATTAATATACATTATAATCTGAATCCCACATAGGCAAACTCGAATTATTATACACTTACATACATAAAGCAATATCTGTCTATATTTCTGAGATGAGGTATTATGTACCCTATTTACATTGTTCAGACTATCATCCTTCTTCAGGTGGTTGGCATTTCACTCACTGGGGTAGACTGTTTGTCAGTTATCAGTTATCTCCTGTTAATACTTGGGAGAAGTATCTGTGAAGTGTCGTCCAGCTTTTGAAGGTTGTTCTGATGTTATATGGACTTCAGATCCTTTGTATTTTTACATATGCTGTCTTCAGCAACTAATAACTGACATACATTAGACATGGCACATGGAACTAGAACAGTCTACCCCAGCAAGTGAAATAAAGGTTTCAGATCAACATTCCAACCACCTGAAGAAGGCCGGAGTGTACAACAGCCAAAATGTTGTGATAAATATGGCAACAAAGATGAGGATGATAGTCCAAACAATGTAAATAGTATAAAGCAATATTTATGGTTTTCAGTTCAGCTTAGGATTCTTTAATTTCTTTGAACTTTGAACGGACACGTTATCTCTCCTTGAATTTGGAATGTGTAGCAGAGACTTATGTTGGCAACCCAAAAGAGCCAGAATCTTGTGTAAGTTTTGCAGTGGAGTGTGGCGAGCTTCAGCCTAAAGGTGAATTGGGCAGCACTTCGTGTGGACTGAAGTGGTGGTGTCACTTGTAGCCATTTTTATTGGCTGGTACTGGGCACTCATTGGCTGAGTGATAGCTGGGTCAGGTGCATAAAAGCATGGTATGCTCCTTCAAAAAGGGTCTTGTTTCTGAGGAGTTGCATACTTGAGATTGAGGAACGGAGATAATTGTCGAAATTTTCACTTTCTGAAATTGTTTGTAATTCTAGTTTAGATATATGGTCAAAAAAGATGTCAGTTTAAACTGATGCCAGGGGAATTTAAGAAAATCACACATATGAATGAAAAGAAAAATAACAAAAATTATAATAGATACTGGCCATTCACAGTGAATCACTGGTGAAGTGTATATCATGAAATATCTAATATGAGTCAAAATGTGTTTCATGAAGCATTATTCTGTTAATATTGGCTACTTGACATTTACTGTAGTATAAGGTCACAAATATGAGAATAAAGTTTGTTAAACAAAAACAACCAATCAATAAGTGTGAGTAATCAAAATTTGGCCCCCTTCCTGAAGTAACAATGTTACATGTGTCATGGTGATAACTTCAATATATAGCAATATATGCAGGTAACAAAATGACTTCTTCACTTTTTTATGTTCTTGGCAAAACTGTTACCAATGACAGTTTATTTTTATAAGTGAAGCATAGTTAATGACAGCTCATTACATAAATTTACAATAAGTCTCTGTGTTGATATTTACAAAGCTTAACCTAGTATGGCACCTGGTCACAAATGTGGAGCACTCAAAATAGATGAAACTAACAATTGCCGTAACACCTTCATGTTGATACTTGGCTTAGTTTAAGGCAACAAGGATTTCACATGCTGATTTTCTAGGCATGTATGCCGCACACACTATTTGAAACATTAGTACATCACAATCTATCTACCCCATTTTCTCTCACCTGGCCTTGTGTACTAAGCTTAGTAAATATCAAACTACAACTTTGGATCACTTAGTGTGAATCAAACTCACTCTCCAGCTGTTTTTTTTTTTTTTAATCATTTCACCCAAAGCTAAGCGATAATGCCACTAAGACGCAAGTGGTTACTGTGGGTGAAAGAAAATGAGATTTTAGGAGTAAGGAACTGGAAACCTAGTCCTAAACAGGAAGCAAATGATAAACCTCTACTTCTGTTCAAAAGACTGGGGAGGTGTATGAACCGGGCGACAATAGTACAAACTACCCATCTGATCTTTTATTCTGTAGTTTCTGTCAATATGTCCTTTCCAACTATTTCATTATTTGTTTCTTTTGTTTTTTGTTTTCCTCAGGTTAATGATGATGGTTGTCCATTGTACTCTGCCTCCATCCCAGTTGACCATTATGCTGATGCAAGCTTTCGAGAGAAATATTTTGAATTGAATCAAGAAAATAGCACAGTGCCTGTAAATAATAAAATTCCTGCCTCCCCTTTAAATTCCACATGACATTAGCAAATTTTATTTTAAAAAAAAAAAATGAAAAACTCTAAGCTTCATTTGTATAAATTCATTCTTCATATTCAGTGTTATTTAATAGGCTTATGGCAAGAACAAAAGATTATCTTTACTTGAATAATTGAATGAATTACCTTTGAGAAAGAGACAGATTTGAAGTCTACTTGTGTAAAATAGTCGATATCAGTGTTTCTCAACCTTTTTTTACTTCAGGATGAATTTCTAGAGTAACTTAAACTCTTGGGTGAACTTTATATTTTAATAGATGTGGAATAAATAATTAATTCTTTGTATATGTATCCTCTTCTACATGTTCTTGTAATGGAAATTTACAGTATTATAGAATATCGAAAATAATGCTATATATATCTGTGATTTTGTAAATTAGTGAAGAAGCTATGGAATAATTTTTTTACATAAAAAGCATTCAATATTTTCATCACTGAAAGATTTTTATATTTTTACTACTTAAAAAAATATATATGTTCCTTCCAAATAAATCTTTATAAAACATAAATAATAAATATTGCATTTTACTTGGTTTGCATATTTTTATAATCTTGTAAATAAACTTTGCTGAGGGAGTCAAAAGTGTATACAGTAATCATTATGAATGAGATTTAGTTTAATGAGATCATAAGGTTTTATCAGCTATAAGAATGAAAAGAAAAATGATCAATAAATTATTCTTCTGTTAACTTGGAGCACACCTGGCTACCTTTTAGGTCATATTAGTATGCCTGGGTACAATATTTGAGAAACACTGGTCTACATCTGAGACTATCAATATGAGCATTTAGTAGCAATCTGAAATTGTATTTATCAGTTTTGCTGTGGGTTTGCTTATTTTTTTTTTTTTTTTTTTAATTTTTGGTAATGTTTATCCCTTCTGCCTGCAAAATACAGTATGTCAAAAGGGCAGTTATTCTCTTTTCACCACTGTTACTGTATACACTTTTGACTCCCTCGGCAATGTTTATTATTTTTAAAAAGCAATTATTAGAATTTTAATAAAACCCAAACATGAAAATGGATTTAGATATTTTCTTTATTCTTCAGAATTGACAACAGAGATATTAAACAATTTGTTTATTTGATTAAATAAAAAAAAAAAAGCTTGTTTTCATAGTTGTTTATAAAATTGTAAATAATAAATATTGTAGGTGGTTTACTTTTTTTTGATAATTTTGTAATTTTTAAAAACTTTTTGAATGGAAATGATTTCTTTTCAAATTTATTTCTTTTATAAAATGTTAAATAAATCTTTATAAAACATAAATAATAAATATTGCATTTTACTTGGTTTGCATATTTTTATAATCTTGTAAATAAACTTTGCTGAGGGAGTCAAAAGTGTATACAGTAATAGCAGTGTCAAGGGAATAACCGTCCTTTGAGACATTGACTTTTTTTTGCAGGCACGCAGGTTGAACATTGCCAAATGATTTAAGGAAACTAAGCCGAAATTATTGTAGAAATCAATGATAATAAAGATTCTATACTGACCAATTTCAAAATGTAATTTCATTTGTCTTTATTTGGAATGCATTGTACAAAATTATGAACAAAACCAACAAACAATAGCCCCCCCACCCCACCCCGACTTATCAGTGAGGAATATGTTCTAAGACACCTCCAACCCAAAGCATATGCCTGAAACTTCAGAAATTATTGAACCCTAAATATACTATATTTTTCCTATATATATATATATATATATATATATATATATAAAACCCTTTTACTACTGCCTACACCCAGTAGTTTAACCACATTTAGTGGTCCAGTCCTCAGGGTCTTAGGACAATGTTTTAACCACAAGGCTAACTCAGCATTGGTCAATACTAATGCTGGTCCAAGCTGGTTGTTGGTTGCTGAATGCTTCAATTCACACCAACACTGCCCACATTGTGTTCTTGATCTCAGAGCAGTAGAAGATCAAATGTTAGTAATCAAAGTGCAGGTTTGAGCCGTGGCAAGCACTATATCAAGGGAAGAAATATCTTCACAATGAAAAATAAAAATGAAAGATTCATTGGGTCAATCTTCATTTGATTTAAATAGTTCATGGTACAACAAAAATTAACCCTTCCCGCATCAATCTGTATAGTGACACTGTGCCTCGTCTAAAATTTGGGGTTCACAGTTCTTCAGAAGATCTGGTGGCAGCTGACATGGATTCCAGAGACACTCGATGCGGGATTCACAGTACAATTCCTTGAGATCTCAAAGCTATCTGCTTATATGCACTTCAGCCCAAATCCAGTCTGGATCCAAAGGGCTCTAGGAATTCAGTGATTCCCCAATTTTCACATTAATCCCAACAAAGGTTCTTTTTTCTCTATTTCTGCTTTCTTAATCAACTTTTCCAAATTTGGAGAATTATCCACTGTGATGGATGCAGATAGCCCATACACGCATATATTAAGGTTAATCTCTGCCTTACAACAGAAGAGATCACGTGGAAGTTTCGTGACATTTTGGGAAAGCAAGTCAAAAGGTTGACTGACCCAATTATCCATAGCAACAGACGTCTAGACAGTGGACCGACATAAGGTCATGAAGCAGCAGGAGCTGGAATTCGCGCCAAAACACAGGACACGTGGGAATTAGAAAATTACTTGGAAGTCAGTTGCTGTCTTGTCTTTGAAGGAGCAAGACTCGAAATCGAAGCGCTGATAACTTATGAATGGAAAGACGAGAATCATTTTGGTAATGATGGAACTTGTCCGATTCATCCCAGGCAACTCCAGATAAGAAATATAAGGAATGTATTTCTGTTCGTTAACTCCAAAGTGAAGAAAAATAAATCGGGATATTTATCATAGAAGACGCAAGGAAATTTGTATGCTGAGAATACAGCCTTCATTTGAAGAAAGAAAAGGAGAAAACCAGAGAGAGAGAAGAAAGTATATATCTGTGTGCAAGCTGAATTGTGTAACGAAGAAGAAAGAAAAAAAAAAGAGAAAACCACAGAGAGGAAGAAAGTGTATATCTCTGTTACAGCCGGATCGTGTGTGAAATTGGATTTGTATAAAGAAAAAGAAAGAAAGAAAAGAGGAAACATGAGAGAGAAAAGAAAGGACAATGAGTAAAAGAGAGAACTGAATATAAAGATAAGTAATTATATATTTTGGACCTGTGTTAGAGAGATACACATGTATCCATAAATATTATGTTCTTACAAACACCTTTCCACATGTCAAAATAATATGTAAATCCTATCCCATCTCTTTTGGTTATGCGTTGATTTCTGCATTCGTAGTTATTCATACTTATATTTTTCATTCGTTCGGGTTCAGTTCAGGGGTGGGGTGGGCTGTTAAATATTAACCAGCAACTTTTCATTGCTAGGAAAAAGGAAAAGAGAAGAGGTGAAGCACAGACCCCTGTGCTTGGACGGGTTCTGTATTTAATTACAGCCCATTTATTTTTGTCTGCCAACTGGATGCTACTTGAAAACTTTCCTGTCTACTCTTACTTCTGGCATCACTGGCCTTTATTACTTCTGGCTACTACAGCACCTTATCTTCCAATGTTCTTACCTTACTTCCACTATTTCTGACCTGTGCATACCTCTAGCCACATCAGCTTTCTATTTCTGGCTTTCATTCCAGCACTTGCAATGGCCAAAAGCCCCTACAACATCTGGCATTTCTGGATACAATGGCTGTAACAGCTCCTTACTGCAGACTTTTCTGAACTTACACATTTAATGGCCACCATAGCTCTCTACTTCTGGATATATATAGAGAGCCCATTTTTGGTGTTCCGATTTCAACCTAACTCATTTGGTTCACTCAACATATCACTGGACATTATCTATCACCTGCATTTCCTGTCAACCTAACTCACCTGGTTCAGGAAGTTGCTGCATGCATGTCATCCAGGCTTCAAACAACCTATTTTGCACACTTGGGTTAAATACTACAGAAGGTTCATCGCTTGACTCAACGCTTTCACTGGACATTTTGTAGCGGACCGTGGCGGTGATGACTATGTAAAACACATGTGAGTTAAATTTTCCCTGCTAGCTAGTCCAACCACATGAGAATATTGGACTTTAATTAAATCCAAAGAAAAACAAACAAGACCAATAAATATTTATAAACAAATATATATATTAATAACAAGTTACAAAACAAATGGACAGTTACATAGAGTTTGTGTGGCGAAAATTATGTGTGTGTGTTGTGGTGAATGTTCGTACGTATGTGCATTGTTCTTAGCGTGTTCCCAGAATTTGGGAAACGCTGTATCTGTGAGAGCTCACATCTGCGAGGTGGTATAAGGCCCAAGGTCTGAGGAAAAAAGAGATTGAGGTGAAGGGTCAGCCAGTATTTATAGCCAGGGCAGAGAGACCCCTGTTGAAGAATTATGGAACTAAAGGAGGAGCTAACTCTGACAATTTAAACTGAACTTTTGAACTTTGGCTTTTTCCAGTCAAACCTAACTTACCTGGACTCTACTTCTAACATTTAGTCACAGTTATATTATTGGGCTCGTCTATTAGCTCAATCTTACCTTCTTCGAGTAATACACTATTCCAACTGACATTCGTAAATCTAGCCCTCTGATTGGTTAATTTCTACCAATCAGGTCGCCCGCACGTGCACTTTGAAGTTTTGGCGCAAAATCGCTCTGGAGCCACCCGCGTGATAATGACCTCTTAAAAAGAACCCAAAGCATGTGTGACCACGCAGAAGCAGACGCAGACCTGGGCAGATCAGCAGCAGACCATTTTTCGACAGCTTGCTCAAGCTTAAAAATGTGACAACTACAATTCACCGTCTTGCGAATCGAGACGACAAATTTTTCCCATTCAATATCTTCTACGAACTTCTTCGTCATTCAAGAACCTCAAACTATACATTCTCTTTGGTCATCTACGATAAATCAGTCAGTCGAACAAGCACAGAGATATGCTAATATAATCCACGTCGCTTGCAACTATAATCTTCCCGCGCAAACTAAAATCACAACTGACTCGATCGCAAAACCAAACTGAAGAACATTCTGTGAACACCGAAACTTCTATCCGAACAACTTTACTTATCTAAAGTGAATTAACACTCACTACTATTCTAAGTAAATAACATTATCAAACGAACTCAACATTTACAGTCAAAGGTAGACTATTTTGTAATGACTCAATTATAAAACATAATAATGACATTCTAAATACTAATTACCATTTTCTAAAAAGACTGTAACACAGATACACAAGACATAAAAAAGGACACACAAAAAAACTTCAAATATTACGAACATACCAACACATTAACACCTTCAAAAATATTCTGTACATATTATCTTATTTGTATATAAATGCATTTATTGGTTTTGAATTGCATGCATGTTTTTGTCTTGTTTATATCAAAATTGTTTATTTGTTGTGGATGCAGAAAAGTTCACGCAACCTGACATAAAAATTCCTTCTGATTTATCTCAGTGCTACAACAAATTCCTTAGTTTATTCTGCACATCCCCAACAATATTATCTTTGATCTTCTAGTTGTTCAGTATTCCTCCATTTATTTGATTCATTGTTTGTTCATGTTTCTTACACAAAAACACTTTGATCATATCCTGTATTTTAACTGTAAATTTTTGTAAATAAATTTGCATAAATTTAAGTATCCTTGTTTTTGTTGTCCATTTGTTAACCTGTCAGATTCATGTCTTTTATTTTGAAATCTTTGTGGACCTCCTGTAACTCATCTTTACATACAGGCCATATCATATATATACCTTCACTTCCCTCCAGGGGGTCTGCAACAATTGTAATAGCGAAAAGTGCCTTCTAAAAACTAAACTATTAAGAAATAAGAAAATTTTGTTAGAAACAAAGAAAAGACTAATGAACTGTTGTGTAATATCAGTTCTCCTAAATGGCAGTGAATGGTGGACAGTCTCCTCACAGAGGAAGAGAAGACTTGAGGTAACAGAGATATAGTTTAACAGAAGGATACTGAGAATACTATGAATGGGCAAATGAGGAAAATGGAAAAAAAATAAATTATACATAAAATCAGAGACAGTTAAAATTTCTGGGACACCTAAGGAGGCCTTGAAAATTTGACACTCACAGGTTATACTGAAGGCAAGAGGAATGCAATGAGTAACCAATGTAACAAGCTTGTGTAAATGGATGACAGTACAGGGATGTGGTATTAAGAAGACAAACATTGTTAAGAATAGGAAATCGTGGAGAGCCATATTAATCTACATCCTGAAGGGACACGGTTTATAGAAAGAAGAAGCTTCTCAAAGCTTTTGACAATAACAAAAATGGTCCTTTAAATTTAAAAATGTATTCTAATCACCTGATCTTACCAGAAGGTTTAATTTTGTAGAATGAACATTTATTATGAGGTTTAGTTTGCAACTAGTAGTGGATCATTCTGCATAAACACTGTGCAATTTCATTTATTTGAAAGTGGCGCGAAATGTGTTTTACTATTGGGCAAGGGAGGTAACCTACTTTGCGTTTCTCGTGCTTGGATTTCATCAGCCAAAATTCCCCGGATGAGATGTGCATGTCGTCATCAGAAGCTGAGTAATTCGTAAGGATTTTGTGTGTTTAGCATGCACAACACATATGGTGGTTTTTACATTAGAACACGCTGAACTTTATTTAAAGTATTTTAAAGTTTATAAATACTCTGTTGAGGAACCAAACTGAGTTGGTATTTCCAAAATTACTCAAGTTGAAGGCAGGTTAATTTCATTTTTGTTTATAAAAATAGAAATACATTTAAAACCGTCCTTAATGCGTTTTGTTTGATGGCATGTCTTTTGTAATTTCATGTTTTTTTTTTTATCTTTGGAAATGTGCGTAAAGAATTGTTTAAATTCTCATTTTTTGTTCATCAAAAATAGTTTGGTTTCTTTATTTAATAGATAGATTAACCAAAGTAACCAGTTTTAATTATCGTTACGAAATGGCACCCTTATATTTTTTTTAAACTTCTTTTTTAAAAGATAAAGAAAAGAAAAGGTTGACTTGTAAAAAAAATCAAGTTCAGTCTGTCTGATCGTTCATTATTCGAGTTTGGAAGATGATTATATAATTACTGAAATAAAAACAGTCACTCAAACATCGTGGTTCCAGGTTTTATTTGTTTTTAAATTAAAAATTTTAATCCTAGCAATAACATTTATCATTAACAATATCGATTTAAAAAAAAACAACAAAAATAAACGAACGTAATTGAGACTCAATAGTCACCAACTGAACCTAAAGTAAAAATATTAGAATCAAAAGTTGATAAATTATTGGACATATTGAAAATTTCTTATAAAATATCTTGGTGCTAAAAAGACATTTTTAAAATGAAGTTTACTACTTTTCACAGCATTAACAACTATTAATTATTTATTTTTATTTTTTAGTCTACGTTACGTTAATTTTAATTATAATTTGTTTTTAATTGTTGTTTTTTTACTCTCCTCTCTGACAAATTACAAAAAAAGAATGAAAAAGATATTACCTTATTTTTCTTTTTAAACATTTTTTTGTTTTGGAATCTCTTTAGTTTAAGTCTTAATAAAAAAAAAAATTAAACTTCAAAATCAAATAATTCTTATATTTACTGTAATTTTAAAATTTCTCATTAAAATCAAATTTTTAAAGGTGGACAAAAAAAGAAAAATCCAATTGAATATTTAAAAATATTTAATTTCAGCTACATTCGTATTTTCACTGACTTATCAAAGGCAGAGTATTGTTAAATACAATAATATAAGTTATGTCCCATTGTTAGTATTTTTACACCTGACTCAAGTAAGTGTATGGAGGTTTTGAATTGAGTCGTGGCATTGTATCTGTCAATTCACTCAATGTTTTGGCTATTTATTATTTTTAATTTTCATTGTTCACTGATATATACCTCTTAAAAAGATACCTTTTTTTTTCTTTTCCTCATAATATCTTACTGTGTTTTACCATTTTTTTTTTCTTCCATATGGTATACCAACATTTTCAGCTTAACAGGAAACCACTCCACTATCTTTCCCAATTCACAAATAAAGTAACGTATCCAGGGTCATCATCGCCGACGTTCTTAACTGTTTGCTCATTCACTAGAAGGAAACTACAAAAATAGATTAACTTATTTAACCCCTTAATTAAAAAAAATGAATAAACAATGATTAAGGTTAATCTTTAAAAATGACTTTGAAAGCAATTCATACCAACAGGGTAAAAAAAAAAACCTTTCAGTTTTGCACAGTAAAATGAATAAACTTGCCAAATACCTGTCCAGCACACAAGAAATAGGTTATCATAGGCATTCTCTTACCATTTAATATTTTTGTATAAACACTTATAGCAAGACATCTGTTTTCTAAAGTTACATTTTTTTGTCATTATACTAAGTTCACTTGAATTTCCTATTTGGCATATCACTGCATAAAGAAAACCATGAGAAACATCTCAATAATTTTGTTTCTGTAAATATTAATAAAAAAATGAATTTGGCAAATTTAGTATTTTTTTTTTTTTAAATAATTCAGTACATTTTTAAGAAAATCAAATTAAGCAAGCAAAATTTAACTTTTTTATTTTTTTTTTTTATTGTAATGTGAAATGGCTGACAACAGTGGTTATTTATTATTACAAAATGCTGCAGGAAATAATTTTAAAGATGTTACCAGGCCTAAAATGCTATAAAAATTCTCACCTTTAAAATTGCCTGTTTTTTTTTTTTTTTTTTTTTAACAAAAACAAACTTAGAAACCAAGATCATATTTTACATTTTCATTAAATGTCAATATTAATCTTTCTAACTTTGACTGAATATTTAACAAAGCAGATATAAATTCCTTCTACCGTATATGACAATTTCATATATTGTGTGCAATCTCAAAACCACCACCAAAATTTTTGTATGAAAAAATTTGTTACCATTTAATATTGTAAATACAATGCATTGGTAAGTGATATAAAATTCTGATATCAAAATGATTGCATTAACAATATGGGCTGTTCTGTTCTTCTGATGTAAGATGGGGACACAAAATTTAACCTTACATAGGTTTATAGAAGATGAAGTTTAATGTCTTTCACTTTATATTCTTTTTTCCAAGGTGATCGAAAGTATGAAAATTGTCACTAAATTAAAAATAAATCTAGATAGTAATGTCTGGTATGTAGTTATTTTACAGAATTTCAGGATTAAATTAAATTCTGATTCTGTAACTTCAGTCAGTATTCATTTGATCCAGATCTCTTTAAATTTGGTAAAGCCCACAAAAGATAACTGATTCTCTCAAATTTAAAAAATATATTTTGCAGATTTTTTTTGTTGTAAAATGAATTTTGATTCTTAGTGGTTTATTTCTGTTTCAATTATTTGTGCTTTGTTATCATTCAGATATGTAGTGAAATATAACACTTTGCCTATATAAAATGTACACAGATCTTATATAACTGAAAATTCTGAATTTTGGTTTCTAAAAATTTTACTGTAAATTTCTAGATTGGAATTCTAAAACTTAAGTTTTTTTTTTTTTTTTTTTTTTTTTTTTATTGGCATGTATTGACTCAACAATTAGTTCTGGTGTCAGTTGAAATTTTATAAAATCTTTTTCTTAAAACAATTTTTTCAGGAAAATAGTTTTCTCAAATACACTGTTATCACTTTTTTTTCAGTATTGACAGGAGTTTCTTTCCTTGCATCTTGATTGTCATTATTTTCTTTTCAAGTTACATGTTCTATCAATTTTATTTGGTGATGCTGTTGAAAATCCTCAAGTGATATGGTTTCTGCTATCTGGTACAGTACTTTGTGATTTTGTAATGCCAGTCCACAAGTTTTGAAGAAAAACTGTCCTTGCCGAGACCTACAAGCTTCCCTCATTCAAAGCCATTTTTAACCATTGGTCTGAGAGTGGTTGTATACAGTTGACAGTTTAGATATTTCTGAAGGAGTTTGGTACCATGCATGGCATCCATATGAAAGTCTGTAATTTTACAACTGGTATGAATGGAAAGAGCTTAAAATGTTTTTTCTTATCTACATACTGATTTCCCAATCAACAGATTTATGCATTTGCGGCTTTTCAGTGTATGACTTGTTCATACTTTACAACTTTAATTGACCACATAGCTTACATGGACAAAGAAAAACTGGTTCCTGTTTTTGTTATTTTTGGTTTTCAGTACTTTAGTGAAGATATTTAAATTACTGTCAAACATGTTTTAAAAAAGTGTGGTGGTGTGTTTGATTACAAAACACCCAGAGAAGGCTTGTAGCCATAAAACTTGACTTTGTTCCAGTTCAGCAGTTAGCTTCTTTTGAAAACCTATTCCACAAAAGACCAAGAACAAAAACATGTTAATTCTATTTATTTGTATATTTTATGTGCATTCTCTATTGCCACAGCTGATGATTAAGTCTACTGCATTCACAATAGATCTCGGGCAAAGCCACTTGATCATGATTCAAGCTTATTCAGACATGCACTGTAAAAGATTACATTTAACACTGCTTTGGATTAATGATCCATGAAAGTAATGATTTAAACCTGGTGGAAACTAATATTACATTTGTCTTTTATAATAGCTGCCTCATTTGCATACACATCTATATAATAAGCAAACTCTAATCTTGTATGTATGGGTATACCTCATCCTACGTTGTTAATTGGTTTCAGAGGTCACAACTTAGGTCGAAATAACCACACTATAAACCGCAAATAAGCAATCCCCATTGCATATTACAGTACTCGTATATATATATATATATATATATATATATATATATATATATATATATATACAGTATTCTGAATAAAATAATTTATCAGCAATATAACTTAACGCTTAGCATGAGCTATGAAAGGACGTTCTGGCAATTTTTTTCCAATATAATCCAGTTTCGTCAATGTTAAAGATCTGTTCAGGAAGAAACCTGTATTCTTCAATGATCTTAGCCAATGTTTTAGGAAAATTGGCTGCAGCTTGTTCATCAGCTGATGCACTTTCATCTTGCTTCTTAATAGAGTGATAACTTTGTTCTTTAAATTTCATAAACTGCCTTGACTCACTTTAAACTATACATCTTTCTCATCTGGGTATTTTTTGTTAAATAAGATGACAACACAAAGATGTTTTCATATTTCATTCTCTATGATTTATGATGATTATATTAACATTTACTGTAAATATATGTATTTTATAATTTTATATACTTTTATTCTTATTTATTGTACAGTAACATTTTATGTGCTTTTAACACTTTTCTAGTGATATTACAACTTCAATATTTGTGGCAGACAGATGTAAAGTCAAATAAAATGACTTAAACTTGATTTTTATTTTTCCATATATTTTTTTCTTTTTTTGACAAACATATAATTGAGAATGACTTAACTCAAGCTATACCTGTATTTATGTGCTTAAATGATACATTATACTCCAACCTGTTTATGAGCATATTGTATCTTGAATCTCTGCTGAGTGCAGTGCCAAGTTTCATTAAAATTAGACAAAGGGTTCTTCGGCTAGGGCTGTTTTTATGGCATTTTTAATAGGAAATTGTTTTTTTTTCTATACCCATTCTTATATCAATCAACATATATAAAGAAACACTTGTATAATATATTCTAGCTATTGTGTGTGAGAGAAATAAACATTTATAATACATTATAACAACATTATTAAATATATTTAATTATACATAACACAGCATATATTTATGATCCACTACACTACATTAGAACTTTTTTATAAACAAATATCTCAAATGTTTGGCAACTACTTGATAGGTGGAGAGGTTAAGTGGGTGTGTCATTGTAAGATGTAATTAGCATGACTGGAGAATTTTCACATGACTTGATGATGAATGCTGGTTTACCATCATTACATATTTTCAAATAAAGATACCAGTATGTATAATAAAAAAAAATATAATTATTATTTTGAAAAAAATTACTTAAAAAAAAAAATGAAACTAAGTGTACAAAAAGGAGGCATCCATACTTTATTTCAATAAATATGAATATCCTTAAGCAGACAATTGCCATTTGTTTTTTAGAATGACCTTCACCTTTTGAAAATTGATTTGATAAGGTAGATACTAAAATTGGTATAAATTGTCACCCTGGGGTGATTATTATTTGAATGGAAAGGACTTTAGTGTAATATCAGTCTGCAATTACACTCTAAAAAAGCAAACTTTTTCTTTATTATATTTGATCTAAATAATGTTGTATAATGTAAGTAATAATAATTATTACAATAACTTGTATTGCAAATACAAATTAAAAAATGTGTTTATTAATAATATTATTACCTCATTTGTATCATGAACTACTTTTGAAAGGAACCCAACAGGTTTATGTGTATTCTAGTTACACACTAAGTATAATGGCTATTATGTTTTAGACAGAAGTGGTATATAACTGTCAGGACAAGTTTCTTAAAATTTATGACTGAACTACAGAGAGAGATTTGTTTATCTGATTTTTTTTTCTTCAATAAATAGTTGTTAATAATTAACCAGGCATGTTTAATTTGAACAGCATTTCTTATAAAGGATTTGCATAAGCCCATGTTGAAGTAACTCTTCATTTTAATCTGTATTGTGTCTTAATGGTGCTAGCCTGACAAGTTTGATATAAAATCATGACATACCTTCAATTTTCTTCATTTCTCTTAAAGTATTCAATTTTCACAATTGACAAGGAATAAGAATCTATTTGATAATTTAAGTTAACATTTTATTTTTTTTAATTATTATTTCTTCAAATTATGTATTTCCCATATCACAAATTGTGATAACTTCAATTTATAACTATGATTCCCAACATGGGAAGCAGTTTGATATTATTATTATTTTTTTTAATTTTTTTTTTATTTGAGGAAATTCAAGGAGTTATTAACAGTAACTTTTTTTTTTTTTCTAGTGTGGATGAGTTAATAAATATGGTGCATATACAATATGTATGCATAAAAATATTTGTATGCGCATGTTTAATTACATATGTACTGTATGTAATAAATATATAATCAAAAGAATCAACATGCGTCTAATTATTTTTATTTTATTTTTGTCTTAAGAATCTCTCCCCATGCTAAGTGCATTTAAAAAAAAAGTCCTTTACAAGAGATATTTGTATTTGTTCTTTAGTTGGTATCTTCTTATTTCATACATGATTTTGTGGTTTTAATGATTTTTTTTTTTTTATTTATTTATTTCATTTTAAACTTGTTACTAAATTCTTTTTCCATGAATGATAAAGAGTCTAAATTGCTTTTAGAGTTGGCATATAAGATTTAAGGATAAATGATTCTCTGGAGATTTTTCTTTGGTGATCCATTACCATTTAGAAATTTTATTTTAACATTTTTTACTTATTTTTTTTTATTTTACATTTTTAGTTTATTGGTTTGCAATGGATAATATCAACCCTCAAAGTCCACCTCGAGCTCAGGAACAATCTCCTCCCAAAACAGGCGGAAGTGGTGGTGGTGGTGGTGGTGGTAAGAAGAAAGAACGACGGAAGAGTGGTAGAAAGTCTGAAACTTTGGATGACATTTCTGTTTCTCCAAACTCTAATTCACCTCAGGGTCAAAAAGAAACAAGCGTCATTGGTGATATAAAACCTGAAAAGAAAGACGACCAGTCTCATAGTAGGCAAGAGTCACATGTATTACAGGATAAATCAAATGTTGAAGTAAGTTAATTCATATCTTAACTTTGAGAGGGATTTTTACATTGGATCTTTATTTTTAATTTTTGGAAAATACTTAGAATGGTTGTAACATGAAATGTGAAAATTGGTTTTTATTTGAATTACTGACATTTGGAATTGTGCATGGTATAAGAATTGGTTTTGCACTTTATGTAGAAAACAGAAATATTCTTTGCTTATATAAGACTTACATGCATCATTTACATTATATAACTGAAGATTATTTTTTTCTTTTTTAAAAAAAAAAGGTAACTTCCCCTCCCCCAAACACACCCACCCACCAACAAACACAAATATAAAATATTCCTGCAATATAAAGTTTTCCAAAAAGATATTGCAAATACATAAGCTTAGTTAAGTATTTGCAATGCCTTTTTGGAAAAGATTTTGAAATTGTAAAATGGTATTGAACATTAATGTTTTTTTTTTTTTTTTTTTATACAAAACCAAACTCTACATTTTTCTTTATATTTAAAGGAAGGTTTTTTCCCTGGATACAACTGTTATTTTAACTACCTTCACTTCTTGCCAATGTTTATTTTAAAAAGTGATGATCAGAATTGTAATAAAACCTAAATATGATAAGTGAATTTATATAAATTTTTTTTGTTCTAGAGAATTTGCAACAAATATTAAACATTATTTATTAAATTGTTTATTTACAAGAATAATTTTATATTAATATTCTACAAACTAATACAATTGTATTAAAACTAATGCAATATTTATCATTTACCAGTTTATGAAGAAATAAATATGGAAATTTTTTATTCACAAATTTCTAAATATTTGCTAAATTATTAAAATATGTGAACCAAATATAATGAAATCCTTATTATTTACTATTTTATAAAATTTGAATTAATTGGCAATTAGCTGATGTTTTGACAAACATTCCAATAAAGTTTAATAGTGTTTATTATTTTTGTTGTCAATTCTCATGAACAAAGAAAATGTATGCATTCACTTTCATATGTTTAGGTTTTAAAATTCTAATCATCATTTTTTTTTAAAACAAATGTTGCCAAAGAGTTAAAATGATAGTGGTGTCAAGGGAAAACTTCTTTTGACACAGCTTTTTTTTTTTTTTTTTTTTTTCTTTTTTCCTTTAGGCACAAAGGTTAAACATAGCTAAAATTATTGCAGTAAAATTAAAAATTTCCTCTTAGCTGATTGACTGAAGTATAAAATATAAATCTCATCTGATCACCATTCTTATTAGAGTTGGGCTTGTTTTAAGAAAATGATTGTAAAGAACTGTATGCTTTCAGGCAGAGTTGTACAAGTCATTCTGAAACTCCTTTTTTATTTTACTAAGGCACTTGTTTCCAAAGTCGATTACACATTCATTTTTTAAAACTTGATTTAGTTTTCTTTTTTTTTTTTCTTTTTTTTCCCTTTCTTTATCTATATTTAATCTACATGCCTTTCTGTGGTCACATAATTTTGATTAGATTTGATTGAAACTATTTGTATCACTCTCAGCTTAATGCTGTTGCAGAAGGCATAAATCAAACTCTTTCACTTGATCCATTTGCCAATCATCTTAATTCTTATTACTGGCATGTCACAATGGTAGACAGTGCTGAATGATTAAATGTCCAGGATTGTTTCTATCTCCATTGTTAATCTTGATATCTGAAGGTCAATGGTATATATGTGTTTGCTTCAGTTATAATTCCCATTTTAGAAAACCAATTGTCATATTTTGAAAAATAAATTTGATAAAAATAAATTATTTATGACTTAATATTTTATAATTTAATGTCGGTATACAAAAACTTGTCTTCTATGTGAAATTTAAAATGTTAAAAAAATTAATTTTATTAAAAACTTGTATACAATAAGTAGCTAGTTTTTAAAGATTGTTAGCTTATTAGTATTAAAAAGTATTTTTTGCCAGTTATTAATTTTATAAAAATTGATATCAGCTAATTAAAAAACAAAAAACAAAAGTAAACTTCATTCATCCACTTGCAATTCCATTTATAAATATTGAATTGTTCAATTTGCTTTCCTTCTTCCTTGAAGCCACTGAGCATGAAGCCATCAGAAGATCAAACGGAAGATAAAATTCAGAAATCTAAAGAAATACAGAAACAAGTACAAAAAACCACAAAAGATAAAGAAGGGAATCTGCAAAGTGATCCACCAAAGAGTAAAAAGGAATTAGCAGCAGAAAGACGTAAGAAACAGGTTGGTAGAACTTTGTTGGTTTTTGTTATTCATATTTATTCACTACTCTGAATACAATATGCATCTTTTTCAAAATAGTATGTTTATAATATTTTTACATAACTACAACTTAGTTTTGGTTTCTTATCAAGCTTATCTGCTTTTTGAACTTCTGAAATGAAGTATTATCATTATATAATATACAAAAGAATAATTCTAAAGAACACGCTGAGAAAAGGTCAAAGAATTTATTAGTTGTGATGTGTTTAGAACTACAAAAATAAAAAAAGATGATTCAAAACTATATAGAAATAAAGTTTATTTATGAACAAGAATATATTACCTATTTCTTGACTCAAAGCTATTCTTATAAAAAAAAAAAAAAGAACAATATACATTAAATCTAATTTCTTTCACAAGGGAAGATGCAATTCAAAATTATTTATATACTCATTTTCACTGTTCTCTTCATGATGTCATTTATAAATTACCTATAGAATCTATGAGTAGATTAGTAATTTTTCACTTTTAAACTATATGATTAGTATGGTATTTATTAAGTAAGTTGAAGCCGCTTAATCAGGTGGAATCTTTTAATAATGAACAGTAACTACTTTTTCTTTTCCTCTCTTTGTATGTTTCTTTGTTCCTCTGTTCATAATGTTTGTCATACTAAAGCAAATGAATGTGACTCTGATTTGAATGGCTAACCTGAATCTAAAGAGGCAAGTGACCTGTTCATTATGTCTGTGTTGTTCTACTAGACCACCATAAAATTTCAAATATTAGAGCACACAGAAATATTGCACTGATCCTTACAGAATTGTTGATTCATATGTTAATAATCTCTTTTTCTTTTCTTTCTTCATTGACATTATGATAGTTTTCGTTTTGAAGAAAAAACTATTTTTTACTCTTTAAAACGAGAAAGAAAAAAAAAATTATTTTTGTGATCCCCCCCCACTTACCAAACTGTATATATAGGAAATGGAGATAGTCTGTGTAAAGTGCAAAAATAAATTTAATTCAATAATCCAAAATAAAAACAATTTTATTCGTTCTACAAACTTTATGCTAAAGGTGGTGATGTTTATTCATTCTGTTTTCATAAGAAAACACCACAGATATTTTACCAATTGAAATTAGCAACAAAAATTATGACCATTCCATATGCTCTAATGGAACCGATTTCTTAAAGCAACTGGTAGATTTATCTACTCCCAGGTATATTTAAGATAACTTTGTGTTAAAGGTACTGTTTCTAAAGGCCTGAAAAGTATATTTCAATAGGTACTATTTTATGTTTCCATATATACAGTCAGCATAAATATGTTTACCTTGCTATCAAATAAACCAACCGATAAAACTATCAGAATGCAATCTTTGAAAACCTTATCTTGTGATTGCAGGAAGCTCAGAGAGCTGCCAAACAAGAAAGACAACGAAAATCCCAAGGAGGAGATGCAAGTAAGAGCTTTTCATTTTTCAGCTGAAGACTTTCAGGAGTTAACTCACAGATTGTCTATTGAATATTTAGTCGGAATTTTTGAGACGAGAAATTATATTCTTTTGTTACTTGAACCAAGTATGCAAAATCCTGTTCAAAAACATGATTATGATCCTATGACTACCACAACCGGCTTGTTCTTACCAAATATCCCAAAGTTAATAAAAAGGTAAAACTATTGGTGTATCAAGGACAATGAGGTATGATATGGAGACGACCGAATGAGGCAGGTGATCACCTCCGAGGTGACCGAATGAGGCAGGTGATTGTCTACTGAGATTGTCTACTTATACTAACCCTGACTCATACTAATCAAATTCATCTAAGGACAGCCATTGACAACAATAACGTTGTCAGTATTGGGAATATGTGGTTTACTAAATTCATTGTGCTGAATGTTAAAACCTCTGTGTATAACTAGAGATCACTCATTCTTATTTGTAAATATCTACAACCTGAGTGGGACTGAAACAAGGCTTAGTGTAAGACAGATAAAGCATGTTTATATCAATAATTTGGCTACAACAATTTGACATGTACAACCTTGGAAATAAAATCTGAGATTGTACATGTTACATTGAGATTATCTTGGTGATATCATAATGTCTACAATTATTTGTCAACACCACGCATATTTCGAAAGATCTTTTTGAATCCTATGAAATGTTTAGGTTGTGTATATGTTTGTTTTATTTGAAGTGGGGATGCATGTGCATACAGAATCTAGAATCTTATCTAATATATAAACTTTAACATGGATATTGAAAGGCTGATCCAATAAGTACAAAATGGGTTTAAGTGTCTATCCAACCATGTTATAGTAGTTCTAGACAGACAAAGCTATCCATATGCTAGCCTTAATAAGAATTTTGATTACTGTAATTTTTCAAAAATAATATGCATTTTTTTTTACTTTGAATTACAGGTGATAGTAGGGGTGTGTATTATAAATAGGTTTAATATCTGTCTATATTTTTTTCTGCTTATACTGACCAATTCTTTATCTAATGTCTCTGGGTCACCACTTATGACTTTTGCTTGGTGTTGTAAGCAGCAGACGATCCCTTTCTTTTCTTGGATGATGGGAGTTGAAATTGAGGTACTGTCTGGTGAATGACTGCGGTATACGGATGTCTTGAACCCATGCTTTGTTCGAGATGGTAGAACATCCAGGAATGTGAGTGTATTGTTACAGTTCACGATGGAGAAAGAGAGTATCCGAAGGTCTTATTGAGTTCACATGGTCCTGTAGAACCTGGACATCTTTCTTGTGTAGCCAGAGTATGAAGGTGTCATTTACATATCTTAACCATAGAGTTAGCCTTAGAGATATAGATTCTAACGCTATTTCCTCAAAGTATTCCATTTATATATTTGCCATTGTTAGTGATAATGGTGAACCAATTGCTAAGCCCTCATCCTGTCGGTATATGTATGATCCCATTCTGAAGTGTGTTGTTTGTGTACAGAAAGTAAACATCTCCATCCATCTATTGGAATACTGGTAGGCCAATCTGTCTCTGACTACTGAGAGTGCATCCTCCGTGGGTACCTCCATGTCCAAGCTCACCATCTGGTTGGATAGGATAGGGGCATCTTTGATTATTTCCACAAAGTGGGCAGTTGTTTCAGACATGTGAAGGTGCCTTTCTAATCAATGGGTCAATTATATCTACAATGAAACACAGAACCTTGGCAACTAACAATCGGCCTGAGCAGAATACCTTCTTTGTGAATCTTAGGGAGACCGTATATGTGAGCTAGCTTGGTGTAACACTCAAGGACACATGGCACAGTGGATAAAGGTGTTAGTTAGATTCAGTGACAGGACCCAAAGAGTGTGAGTTCAATACCTGGTTAAGGCGGTGGAGAACTTGGAGAGGGGAATTAACAAGAGATAACTGACTTCCATTAGACATAGCACGTGGAACTAGAACAGTCTACCCCAGTGAGTGAAATAAAGGGTTCAGTTCGACATTCCAACCACCTGAAGAAGGCCGGAGTGTACAACGGCTGAAACGTTGTAATAAATATGGCAACAAAGATGGGGATGATAGTCCGAACAATGTAAATAGTGTAAATAGATTTAAACAAAAATATTTTTTTATTGATTTATAATAATAAATGTGTACTTGTTCTAAAATAAGAAAGATATTATCCCAATTTTTATTTTAAGTCCAACAATAATAATTGTAACAATTATTTTTTGTCAATAAATTTGTTTATCAGTAACCATGTTTTTTATTTGGTGAAAAAATAAAAAAATCTATAAAAAAGCCAATTTCAAAGAAAAGAGAATATCAAGTTAACAATTTATTGAAATTTTAACTATCATCATCATCACTTTCTATTTTAGAATCAAGATCTAAATTGTCATTAAACAAGTTATCATTCACAATATTATCTTCGTCTTGTCCAAAATTATCTTTGGCTTCTTCATTCTCTTGCCAAAGGATGTCATCTTCAGATCCGTCCATAGTACTTATGGAACATCTACTCGATTGTCTTTCTTTCACAAATTCAACTAAACTTTGTTCCATATCTGGATATTGAGCTTTTCTTATAGCTTTGGCACTTGATTTACACGTTTTTATTCCATTTTTATTCTTTCTCTATTAACGTATGTTAGCCTCATTCAACTCATATTCTCTAGCTGCAGCTCTGTTTCCTATTCTTTCTGCTAGTTCTGTTACTTTTTGTTTAAAATTTGCACTATAACTTGCATGTTCTGACAACATTTTGGTGGTAAAATGCTATATTTATCAGGAAAACCCCATGATAATTTTCAACATTATTTTAGCCTCTTAGTTTTGATTTTATTCCTAATGTGAAGGTTGACAAAATGTCTTCATAATTATTATTTTATTTATTTATTTGACAAAATTTATAGATGCCTATTATACATAGGGATAGATATATTTCTTAATTTTTTGATCATTTGTTGGTGTGCGTATTATGGCTGCATATTCGAGAAATTACAGTAATTTTCTTTCAATTTTTTGTCTAAACTTAAAATGATATTGGTATTGAAGTTCATTTTTTTATTTTTGAAACATATTTTTTTTCTTTTTCTTATTATCAAAACAAAATATTTATTACTTTGTTGATAAAATCTTTTATTTCAGAATGTAACCAATAATCACTTGTTTGTGATCATTTAAAAAAAAAAAATTCTTTTATTTTTAACTACAGGACCTGCCAAAACTACTGATGCTGTAGATGGTAAGTATTTAACACAAAACCTTTATTTCATGTTATGCTTTAAGCATGAACAGATTGAACTTGGAATTATTTCCTTTATTCAGTTGAACTAGCTCGGACATTCATGAGTCTATCACACCAACCATCATGGTCCTGCATTAAGGTCGGAAGGTCATTAGGGAGGCATTGTGTGTCATAACATAGCTAGTCAATGTAGGTGGGTACTAGGTGACCAATAGGTTTTGCTCCATGGCTAGCTGTCCAGAACTGTAGGTCACTTGCAAGTTCTTGTTTTGTTTGCCAGCAGTAGAAACTTTTTCACTTGTACCCTCATAGAAAGTACTAATATATATCATTGTACTGTACTATTCCTATTTAATATCTTCACAAATCTATCCCTGTTTTTGATGACTGTCAGCAAAAAGATGCCTGCTTCACCTTTACTCACTCCCTGAAAGACAAAAATAATAATAATAAAAATAGACTACTAAAAGTTTGTTTTGAATCTTGGCACTTTTTTAGTTGAATCTCTTCTCATCTTTCTACTACAGCTCTAAACTCCCCCACCCCCTCTCCCCAAGCTATTACTTCTACTTGCCCCCTGTCCGGATACGGAGTGGACATTTTCCCAGCCATAAAAAAAAAAAACATCAGCGAAACTGACTTTCACCAATATCCACCAGAAATTTCTGCCTCCCAATCAGAGCAGACAACATGTCAGCCAAAGGGGAAGAGAAAATATAAGTTAGGTTTTTAACAAATAATTTAGAAACTGTTTCACTTGTTGTACCATCATAGAATGATCTCTCTCTCTCTCTATATATATATATATATATATATATATATATATACACACACACAAGTATATAATTGGTGTATACGGAATGAATTCCAATAACCAACAATTACTATTCTTAACAGAGTGCTCAATACAGAGTAGAGCTGATATAATTATTTATTTAAAAATTATAACATAAATATGTTATAAAATCACTACAAAAATAGCCATTTTGTTTCAATACAACGGTGTCTTATCAAGTGATGATGTTGAATGTAAATTAAAAATTAAAACCATTTTTTTTAGTGATTTTATAACATATTTATGTTATTTTAATTTTTTTAAATAAATAATTATATATATAATCCCAAAGTATATAATTGGTATACACCGAATGAATTCCAATAACCAACAATTACTATTCTTAAAAGAGTGCTCAATACAAAGTAGAGCAGATATAATTATTTTTATAAAAAAATTATAACATAAGTATGTTATAAAATCACTACAAAAATAGCCATTTTGTTTCAACACACTCTGTGTCTTATCAAGTGACGATGTTGAAAAGAAAATAAATGGTTTTAAAAGTTTCAGATTAATTAACGATCCTACACTAGGGGGAAACATTGTTACAAAAGCTAGAATAACCAATCAAAAATGAAGTATAGAAAGATTCAAAAGCTTGACAACGAAATCCTGCTCTAATAGCTATTCAGATCTTTAAATATGTGTAATATTAAAAATAATTTATACTAACTTTATATTAACTTGTGTTGAAACAAAATGGCTATTTTTGTAGTGATTTTATAACATACTTATGTTATAATTTTTTTATAAAAATAATTTTATAATATATATATATATATATATATAAATAAACGCACACAGACTTGTGTGTCTGTGTCTACTGGAAGACAAAAATTTCCTTAGCTGGCTTATTTTTGTAGGTTCTTTCAGCACCTATTTTTCTAGTTTTACTCTACCAGTGAAAAAAACACCAACATATTAGATTCTCATTATTTCCTCTCTTTATATAACATTTTAATATAAACTCTAACAATTTTTCTTTTAAACATAAATTCAGTAAAAAGCAAACATTGATCCAATCTTCCCTCTCCCTTCCCCATAAAAATATTTAAGAAGTATGCCAACCATATTCAGTTTGTATCATTTACCCAAAAAAATAAAAAAAAAAATGATACAATTTGATAATATTTGTCTGCATAAATTTCAGGTAATTTATATAAAATTTTGAATTCTGAATAAACTTGTTTTAATCTTAACAAACATGTCTGCTGTTGAGATGTGGTGGTGGTGTGATAAGATAAGAACTAAGCATTGTACTTTAAGCCTTTTACCCAAGATAGTTTTTGATCTGGTTAAAGTTTAATGTCAATTAATGCAGGTGCTAATAAGCAATCTCTGCTTTGTGAACTTTTCTCAACCTTTTTGTTAAAGAATTGTTTTGTGAATGACTGCAATTTTCTGTTTTTACTTACACTCATATAATTAGTTGTTGTTCTAACTGGGCATTACTCAGTAAAATCTCTTATGTTACATGAAACTGGCATGTAACACAATAACTAATTCAACAATGATTTTATAACTGTCTTTAAGTTGTCCAAAATTTTTTGTTGAAGCATTGTCTGAATTTCTGGGATGAAGTGTTATCATCATTTACATTTGGACTAATGTCTTCATCTTTGTTATCATCTTCAGATACTTGTCAATCTGAGTAACCTTCAGGGGATATAAAAATGAGCCTTTTATTTAATTTGTGGCAGGTAGATTGTTTTTGTTCTATTGTCTGTGTCTTGGGATATCTCATCTTGTTCCTTTTTGGTGATCATAGTCATCGAGTTCATTTCCTGAACCATGCAATACAGACTCTGATTTAGTAAAAAGAGGGCATGCAATAAATGAGCAGTATTAAAAAAATAAATAAATAAAATGACAAGGCAAGATATCCCTAAACATGGACAGGGTTAGAACAATCTCTGTAGATTACGTAAAGGGTTCAGTTTGAAATTCCCTGAATCTTAGAGAACAAGACCAAAACATAGATGAGGATATTTGTCTGAATGAAGCACTATTTTTTTTTTTTTTTTTTTTTTTTATTTACTTATTTTTGCTTCTTTTTATTGCAATGTTCTACAACTTTTAAGTAAGTATGGAACAAATCTAATAGTCATGACTATTTGCTTCTTGTTCTAAGAGTGGAATTTCACCTCCCTCCTTTTTTTTTTTTTTGTTTAGCTGATACAAAGAAGAAAAAGAAGAAAGAAGATTCTCCAAATGTAGCAAGTGATGAAAAAGAAAAAGACAGTAAAGAAACTTCAGAAATTAGTGAGAAAGAAATTTTAGAAACTATGACTCCAGATGTTGAATTATTCAGCCACCTGAAACTTAATTTAACTTATGCCCCTCTTATTAAATTTATTCCGTAAGTTTTTTTTTTTCCCTACTTTCTTAGTATTTTGTAGTGTAGGTTAAATATTTCTGGAAATTCTATTTACACTTCATTGTCTAAGAGTTGATGTTTGTTTGGATTTTAAAATAACCCTACAAGGATTGCAAAGTGAAAATGTCTTGCTCATTGTTTTATCAATTAATTTAGGATCATCAAAAATTATTTTAACTTATATCAACAATTTTCTTTTCTTTTTTTTTTAATTTGTCAATTGAAACTTTTTGTCAAAATTACTGCTGTGAAGACAATATTTATAACTTGCATTATTAAACATTTAATTATTGTGTGTGATTTAATGGGCTGACATGTTTAATGGGCTTTGTGTTGTATGTAAATCTTGCTAGTGTGTTTATTTAGCTTTAAAATAAATATTTTGGATTTCCATATTTATTTTTTTAAGTAAATTGTTAAAAAATTTTAACATTTTTTTTTCTCTTTTTTAGAATTTTAAAATTTTCCCATCCAGACACTGTGAAATTTGGCTTGCAATGTTCTCTTGGCCTTATTCGGGGATCGAATGCTCGTTGTGTTGGTTTGTTAACCATTTTGGAAAGGGTAAGACTATTACAAATGACATTTATTTTGACCATTTCAATCATAGATTAACTCATTAAAGGTGGTAAAAACTTGCCATAGAACTGCAATGCTAAAAATTTCCTCTTATCTACAGTCAGTGGGTTAACTTATAATAAAACTTAATTTGAAATTACATGTTTTGGAAACCTTAATCATTTTGTAGAGTTGCATTTTTAACCTTAATTTATATTATGAAATGAACATGATATTTTTTGTGATAAGTTAAGAAAAAGAATTTCTTATACTGATACTTGAAGTTCATACATGACTAGTTTTAATTTTATTTAAAAAAAACTCTGATAGGAATATTTTTAAATGTAGAAAAAAAAAATATATATATATATATATATATATATATATATATATAAAAAAAATTTATTTACACAAAATTATAATATAAACATGTTATAACATCACTACAAAAATAGCCATTTTGTTTCAACACTTCTGGTGTCTTATCAAGTGTTGATGTTGAATGTTATAATTTTTGAATAAATAATATTTGCTCTACTCTGTATTGAGCACTCTTTTAAGAATAGTATTTTTGGTTATTTTTATTTATTCCGTCTACACCAATCCTATACTTGGAGATATATAAAATTAAATAGACAATCGGAAAATAGTACTTAGTCATTGCCAACACATTTACATCATTTGACTTTATCAAGGCAAGTGATGGTAAACAAAAGTGAAATATATTCTGAGAACTTTATATATATATATATATATATATATATATATATATATTAAACTATTAATTTCAACCTACCTCAAAACTGATGTTTTGTAGAAAGAAAATTTAATATGCCTCCTCCTTTTTTCTCTTGTCATTTCAAATTCAGATGAAATATTAATTTTTTGGCTTCCTGCAATGTTTAATTTCAGTTGATTAAGGATTACATCACCCCATCAGATAAAGACCTGTGCAGAGATTTTAGTGAGCTGCTTCATGAAGAACTGCAGTAAGACTTTTTCTTTTTTTTTTTTTTTTTTTTTTTTTTTTTTTATATATATATATATATATATATATATATATATATATATATATATATATATATATATATATATAAAACATTTTGTATAACATCTGTTTAAGAAAACTTACTTTCAAAATTTGTTTAGGTTTTTTAGATAAATGCCGTCTCTCAGTCAGTATGGAGAATGCTTTCCGACATCTGAGATGGCATGTTACCAATGTCGAACCAAATGCTCCAGAGCCAGAGGTATAAGTTGCTTTAATTATACAGACCTTAGTTTCATTTTTATGTGTGCAGTTATATATAATCAGTTGCCATATATTCATTTGCAAAATGTAATTCCTTCTGCCCTTGTGAGACAAAAAAAAAAAAAACTTTGGAAAACTCTATGGCATAATAAAACCTTAAAATAATTTGACAATTACAATTTAAAAAGAAAAAAAAAAGTGCTTGGCATTTGAACCTAAAATGAATTCAGGATTTACCAGTAAAATCCAGTGGTATAAATCACTTCCATGTTCTTCTATGGTCTGGCCATATTGATAAAGGATTTAATGACGTGGGCCATACATATTACCTACATGAAACTGATAAGATGGGTGGGGCAGGGAACTGGAACTAGTGAAAAGTACTGTATGACCATAAAGAAATCTAAATATTTTTATACAACCATATAATTTCATTCCGTGAAACATCAGTTGGGTTACCTGAATGGGATTGTGTACAGAAGAACTCTATTTACCTTCAAAAAGCTGGGGACGTGCTCCTGGCCAATACCATTGGCTCCATGATACAAAGAAAAACCACGGTAGACTCATTCTATTATTATAACAAAAAAGAAAAAAAGAAAGAAAAACAGTTAATGGAATAACATGGATATGCTGCCCACGAACACATAAAGCCAGTGGCCTTGAATAAAAGGTGAGGAGGGAGCTGGAAGAGTGGATTTGCGAATATTTGGATGTACAGCTCTGAATTTGTGATGGTTTCCTTTATTTTTGTTTTGTTATAGATTGCTTGTGAAATGAGTGGTTCTCTTTTTGAGGTGGGTAGGGTTGTAGTTTTTGCAAAACTGTCAACTGTGCATTATGGTTGGTGGTTGATAACTGTTGGCATCAATATTCAGATCACAAGCCAATTAAAGTCAGACCATTATTTCTAAAATATTATTTCATAGATTCTATTGATAATTTTCAATATTCAGATCACAGGCCAGTTAAAGTCTGACCATTTCCATGTATCTGTTTATGCATTTTGCATATCAATAAGCTCATCCTTCACCTTGCTTTAGTGCAAAGTGAACACTACATAAATAGAATCAAAACATGTTAGAAATTGCCAGCCTTACTGGAGGCCATCTTATGCACTTTTGCCAATATAAAACCCATTCTTTCATGAATCCTGAACCCATTCTATTTTGCATGCAGTAAATCTTGTAGAAACCATCTTTATCCACATAATATTGTTATACTCAAGCAGCAACTGTAATCTTGCAGTTCAACATGGTCCAAAACAATGACACAATAAAAGAAAATGGTATCCAACATCTTTTCTAAGAATAAGAAATTTGCATTCTCCAGATCTCCTTCATTTATTTCTTTTTACACTTGGGTCCAGTACAAGTAGAGCTCATTGATTTTATTTATATCGTTGCCCTCACCAAATGAGAGGATCCATTAATCAAAAATGGAGACATAAGAGATGAGGGGCTAAAGGTGCAGGAGTAGTAAGGGAGGATATTGGGGTCTGTATTACCCAACCCAATTTGTGATTTTCAGGAAATTTAAAAATCTTGATGAAAACTAAAATACCTGCTTAAAACTATCACATGGTTCACACTCCTTCTTAGTATTTTAAACAAGAATAGAGGTTTATTCCTTGTTTCCTGTTTAGGATTGGGTTTCCGGTTACTTCTAAAGTCTACTTCACCTCTATACTCCTAACTTGGGTCTTTTCCAATGCTAATATGACTCCGCACAGTAACCTTCTAAATAAAAAAAAATAATTCCAGGACATTATCTCAGCCCTCTTTTACCAATTTTTATTTTTTTTTTTTTTTTTTTTGATACAGTAATATTTTGTAAGCCTGATCAAATAATTTTGTAATTTTTTTTTTTTATATTCATAAAAATGATGCTATCAATTTTTTATCCTTTTGAATTAAATGGTTCCTTTTAGGCTAAAGAACAGCTGCTACAAGTAATCAGTAACTATATTACGGAGAAAATAAATAAAGCAGATGAAGCCATTTGTCTGAAAGCCCTGGAAAAAATAGAAGATGGTGATGTCATTGCCATATTTTCAGCGTAAGTCTCTCTTTTTGTTGTTGTTGTTCAAAGAATGTAATTTGAGGATTTTTGTCATTTTATCAATGTTTCTGAAAGGATTTTGACAAAATATGGACCTTACTTAGGTACCTCCACGAGATCGCTAAAAAAAGAGCATAGCATGATGAAAAAAAGACGCCAAAACTTGACGAAAAACAAAATTTTATCGCCTAAATGTTTGTTATTATTAAGAGGAAAGGTCAAAGTATTTTTTGGGGTATTTTTTTCCATTTTTTAATCGCTCCTAGCACGTCCGAAATTTTCGTTAAAAATCTATTTTTTTTTTGAGTCAGCAAATTGACCATTTTTTCCATTTAAAAAAAAAACTGAAATCTGACTTTGAAATTTTTTTAAATATCAATTATCATTTTTTCAAAACTTATTTTAAGAAAATCAGAAATTATAATGTTTATTTAAAATATTTTGAACCAAACTTAACTTAGCTTTTGTGCCAAAAAGATGTAATTTGAAAATAAAACAAAGCCGGTCATAAACTTTTGCATCTCTTGACATGTGATGAATGATATATTTACGAATTCCATAAGGCTAATTTGTTCTACGGAAGGAGAAAAGTGAAATAATTTACATTTACGTGAACAAATTATTTACCCCGTTATTTTTAACGAAAACTTTCAGCGGTCTAATTTTTTTTTTTTGTACTTAGCTTTTACCTTTACGTTTATGATGCTTTATGGGAAATATATTGTAAAGAAATTAAAATAAAACTGTTAAGAGTGACATTAAATTTCATATTTCTTAAGAAAGGTATCTAATTAATTTATAGGTACCTTTTCTTATGAAATTTTATCAGAATTGTACATAAAATACTATAATTTTATGTACATTTATTACATTCTACTGTTATTTATATTTGCATTCATTTTATTATTAATTTTGATATTTCATTTATGGAAAAATGTCGAACTGAGATTAATATAAAAATAAGATCATATAAATTTCATAAGATGATACTGATATTTGTAGGTACCCTTCTCAGTTGAAATTGAAAAATCAAATTAACTTCTCCACACGTGTTTCGTAAAAAGTAAAGGCCTTAACAGCGGAGAACAATGCTTAACTCAAATAACGCAACTTAATTATATTCTGGTTGGTCTTCCGTATTTTATAATTACAACTCGATTATAAGCACAAAATTACATTTCTTAATTACTGAGTATCTTCTGATTAGTCAAAATGATACAATTTACAACGCTAAAAAAAAAGATCTATCTCATAAGGACACTTATGAAAGCCGATGCGGCTTTTAAGTAATTTTATAATATTTTAACAACTTAAATATAAAATCTATTATAATTAATGAAATAACAAATAATTGTATCAAAAATTCATTTTTCATCGAAAAAATTTTTTGCTTTCAGAAAATATTGTCCATATTCATAAAAACAACTAAAAGCAAATAAAAGCACTTTGAAATTAAATAATATCTTTGTTTTATTGAGTTTTGTATGTTACAATTCAGAGCTGATTTTCAGGTACTGCGATCCAATTAAAAACAAAAAACATGATTTGCATTCCTCAAAGCCCTGTGCTTTTAATTATTGTAATCACTAAAACTGATGCGATCGAATTTCTAGCGTTTTCATAAAATTAGTTATGGGGGTAATAAATATTTAAAAAAATATTTCTACCATGACTTTCATAAAAAAAAACATATTTATAATAATTTTGATCATCTGTGAATAGTTCCTGAAAGTTTCATTAACATCCGATAATTATTTCTATTTTTGCACGATTTTTCAAATTAATGTGTCATACCAAAAAACGTGCTAAAATTGTCTGTTATTTACTAGTTCCGCTTGATACAAATAGAAAAAAAGGTTTTTTAATCAAAATTTAGAATGTTCTAAAAAGAAGGAATTTTTTTAAAAAAAATTAAAAAAAAAACTTTGGTCTTTCCTCTTAATAATAACATAAGCATTTAGACAATAAAATTTTGTTTTCGGCAAGGTTGGCGTCTTTTTCATCAAGCTATGCTCTTTTTTTAGCGATTTCGTGGGGGTACCTAACCTTACTGCTCTCTTCATCGCAATGGCATTTTTATTTGTATTGCTCACAAATAGAAAATAGAATGAGAGGACAATCTTGTAATATGAAAGAAAATGAGGGTAAAAATTTTAGGAAAATGATTTTTATTAGTAAAATTCTAATGTTGAATACTTGGAAGTTGATCTATTTCTTTTTATAACTTTTTATCATGTGTAAATTTGAAGAAAAGCATTTTCCTTGATTTTTACTGGTGAAGAAGAGTAACTAAATCATGCGTATTTAAAGATAGTTTAAATAGAACAATTCAGATTGAATTTTTATTTTCATTAAAGATTCTTCAAAAAGATGAAAACAAAAGCTTAATTTATATTGCTTACATAATGTGAATTCATTTTGGATTATCTTTTGTTTAATAGTTTATGCCATCAAAAATAATGGCATTTTTTTTTTTTTTTTTTCTCCATTTTATTGTTACAATCCTTCAGTTTCTCTTCATCTCTTGGCTTTATGAATTCTTTAAGCAGTGCACCATTGTTATAACAAGGTTAACAATTGTTAAGAAAGTTGGTTCACTGTGTCATGCCAGATAACGTTTCTTATCCAAATCCATCTTTCACTTTTATAAGCCTACCATTTGTTTGTGCATTGAATATTGTTGCCATAACTGGTCTGGTGCTTCTATGTATGTAGAGATTCTTGATATACTCCAAAGAATCTGCAATGTTATCGGCTGCTCTAACATGGTTTCCTTATATCTTTTCTATAAGAATTTTCATGGGAATTGTTCTGATGACCTTTTCTTTTTGATACGTCAACTTCAGAAATTTAAGTGTGAAACTAGATTGGCAGCGTTTAGTCTCATGTTACTGTTGAAATTGCTAAATGTAACCAGGAGTTCTAGTCTAATAGTTACTTTTGCACTTCTCGCCTGTGGAATTCTTTTCCTCTTTCTTGCTTTCTTGTCAGATGAAACCTTCACAAATTTAAATGTAATGTCAGTAGTCATCTTCTCCTTGAATCCTTTTTTTTTTTTTTTTTTTTTTTTTTTTGTTCTTACCTTTGGTGTTTTCTTTGTTTCTTAATAACCCATTGCATCATAGTGGCTTTATTGCTTTGCTTAGTGGGTGAAATGATCATATAGAAAAAAAAAAAAATTTTCTATGTCTAAGCAGAATGAACTTAGATTGTTTTTATGATGAAAATGAATCTAAATTTATTTTAAAGCTTGAATTTAAAAATTTTCTTTTTTTAATCATTTGTAGGCAAGGAGTATCTTAAAAAATAATTCATTTTTGTTCTGCCCTTGATTATTTTGGGCAAGATTTTAAGAAATTAATTTTTTTTATTCTCTAACATCTTTAAATTGGTTATTGAAGAAGCTTCTTTATTTTTTTTTTTTTTTTTTTTAATGTGTTAATTTCTTTCTGTCTTGCAGGTCATCAATAGTTCTACAAATTCTTGTGAAAGCCAAACAATCTGGAAAAGAATTTAGTGTTATTGTGGTTGATTCTAGGCCTCAAATGGAAGGTTAGTATTATAATACACTTCCATTCTTGAAGCTCTTCAAAAGGCTTCTTTATGCCAAATAGTTTATATCAAGATTCACCATAAATTTTAAACCATATGCTTTAACTTAATTCTTTTGCAAAGGAAATTGAAATTTTAAAGATCTAAAGTAATTATTTAAATAAATTTTTTCATTTAATACTTTCCATGAAAGTAAACTTATAAAATCTGGAATATGTATATTGATTTTTAAATTAGCTTGTTCCTTAATGTGTTAGTTATTTACATTTATCTATAAAAGTTTAAAATTATATATTTGTATAAAAATCACACTTACTTATGAAACATTCTTTCAATTTTATGAATACTCGACATTTAGATATATTATTTAAATATTTATCTTATAACCCAATGACTACACAATATTTTCTAATGCACTATTTATGTTGGATAATACAGTCATGGATATTCATTTACTATTTCTTGTAAGCTTAATGTCAGCTATTATGTTTTTGTATTTTAATAGAAAAATTTGTTCCTTTAAAATGCTTTAAACCTTTTTTTGTGGGGCGGGTGTAAAGCATTTTAGGAAACAAATTGTTCCAATGAAGTACTATCGTTTCATGAGTCTTATACAATTACAAAGTGATACTTTAACAAACCTGTTTTTAATCTTTGAGGGAATAGAATTTTGTGAGGTTGAAATAAACTTGTATTTGCATTTTGTATTCAGTTTGTTCATTCCCAATTTTTTTTTTTTTTTGCAGGGCAAAAGATGCTGCTTAACTTAGTCAATGAAAATATAAACTGTACTTATGTGTTGATAAGTGCTATCTCTTATACAATTCAGAAGGTAAGAAATATTTTGAGCATGCATTTTAATTTTGAACAAGGATTAAATCTTTTGTTTTCTGATGTCTAAGATGTTCTTTAAAGGAGTATTGGATTGTTCTGCTATGAGAATAAATTTTCATTTAAGTTTAAATCAAATTGGTGATTTTATTTTTTTTGTTTTATGATATTGAGTGCCAGACATTTTATCACTTGTGTAATGTTTGTATAAAAAATGTTTTGTATCTGGTATTTTCTCAAAAACTCTGCAAGTTGGACCCCATAAAACATTTAATCAGCATCATCTGGGGAAAATTTTTGTCCATTTTTATTTTTATTTTTATATATATATATATATATACACACACATAGTGTAGTATCTCTTCAAATTTCAGCATCCTGCAAAAATGACAAATTCATTGGTCATCAAGGGAGGGAGCATATGTGCTTTTCTCTTAGGTACTTTTATGTGAAAAACTCAAAGGATAGGCACCAAGTACAAACCATGGAGAAGGTACTTCAATATCATTCCCAAGAATGCATAGCAATTCAGATAATAAATCTGTGGAGAGTCGTGATTGCCTCTATTCTGAAGGGATGTGACATTAAAAATTAAAAAAAAAAAAAAAAACATTCAAATGAAATCCAAAAGATTTCTAACTACATCCACGTCTTGGGCATGACGATAAACTACATCCATCAGCAAGGCCTCTGATCAGGAGGTTTTGAGGAGCGTGGAACCACTGCTGGTATTCATAGGTCCACCCTGACCCAGGGTGGTAGCATCTGTTAGGGTCCCAGCTATTGGCAAATAGTTAACCCTCAAACTGGGGTCAAAACACTATGAAAGTATAAAAATAGGTTTTAATACCAGCAATACATTTTTGAAAAAATATTACCACCAATAAAAATCTTGTTGGCATTAAATAACCCATTGAGGTGTTGATATGTCATAAACCAAATTAAAAGATTGGTGCAGAAATTGAGTTGTCAAACAAGACATGAGAATAATCAACATTATCAAACACGAGAAGAGAAATAACAGCCAAAAATATTCAAATCAAGTAGTGAAAATCTCTTGAGCCAGTTTACTTAAGTTAGTTACTTTAATGCATGGCTTCCATATAAATTAAAGGAACCAAGACTATATGATCATTATTTATAAATGTTGCTTTCCATTTTTATAATAATCTATGATTGCTGAGGAAAAGTGTATACTTTACAACAATAAGAAATACAAGAGATACTTGGGTAAAAAAGAAAATGAACCACCATTAATTGTACCAAAGCCCAGTTTGCAACTAAACATGATCTTCTGTATTTAGTGGCATTGGGCAGTTAACTTCTTCCTTTGAAGTGGGGCTTACGGCCATATCAAGTTAAACACCAGTTCTTGTACAATCACCAAAGTTAAGCAACATCAAGATGGGTGACTGCTTAGGAATATCAGGTGCTGTAAGCTTGGATGTACAGGTGGTGTAATTAATTGTTAATAAGAAAGTTGAGTTCCAATTCCAGCTGGGTTCGTTACATTCACTTACATGGTAATATCCTTGGGAAAGGTACAAATCCACCTCTTCTTTCCCTAGCTATGGGTTAATTAGTAGGACCTGTATCAGTAAATCATTATTGCCTCTCAAAAAACTTTTACAATGTAAAAATATTTTTTGGCTTTAAAAAATTTGTAAAGGATTGATAAGCTGTAGAAAAGAATCGGTCAATCTTTCCTTGAAGCAATAATTGGTTCTATTATTGCTCCCAATTTGATCAATCGAAATAAGCACTCAGTGTTTTGAATTAGTTGAGTGAAAGGGTGTAATATTCGATCAGGATAAAATGAGACTGCACTTGTTATTTTTATTTCTAAAACATTCACAAAATGTTGCACCTTCACATTATTATTCCAATCCTTCTGGAATTCTCCATAAAAAAAAAAAAAAAAGCAAACAGTAATTTCAATTCTTTGAAAGATTTTAAAAGCCATCTAGAAGAATTCTTTGTTAAAGATGAAAGTTTTTAGTGGATAGAATTATGAAGTTGCCTGAAAAACTTTGTCAAATCTGAATGAATTTCATTGAAACTCTGTTTTCTTTTTATCTCTTGCAGGCTACCAAAGTGTTTCTAGGAGCTCATGGATTTTTGTCTAATGGTTTTGTAATGTCTAGAGTTGGAACTTCACTACTCTGTTTGATGGCGAAATCTTATAATATTCCTGTGTTAGTGTTTTGTGAAAGTCACAAATTTAGTGAAAGAGTCCAGACCGATTCTTTTGTTGTAAATGAACTTTGTAAGTATTATCATTTTTTTTTTTTTTTTTTTTGTTTAATTTTGCGATTGTCTTTTTAAACTTTAAAGGAAAAGAAAGAAAAATCAATTGCATCCCAATCTCAATGCATGATGTTCTCAATTTTATGACTTTAGAGGTTAGTGATGTAATAAATATTACTTTGAATATGAGTGAATCAACTGAAGGGCTTCATTTCTTGCAATATGTGTGCCTCTCTTTCTCTCTCATATCCTTAAAATAAAAGTAAAAATAAAAATCTGTACTGAATATTGAAATCGTTTTCAACAAATAAAATGGGTATTGTTTATAATTTTGTAGAAATCCATTATTTTTCAGAGACATTTGGACATTTGAACTAATTCTATTTTTCTGTGATCTTTTTTTTTCTATCCTATCCACAATATTTTGGACAATTACCAAAAAGGATTGAGAATAAACTGTGTGGCACGTGTGGCTGAAAACTGATTTTATAAGCATTGCTATTAACATTTTTTTCTCTTTGTTACTATCTTTTTTGCTTTACACAACCAAATAAGAAACTTTTCCATATCATAATTACACTTGGAAAAAAAACATGGGATGGATTGGCCAAAATGTAGGAACACAAAAAAATTTGCAGAAGCCATTTGTCTAAAAAAAAAAAATAAATAAATAAATAAAAATAATAATAAAAAAAAATATAAAATCTTTGAAAAATAAAGTGGGTATTTGACAGAACGTGTCTTTGCTTTAAAACATATAAATGGAGATTTTTTCAATCAAAATTTAGAATGTTCTAAAAAGAGGGGAAAATTTTAAAAAATAATTAAAAAAATACTTTGTTCTTTCCTCTTAATAATAACATAAATATTTAGATGCTAAAATTTTGTTTTTGTCAAGTTTGGTGTCTTTTTCATCATGCTATGCTCTGCTTTTAGCAATCTCACAGAGGTACCTATGCTTACTCTATTTCTACTGAGAGTAAATCTACTCTACTCCAGCCCAAGGATCAGGCTAACATTCACGATGTCACCATATTCAAGAACCATCATTTTCTTTAGTACTGTTCAGTTACTACTTGCCCTGTTTCTACTGAGTGTAAGTCTGCACTGCTCTGGCCCAAGGATTAAGCTAACACTTACGATGTCACCATATTCAAGAACCAACATTTTAATTCACTAGACTATTCTCATTGGGCCATGTGGCATCTAGAACCTGGAGACTTAAACAGGATGAGTAATAACTGAACAGTACTAAATAACAAGACAAAATATCTCTAAATGTGTTCAGCAGAACGAGAAGTATACCCCTATAGATTAAATAAAGGGTTCAGTTTGAAATTCTGTAAAGATTAACCAGATTCACAGGAAGCTGAAGAAGATTGAAGGGCTCAGCAACTGGAATGTTGTGAAAATAACAACACAGATGAGAATTGTCCAATTGTAAATCATGTGACCATACAAAGATTTAAACTAAATTTAGGAGGTTATTAGATTAGCTAAAGATTATATAACAGTTATCCTCTCTTCATCTACAAATATACAGGTTAACCAAAAGTCCTTGCCATTTTTTATTTATTGAGAAAAAAAAAATATACAGCAAATTTGACATGTCATTAGTTGACAAATTAATTTCCATTTGCCAACGTGCCTCCAGCTGCACAATACCCTGACAATAAAAATCAGGTGGCTTGGGTGCAAAGAAATCTGAGTGCCTGCCGCATGTCTGCCTCATTTGTGAAGGATTTCCTATGAAGGTGGTTGTCCAGGAATGAAAAAGATAATCTGTTGTGGGCAAGGTCTGAGAAGTAAGGTGGATGGCACAGTGTCTCCTAGCCAAGTTGCCGCAGGGTATCTCTGGCCACCCATGACACATGAGGCTTGGGATTGTCATGGAGGAACAGTACACCCTTGTGATTAACTAATGCTGGCTCCTTCTACTTCAGTGCCTGTTGCACACATTCCAACTGTTGCAAGTACAGGTCCACATTGACGGTTTGGCTTGTTGGCACTAGCTCATAGTGCACCACTTGTCGACTAATCCACTAGATACAGAGCATGATCTTGTGTGGGTGTAGAAGTGGTCTTGTGTTGTGAGGCACAGGGTCACATGGTGACAACCAATGTCTTGCACAGTTGGGAGTGTCATACAGTACTCCCTTTTCATCAGTGGTGAGCACACAATCATTTATATTACAGTACTGAGAAAGCAATGAGAAACAGGCTGTCACTCATTGCTTGTTGGTTTCTGACAGTGTGTGGGGTTCCCATTTGCTCAATTTGTATGCCTTCCCTATATGGTGCACGTGATGTCTGTTTCATCAGAAACCTAGAAGCATTTGGTAAGCTCACCATGGGTTTGGCTCTTGTTCTCCATAAGCTGCATTCAGGGCCTCATCATCCAGGACCTGTGGTTTGCCACAGCAGGGTTAATCACAAAGAGACAGATCTCCTAACCTGAAATTCTGGAACCAATGCCTAGCAGTGCATTCACTCACTGCATTATCCCCAAAGGCTTGACATATTTGGCGACTTGATGCAGCTGTGGACAAGCCCACCTTAGCAATAAAGCAGACATCCCCCAAATGAGCTGCTTTGACACTGCCATATTTCATCACCACTATTCAAGTTATGATTGATGTGTGTGCACAACACACCTGCTTTGGCCAAGAGCAACGTCACCACACCCACCACTTTCCCAACACATGACGCACTTATTTGCATATCAGTGATCACTTCTTCCCACATGATATAAAAAAACAGCAAGGACTTTTTTAATTATCTCATATAACTGATTATGCATTCATTTTTTTTCAGATAAAATGTTGGTTGCATTGCATCTGTTCCACTTTCATATAAAACTTGCCTGTAATATTTCTTTTTTTTTTTTTTTGTCCATTTCAGGTGATCCTGAAGAACTGGTTTATTTGAGTAATCGACCGAACCTTCTGAACAATTGGCATTCATTTAAATCCCTTCACCTCCTGAACCTAGTCTATGATGTAACCCCATCTGAATTAGTCACTGTTGTAGTCACAGAGCTTGGTGCCATCCCCTGTTCTTCTATCCCAGTAGTTTTGAGGGTACAGCAAGGATCTCAAAATCCTTCCTCAACAACAAAAATTTCAAATATTTAAAGTTTCAATACAAACTGCTGTGCTAAGCATGGCTCTATTTGTCAATTGTTTATTTCAGTGTTGTTTTTTTACTTGCCACTGCCATGATTGTTTTAAAATGAGGAAAGGGCTGTGATTATTTTGTATTCAAGATTTTAAAAAGAAAGAAAAGCATTAGGCTGGATTTAGACCATTTTATTCTACTCAAGGTCAGGCCTCAAAGATAATTTCTTAAAATTACAATCGATTTTTCTAAATCTAACTTCACTGAATTACTTGGATAACATAAGCTCCTTTTGTTTTATCCATTTCTGTTGCTGCTAAATTATACTCTTGAGCTAAATTTGATTCTTCCTATATGCATTTGTATTCTCTTTTCATAAAAAATTTTGCTTTCAAATAACTTTTTTAAAAGGATGGTACTCTCAAGGCCAACTGAAATTGGAGTAAAGTGTGTGTCTCTTTCTAAATATATAGATGTCTTTGTCTTAACTTGTACATAATTAAAGATTCATTCATACTTTGACCAGGTCAGTAGTTATTAATAATAATCTTATTGGAACTGTTAGTGCTAAACTATAAAAGAATCATAGTTTGGCAAATGTCTGCTTTTGTAGAAGATTTGGAATGGTTTGGGTTTATTTTCCTCTTGGGAGAGTATATAATAATTAATCTGATTTATATGGAATGTTAGATATAAAAATTACAGACTTTTTTTTTTTTTTTTTTTTTTTAATATCAGAATATTCTGGTATATATTTTACTACAACTGAAATGTTTTTATTCTAATATTTAGTGAAGTCTTATTAAAATTGTTTTGGCAAAAAAAGAATTCACTGTACAGTTTGAGGTGAAATATTCAGATAAGTGATTAAATGATAGATAAATGCATTTGCTGCTGACTACATTTGTTTGGATGGGGGTTTCATTTTATTTCCACAAAATGTGGACATCTGGGTATATTGACTGTTAAAACTATAATTAATCTTATGATTGTCAATTATTGCTGTAATGAATTTTAAGTCAAAAACAATTGAAGATAATTGAGTGACTAATTACAAAATGCAATTTTTCACATCTCGGACGTTTTTCTATTTATTTTTTAAACAAAAAAATGAATGTCTTTAAGTCACAAGTATGTTTCTACTTTAACTTCTATACAGACATTAGTATTTTTATGTGAGTTTTAATAGAATATAATAAACTTGTTTTTTAATAGGTTAATCATAGGTGGTAGTTACCCTTGTACGTTTTTAACTTTTAAAATGTATTGCAATAATTTAAATACAATAGGATCTTTGTTACATAAAATTTCAGTGTTGCTAAAGTAAGGTTTAGTAAAAAGAATGAGTTACTAAAAAGAAAAAATAAATTTCAAACTTCAGATAAATCTGAATCTATATAAAATTGGGGTTTTGTATCTTTTTAATTTTGGTTTTAATTGTGAGAAAATATTACAATTTTTTGTCAAAAAATTACTTGTATGCTTAAGGTAGGTTTTACACTTTTTTTTTTTTTTTTTTTTTATTCAATACTTTTTAAGGTAAGTAATTTTATGACTAACTTTATTTTCTTGTTAAAACCAAATTAAATTACACAGGCTTTCAGAATTAAGTCATTCAAAATTATTTCCGATCTGGGTAGTGATTTATTTTTGCACTTAGGAATGCAGTAAAAAAAAAAAAAAAAACAAACATTCAGAATATTTTCATCCCATCATATCTTTGTTGAAATATAGTGCAAAATCTTTTTCTCTATTTTGGTGCTAGAAGTTGTTCCGAGATAAAAAATCTTTTCTTTTTTTTCTTTTTTGTTTGTTGCATCTCTGGGATGACTGAGATCATTGACTAAATCATGAAGGTCTTTCTAAGGGAATGTCTGTGGCTTATTGGTTGAACATCTTGGAATATAATCTTCATCTTTATCTCAGCATTTCTTTTCCTTTGAGTTAATTTCAACATAATCAATATTATTAGGTGGAATAGGAATTGGTAGATCAGATCCATGTAGTAAAAGAGTCTTATTGCTGACAGAAGATTAAGACAAGCATTTTTCTCTCTGATTTCTTATTGTAATCTTGAATTTTGCAGTAGCAACAAATTGCATTTTTTATTTTTATTTATTTTTTATTTTATTCAAATATTTTATCATTCAAATTCCAAGAACAAGCATTTTCTTTTTGACTTTCAAATGAAACGGGTAATGGGAGGTGGTCTCTCTTTTTGTCCTGGTTTTCAAGTTTTATTCCAGGGTAGGTGGCATGATGTTCTGTTGACTTTTTATTTATTTTTAACAACAAATGTTCCACAAATATAGGAAAAATTAAATCCAGAATGTTCACACAACTGCTAGACATAACAAAATGATCATGAAATCTGGAATGGTCACACAACTGCTAGACATAACAAAATGATCATGAAATCTGGAATGGTCACACAACTGCTAGACATAACAAAATGATCATGAAATCTGGAATGGTCACACAACTGCTAGACATAACAAAATGATCATGAAAATCTGGAATGGTCACACAACTGCTAGACATAACAAAATGATCATGAAATCTGGAATGGTCACACAACTGATAACAAAATGATCATGAAATCTGGAATGGTCACACAACTGCTAGACATAACAAAATGATCATGAAATCTGGAATGGTCACACAACTGCTAGACATAACAAAATGATCATGAAATCTGGAATGGTCACACAACTGCTAGACATAACAAAATGATCATGAAATCTGGAATGGTCACACAACTGCTAGACATAACAAAATGATCATGAAATCTGGAATGGTCACACAACTGCTAGACATAACAAAATGATCGTGAACAACATAGTAATATCCTAATTTATTTGTCAAAAAAACATACCATTACTATCACTATATCTTCGCTAAATAGCCAATATAACGCTAGACATTACTTACATTTGGATTAATATCCTCATCTTTGCTTTTATCACTATGTTTTGGCCATTGTACCCTTTGGCCATCATCTGTTGATCCAGTTAACCTTCAGGGAATTTCAGACTGAACCCTTTATTTAATCTATGGCAATAGATTGTTCTCGTTCTGCTTTTACTGCTAGAGCACTATAAATAAGACGATGAGATGTTCCACTGTTCATGTCTGGGGATATACCATCTTGTTCTTATTTAGTATTGCTCTGACATAACAATACATAAAGGGTTCAATTTTAAATTCCCTGAGGAAGGCCAGAGTATACAATGAATGAAACCTTGTGGTAGTAACAAAGATGAGGAGATTAATCTGAATGTAAATAGCTCATCCCAGAAATTCAAACAGAAGATATATCAGTTTCAACTATATTCTACCTTACTAATAAAGTAATTTTTTTTCTTTTGAACATGATTTAATATTAGAAGGTATTGAACTCAAACAGTACCCATATATATCATACAAACTTATAGTGAAAACTGTTTTATAAGATTTTTTGATTTTTTTTTTTAATTCGGCACTTAAAATTATTAAAAAAAAAAATAACTTAAAAATTATATAAAAAAATCATTTGAAATATAACCAAAATTTTTTTAAATTTATGCATGCATTTAGTATTGCAATATTTTAAAACTTAAAAAGCCATGAAGATGTCTATTAAGTATAGTATTTTTGTTTCTCTACACCTTGATATATCTGAAATATTGTATAGAAAATTTGATTGTTCTAATAAGAGAGAATTTTATTAATATTTATCTTTTTTTTCTTTTTAATCTGTATCACCCCATGCAAGGTGACAAAGCCACTAAGACAAAAGATGTTACAGGATGTAGAAGAATTAGGAACAAAAACAATAATGAGCAGGAAGAGGAAAGAGTAATCAAGAGGGCAGTAAATAGTGATTGACATTGCATTTAAATTTTTGCAAATTAAAGTTGGTTAGAAAGCATGGAGCCAGTTGGCAACCTTTCAGAGTGAGCGAGCCAGCCAAAATTTGTTCAGTGTCTCTGAGGAAGGCCACGGTATCAAATGTACTATAATAAATTTTCTCAACCTCAAACTACTCCATCCAGAAGGCTGCCCTGGTCTGGAGGTTTAAAGAAAAAAAAAAACAATGAAGTTAATGTTATATTATTTAAACAAGGTTCCTTATTTTATTGCAGGAATAACAGGATAACACAACAAAAAATGCAAATTCCTTACTACAAACAAAATACAGTTAGAAATGGCAAATTATTTAATAGGGCAGTTGCTTTTGCTTGTTGTTCAATAACTTCTCCACATCAGATGAAATATTTTTTGATGACAGGAGCAAAACAGCATGTTGTCATCACCCAACCTTGTTCTTAAATGATTCTTAGTATATTTCATTTGGGGAAAAAAGTTGTTCCCAAGCAAATGTACTTCTAAATAATGTTATCATCCTTTTCGTATTCAATTCCACCTGGAAAAACTTATTCTTTGTAGAAGTCAGCAGTGGATTTGAAATTAAATTTTGATTTTAAAAAATTGATACATTGTAAGTTGATTGACTCCAACTGATGTTTTTCTGCCACTTGCTCCACAAATGAATTAGATAATTATTGTTAAGCTGGCAGGCCAGACAAAAAAATCCTTTGCAGACCGGGTGTGAGCCAGAAGTGTGGGTTGCCAAACTCCTGGGTTAACATGTAGTAATCAGGATAATTTATGATAGCCAATATCTTGTTCTGAATTTTTCTATTAATGGAACAGATCTTTGTTGGTTATCATACAGCTAGTGAATTATTATTAAAATATTTACTAAGCAGTAAATGTATCCAAATGCAAATGAGATGTACCTCTTCAGATTAAGAAACTTTACACACACACACAGCTATTGTTTAAACATTTGGTGTTCTCTTGAATAATTCAATATTGATAAGGGGGTGAAATCATTATAGGAATATGATCTCCACCCTTCCTTTTGAAGCAGTCAGTTACTTGACATCAAGTAGACTTGCAGTAGGTGTATGTTAAAATAGTGCTGTAGTTGCCAAACGGTTGCGGGCACTACTAGTAGACTGAAATCAGTGGC